CCTCACTCTCCCGAGCCTCATCCCTCCCAGCCTCACACTTCCCCGACTCATGGCTCTGCTCCTGTTGGACCTCTCGTTCCCTGCAATCGTCTCCACAAGGATCTGTACTCCTTCCAGCCTCTTTTTCCCGTCCCTCCGCCCCTTTTACACGCAAATCCGCCCCTTCCTCTGCCTGCGCCGCAGCCCCTGTATCAGCCTGCTGCTTCGCCCCCTCATCCCCACCAACATTTCCCTCTCCCTCTCCTCTCTCATCCCTACCCACTTCCCGCTCCCCTTCAACTCTACCGGCTACACCCTCTTCCTCTCCTCTAGCTGCACCACCCTCGCCCCTTTCTCTAGCAGGAATTCCTTCTCCCAAGCTGTTTCCCACAACCGGCTGGCCCTGCTCAACACTCGATTGCTCCTTAGCGGCATTGGGAGGCCACCACGGCCCATCTGTACCTCCCACATCTCCAAACCCACCAAACGGCCGGGAGAACGACGGGCAGAACTGTGACGAATCCCTACCCGCAAGCGCAGGCTCGGCAGAGGCAGGCTCGGCAGCAGCAGCAGCCTCGAAAGCCCGCGCCTCCGACTTGGGGGCCGTGGCAGCTGGAACGTTGACCGTCTCGGAAGCACTTTCAGGTTTGGGAATGGCGGCCGAAGGTACGGCAACAGGCTCGGAGGCAGCGCTGGCAGATGTACGCCTGGGAGGCAGTTTGGGTGTGTTACCACCTGAAGAATCACCTGGAGGTCGACTTGACGGCACTGGTGATGATTCACTTGGTACGCTTAAACTGTCTGCTGTCACCTTCTCACCAGCAACCTTGTCCCTACCTACTGCCTCACTCGTCTTCTCCCTAGCCTTCGTTTCACTAAGCGTTTCTCTACCTACCGCCTCACTCGCACCCGTTTCCCTAGCACCTGGGCCACTAGCAGTCATCGTATCCCTAACTACCACCTCACTTGCGGCACTCTCCATAGCTTCCTTCTCACCAGCCCCCGCCTGTAGTGACTTCTGAGTAAACTCCAAAGCAGTCTTCCGATCGCCAGCCTCCTGCTCATCCACATGCTGCTTCAACACTGGACCACGCTCCACTTTCTCACTAGTCGCTGCTGCGGGATTCCCCACTGAAAGTGACACCTTTTCATCAACCGCTGGCGCTGGGTCTCCCACTGCTGCATCCTCCTTCCTAAGTCGCGACGCCCCGGCTTCGTCCTTCAGGCTTCCCGGTTTTTCCTCCTGCGGCCTTTCTGCTTCTACTTTGCTACTCACTCGATCCTTGTCTAATTCTGAACTGGCAACAGCAGTGGCTGCACCTGCACTGGCTTCTTTGCCTCGCCCTTTTTCCCGCACCTTTTCTCGCTCCTTCACCCGCTCCTTATCCTTCACCCTCTCCTTCTCCTTCTCCTTCTCCTTTTCCTTTTCCTTCTCCTTCTCCTTCTCCTTCTCTTTCTCTCTTTCCTTCCCCTTATCCTTATCCTTCTCCTTCCCCCTCTCCTTCACCCTCTCCTTCTCCCTATCCTTCTCTCTATCCTTCTCCTTCTCCTTCTCCCTACCCTTCTCTTTATCCACCTCCTTCGTCCTCCTCTCACTCTCCCTCGTCTTTCCCCTTCCCTTCTCTCTCTCCTTCCTCGCCTCACTACCAACCTCACTCAACCCACCAGGCCCATTACCAAGAGGGCTTTTAGACGCACGTCTCTTAGGCGACACAGACACTGCCCTTCCCTCCAGTCTTCCCTCCAGTCTTCCCTCCAGTCTTCCCTCCATTCGTCCCTCCAGTCTTCCCTCCATTCTTCCCTCCGTTCGTCCCTCTACGGACCCTTCTAAGCATCCCTCTTCCACATCTTCCCCTTCCTCCCTCTCATCCACCCCCACTTCCCCTTCATCCGCTTGATCCCCTCTCTCCCTCACCTCACCCTTCTCAACCTCCTCCCTCTGCCCCTCCACCCCTCTCCTCCCCCACCCCCTCCTTCCTTCTCCCTCCACACCCTCCCACTCCTCATACCCGTTATAAGCCCTTCCTTCCCGCCCCTCCCGCTCGTCTAGCGCCATTTCCCCCCTCCGGAGCCGCGACCAGCCCTCCCCAGGGTCCTCACCTCCCCCATAGCCCCCGCGCTCTCCCCGCCTACCAGAAAACTCCCCGCGCCCTTCCGCCCGAATATCCCCGCGCCCCTCCCTATCCGCGCCCGCGCCCCAGCCAGGCCCGCCACCTGCGCCGCCCGCGCCCGGATCCCCCGCGCCATGCCACACCCCCGAGCTCTCCCCGCCCCACCCATCCCCCCACCCTAGCGGAACGAAATCCTCCGCCCATGCGCCACCAGAATGCGGAAATCCCCCCCCGCGCCCATGCCCCAGCCTCACATCATACACACCCGCAAATTCCCCCATCCCTCCGCCATCCCCGTCCCTGCGCTCTCTGCTGCGCGGCTGCCTGAATTCGCCGCTCCCCCCCTCCAACGCGGGCAACGGCCCAGGGGGAAGGCCTCCCGCCAGCCTCCCCCCGCGGGGAAATTGCCCGCCATTGCACCGCTCGTCGCCCCCCCTCCCTGCTCTCTCCCCCGCCTCCTCGTCGCGAATCTCCCCAGCCTCCATTCTCGACCTAGCAAAACCCCTCTCAGCCTCTTCCAACCACCCTGGACCGCGCCTATCCTCCCGCTCCCCCGCATCCGGGCCATAGTCCCCCCTCCCAGGTATATCCCGCCGCGCGGGTCGCCACGTGTCATCCCTAGGAGAAGGCCCTCGCCAACCAGCAGGGCCCCTGGGGTACAGCCTACGTGGATCGTCGTCCATTCCCGGGATTCGCGGCCATCTTGGCATGGCTCCGCCGGGGAAACGCCCTAGCGGATGTTGCGGATCGAACGGGCGGTGGAGGTCGGGGTGGGGGAAGTGGGGCCCCATGGGGTGCGGCGGGGGCGGACCCATGGGGAGGTCGCGCCCGCACTTGGCCTCTGTGTGCCCGAAGTGCCCGCACGCGGCGCAGAGGGCGCGCGCGTTGCGGTCGCCTACCGCGGCGGCGTGGGCGGCTGGGGGCAAACTGCGGGGTAACCCGCCGCCGGCACCGCCCCTGCCGCCGAAATTGGGCCAGACGCAGTTTCGGGAGAAGTGGCCGAAACCACCACAACGAAAACATTGGACCCGCGATGAATCTGCCATTTTTCCGCGTTTTTTTGTTAAGGAAGTAACCGAATAAGGGTGCAGTCACTGTCGAGCGGTCTTATTTTAAGAGTGTGGACGAACTACGGCAAATCCGCTTCGCGAATCCATGACGATTCGACGCGTCGGCTGCACAATAGAGAAATTCGAGAAAAAACAAACACAGGCAAAGTACCTTCGAATTAGAACATTATGATAACCTAATTTGTCAAGTCTCAAAACTCCAAACACAAGGAACTCTCAAAACGTTGCTGGGTGACGCGAACAGCAACCAAAGCTTGCTCGAACGAAAAGCGATCGTCGAAAGTTAAGACACAACGTAAAACAAAGCGCAACTCTCTCAACGCTAATCAGACGCCGAATGAGCGGCTCCGCAAAAACTACGAACCCTCGACGCGCGACGATCATCGCAAATCGCGACTATCAATAAAATAAGAGCACTGACATGCATAGCGAGGTTTGGCGGGAAGTCGTATCGCACGCGCTGCGTACTCCGAATGAACTCCTTGCAAATCAAGTACCGACACACGAGAAAGACGCAGCCTGCTCGACGAGAATGGACGGATGGGTCCTGACTTAAACAAAGCGTCCACAGACAAATTAGGGTTAGTACGAAAAGAAAAAAAGCAAATGTTCACTTCATCCAAGTTAACGGTGGCATCTCTAACGGGCTCCTTCCTACGAAGAAGCAATCTTCGCCGTTCGCCTGGCCAGCCACGAATTTACGTCCTTTGGAAACAAGAAACTGCAAGAGACAGAGAGTACTAGGCCCGAGGATTTACTACTCCTCCGGTATCTCTTCGTTAGCTCGTTCGGAACGACCAGCCGCTGCTGCCGGCTCTACGTCCTGTGGAAACGAGAAAGCGGAAAAGGCAACAGAAACGAAAAGCAGCAAAATGAGCAGAAGCTGTGAGCGAGTATCGAAAATGTGATCTCGGGGTGGTGATGAAGGGAGAGGAGGAGCAAAGAGGGTGTGATTGGAAGCAGCGAGTTGAGATGGGTTGGGGGGGAGAACCTCGATATTGGGGTTCAGAGGGTCTGCGCGGGAAAACCATTTCAAGGTTCCAGCCAGTCACCGTAGATCCGACGTTTCCGCATAGGTGAAGATGGTGAAATATCGGACGGTCATTATCCACAGAGGCGGTCTTTGAGCCAATCGTGTGACGTCAAATTTCCAGGGAGGTTCATTTATTTTCTTAACAACGCCAACTCTGCTCACCGCAAGCAAATGCCACAAAAACCCTCAGTGTAGCCGATTTCACGCTGTCGTTATGAGTACAGTATAAGCTTTGTCAACCAGAAATATACGCATATGGTTTCGTGTTACGACTTACGGATTAGCTCGAAACATTAGGTCCAATTCAGTTGCCCCACAAGGGAAGGGGAAAAGGCAAAAGACGTGGAAGGGCAACTACTCTCATTTTCTTCCTTATTAGATGCCGCGCTATTTAGTGGCAAGGAACTATGTTTGCCCGAAGTGAGCGGCAGTGAGTTTATGTTGCGTGATGTGACAGCAAACATACATTATTGTCTTTCATTCCGTTCTTAGGGCGGCGGCGGTCTCAGTCATAAAAATTGCCCTCCATTCCTGCTTCCTCGTTCGACTACCTTTGCCCGTCGCCGTGCCATTCGCTTTCCAGCGTGTGCCCTAATTCGCTGCATAAATAACGCGAATAGCAACTCCACAGTTCAGCGCTTCGACGCGCCTCTGAACGCTCTGTAGAAGCGCCTGAAGCACTTGAGAACACGTGCCTGAAAGTTGCCGTTGCTAGCTGCTGTAATCTTCAACTGCTGTTAGCTTCACTCTTTACCCGTTATAAGCTGCTCCAAATTCGTTACTGAGAGGGTAACAAGGTCGTGTGCGATGAGCGGCGATGTCAGCAGCGGTATTCCCTGGGACGGCGTGCTCGCCTGCGCCAGCGGCCTCGCCTTTCATTGGCTTAGCTCGCGCAGCGGAAAGTGAGACGCCGTTTATAGCAGCATGACCTATGCGGTTTTTTTTTTTCGTGTTTTGAGACGTCTAAAAAATATTTAGCATGCGCCAGCGGCCTCGCCTATGGGTTTTAATTTTTTCGTGCACACATGTTTGTTCCCCCTTATATGGCTTACTTGTGTGCACGTTGTAACATGTACACATATTGTACTCCGTTGCCCTCTCTTCTGTGAAACATTGCAGGGAAGCCACGTCACTCAAGGCAGTCCCAAGGGTGCCCAGGCTGAGAGAGCTCGGTAAGCAACCTCCCTCCGTTTGGCTGAGCGTTATGACGCTATCTGCAACATTTGATTCAGGTTTTTAGGCGCCTAGAAAAAAAAAAATCAAGGTTGCCCAGGCTGAGAGAGCTTGGTAAACAAGTTCCCTCCCTTGGCGTTCTTTTGACGTGCCTCCAAACAAAGAAATGAGGCGCCACGAGATTGAATCCCTAAAATCTCAACATCCAGGCGCCTCAACCTCAACTGATTAGTAAGCAACCCCCCCCCTCCCAGACCCCCCTCTCCTTGGCTCTTTTGAGAAAGATCAAAGGTAACTCATGACGCTCTCCCTGACGCGTTCATCTTTGATGTTTTATTGTCTTTAGAGAATTCCCAACAGTGTAAGGTGTATTGTAGCCAGGACCGGATCTGGTGTTTGGAGTTCGAGTGTGCAGTGAGTTGCAGGGTTTTTTTGAGATTTCTCACAAGTTCACTCCCTCTGCTCTGCTGTTCGTGCTTGCTCCCTGTCTGTTTCCAGGAAGGATGCTGCAAGGCACCAAGGGGTTCTCCCTTCTGATCGTTGCAGTCACAAGCTTTGAGGCGCCTCACACACAAATGCTTTGTCACTGCCTTGTGTGTGCTGTCCCTCTGCACTGCAGGAAGAAGGTGACTTTAGAGTCGACTCAAAAGTCACACAAATGCTTTGCCACTGCCTTGTGTGTGCTGTGCTGTCCCTCTGCACTGCAGGAAGAATGCTGCAAGGCACCAAGGGGTATTCCCCTCTGATCGTGGCAGTCACAGGCAAAGTGGGCAGCGACCAGCCAATCACGTGCGAGAACAGCAGCCTACGTGGCGTCATCGTGGAGCAGACTGTGAGTGAGCCACGTCAGCCTACAGTTCAAGCTCTGAGTGAGCCACGTCAGCCTACAGTTCAAGCTCTGAGTGAGCCACGTCAGCCTACAGTTCATGCACTGAGTGAGCCACGTCAGCCTGCAGTTCAAGCACTGAGTGAGCCACGTCAGCCTACAGTTCATGCACTGAGTGAGCCACGTCAGCCTGCAGTTCAAGCTCTGAGTGAGCCACGTCAGCCTACAGTTCATGCACTGAGTGAGCCACGTCAGCCTGCAGTTCAAGCACTGAGTGAGCCACGTCAGCCTACAGTTCATGCACTGAGTGAGCCACGTCAGCCTACAGTTCATGCACTGAGTGAGCCACGTCAGCCTGCAGTTCAAGCGCTGAGTGAGCCACGTCAGCCTGCAGTTCAAGCACTGAGTGAGCCACGTCAGCCTGCAGTTCATGCACTGATCTACTTTATTGAAAAGCCTGTGGTATCAAACCCCCTTCCCTTCCCCCATCTCTTCACCCCTCTCTTGCTGCAAGCATCCCCCCGTTTCCCCTTCCCTGTGATTTTCTTCCTCTCCCCACGAGCAGGCGGAGCAGTTCTTTCTGAAGCACAACGATGCAAGACCCGTATTGAAGCAGCAAGTTACCCCCCTGTGCCCCTCTCCCTTCCCTTCCCCCAACCCCCACACGAGCAGGCGGAGCAGTTCTTTCTGAAGCACAACGATGCAAGACCCGTATTGAAGCAGCAAGTTACCCCCCTGTGCCCCTCTCCCTTCCCTTCCCCCAACCCCCACACGAGCAGGCGGAGCAGTTCTTTCTGAAGCACAACGATGCAAGACCCGTATTGAAGCAGCAAGTTACCCCCCTGTGCCCCTCTCCCTTCCCTTCCCCCAACCCCCACACGAGCAGGCGGAGCAGTTCTTTCTGAAGCACAACGATGCAAGACCCGTATTGAAGCAGCAAGTTACCCCCCTGTGCCCCTCTCCCTTCCCTTCCCCCAACCCCCACACGAGCAGGCGGAGCAGTTCTTTCTGAAGCACAACGATGCAAGACCCGTATTGAAGCAGCAAGTTACCCCCCTGTGCCCCTCTCCCTTCCCTTCCCCCAACCCCCACACGAGCAGGCGGAGCAGTTCTTTCTGAAGCACAACGATGCAAGACCCGTATTGAAGCAGCAAGTTACCCCCCTGTGCCCCTCTCCCTTCCCTTCCCCCAACCCCCACACGAGCAGGCGGAGCAGTTCTTTCTGAAGCACAACGATGCAAGACCCGTATTGAAGCAGCAAGTTACCCCCCTGTGCCCCTCTCCCTTCCCTTCCCCCAACCCCCACACGAGCAGGCGGAGCAGTTCTTTCTGAAGCACAACGATGCAAGACCCGTATTGAAGCAGCAAGTTACCCCCCTGTGCCCCTCTCCCTTCCCTTCCCCCAACCCCCACACGAGCAGGCGGAGCAGTTCTTTCTGAAGCACAACGATGCAAGACCCGTATTGAAGCAGCAAGTTACCCCCCTGTGCCCCTCTCCCTTCCCTTCCCCCAACCCCCACACGAGCAGGCGGAGCAGTTCTTTCTGAAGCACAACGATGCAAGACCCGTATTGAAGCAGCAAGTTACCCCCCTGTGCCCCTCTCCCTTCCCTTCCCCCAACCCCCACACGAGCAGGCGGAGCAGTTCTTTCTGAAGCACAACGATGCAAGACCCGTATTGAAGCAGCAAGTTACCCCCCTGTGCCCCTCTCCCTTCCCTTCCCCCAACCCCCACACGAGCAGGCGGAGCAGTTCTTTCTGAAGCACAACGATGCAAGACCCGTATTGAAGCAGCAAGTTACCCCCCTGTGCCCCTCTCCCTTCCCTTCCCCCAACCCCCACACGAGCAGGCGGAGCAGTTCTTTCTGAAGCACAACGATGCAAGACCCGTATTGAAGCAGCAAGTTACCCCCCTGTGCCCCTCTCCCTTCCCTTCCCCCAACCCCCACACGAGCAGGCGGAGCAGTTCTTTCTGAAGCACAACGATGCAAGACCCGTATTGAAGCAGCAAGTTACCCCCCTGTGCCCCTCTCCCTTCCCTTCCCCCAACCCCCACACGAGCAGGCGGAGCAGTTCTTTCTGAAGCACAACGATGCAAGACCCGTATTGAAGCAGCAAGTTACCCCCCTGTGCCCCTCTCCCTTCCCTTCCCCCAACCCCCACACGAGCAGGCGGAGCAGTTCTTTCTGAAGCACAACGATGCAAGACCCGTATTGAAGCAGCAAGTTACCCCCCTGTGCCCCTCTCCCTTCCCTTCCCCCAACCCCCACACGAGCAGGCGGAGCAGTTCTTTCTGAAGCACAACGATGCAAGACCCGTATTGAAGCAGCAAGTTACCCCCCTGTGCCCCTCTCCCTTCCCTTCCCCCAACCCCCACACGAGCAGGCGGAGCAGTTCTTTCTGAAGCACAACGATGCAAGACCCGTATTGAAGCAGCAAGTTACCCCCCTGTGCCCCTCTCCCTTCCCTTCCCCCAACCCCCACACGAGCAGGCGGAGCAGTTCTTTCTGAAGCACAACGATGCAAGACCCGTATTGAAGCAGCAAGTTACCCCCCTGTGCCCCTCTCCCTTCCCTTCCCCCAACCCCCACACGAGCAGGCGGAGCAGTTCTTTCTGAAGCACAACGATGCAAGACCCGTATTGAAGCAGCAAGTTACCCCCCTGTGCCCCTCTCCCTTCCCTTCCCCCAACCCCCACACGAGCAGGCGGAGCAGTTCTTTCTGAAGCACAACGATGCAAGACCCGTATTGAAGCAGCAAGTTACCCCCCTGTGCCCCTCTCCCTTCCCTTCCCCCAACCCCCACACGAGCAGGCGGAGCAGTTCTTTCTGAAGCACAACGATGCAAGACCCGTATTGAAGCAGCAAGTTACCCCCCTGTGCCCCTCTCCCTTCCCTTCCCCCAACCCCCACACGAGCAGGCGGAGCAGTTCTTTCTGAAGCACAACGATGCAAGACCCGTATTGAAGCAGCAAGTTACCCCCCTGTGCCCCTCTCCCTTCCCTTCCCCCAACCCCCACACGAGCAGGCGGAGCAGTTCTTTCTGAAGCACAACGATGCAAGACCCGTATTGAAGCAGCAAGTTACCCCCCTGTGCCCCTCTCCCTTCCCTTCCCCCAACCCCCACACGAGCAGGCGGAGCAGTTCTTTCTGAAGCACAACGATGCAAGACCCGTATTGAAGCAGCAAGTTACCCCCCTGTGCCCCTCTCCCTTCCCTTCCCCCAACCCCCACACGAGCAGGCGGAGCAGTTCTTTCTGAAGCACAACGATGCAAGACCCGTATTGAAGCAGCAAGTTACCCCCCTGTGCCCCTCTCCCTTCCCTTCCCCCAACCCCCACACGAGCAGGCGGAGCAGTTCTTTCTGAAGCACAACGATGCAGGCGCGTGGGTGCAGGACTCGGCGTTCCTCATCCGAAATTTGAAGTCTGTGCCGTGGTATATTGTAAGTCAACGCTGGTCAACGCCAGTCATCATCGCTGGTGCATTGTGAGACTGTGAGTCAACGTTGGTCAACGCTGGTACATTGTGAGGCTAGTCAAGGCTGGTCAACGCTGGTCAAGGTTGAGGATGAAGGTTTGTACGGTATGAGCTGATGCAGTCAACGCTGTGGTAAGCTCTGGTAATCCGTGAGTCAACATGAGTCAACTCTGACGACTCGACATGCCTTGAGTCAACATGAGTCAACTCGGATGAAGGCTGTTAGATGGTGGGTCAGTTTCAACTTTCGAAGACCCCTTGGTTTGTCTTGACTAACCACCACAGGACGACGTCACTGGCAGAAAAAAAAAAAAAACAAACAAACAAACAAACAAACAAACAAACAAACAAAAACAAATCTCGTACACCTTTTGGTTTGCGTGTCCAACCACCGCAGGACGATGGCACGGGCCGAGCCAACGTGGTGGGGGCACGTTCGGCAGCAGGCTTGGAGCTGACGGTTGGCACGGAGGTGTTTGATGACAGTGGCAAGTCGGTTGTGCGCAGCACTGTGGACTATCTGCAGGTGGGTGGGAAGCGGTTGGGATGGGTTGTGCATGGGTTCTGAGAGCCTGTGAGTGAGTGAGTGAGTGCAAGTGTGCAGTGGTTGACGGGGCAGTGAGTTGAAAAGGGCAGAGAAGGCTTGGAGCTTACAGTGGGCACGGAGGTGTTTGATCACAGTGGCAAGTCGGTCGTTCGTAGCACTGTGGATTACCTGCAGGTGGGTAAAAAATGATGTTGAGTTGAGGGTGGGTGATCGCGCATCTGAGTGAGCGAGTGAGGGCGATTGTGGTGAGGGCAGGCGTGCAGTGGTTGATGGGGCAGTGGGCTGTAGCGGGCTGAGCAGGCTTGGAGCTGGCAGTGGGCACGGAGGTGTTTGACCACAGTGGCAAGTCGGTTGTGCGCAGCACTGTGGATTATCTGCAGGTGGGTGGGGAGCGGTTGGGATGGGTTGGGGATGAGCTGGGCTGGGTTGGGGGTAGGTTATGCAGGGGTTGTGGGTGGGTGACAGTGGCAAGTCGGTGGGGCGCAGCACTGCGGACTATCTGCAGGTGGGTGGGAAAGAGGGAGAGGGGGGGAGGGGGGAAGGGGGAAGTGGGTTGGGTTGGGGTAGGTTGCCTGAGTCAGTGAGCGAGTAGGGTTTGGGTTGGGTGGGCACGGAGGTGTTTGACCACAGTGGGCACGGAGGTGTTTAACCACGGATCGAGATTCAAAAGTCATCTCGGGCACGGAGGTGACTTTGAGTCGACTCAAAAGGGGGTTGGGTGGGCACGGAGGTGTTTGACCACAGTGGCAAGTCGGTGGTGCGCTGCGCAGCGCAGCATTGCGGACTACTTGCAGGTGGGTGGGAAGTGAGGTGGGTGAAGCGGGGAAGGTGGGGTTGGGTTTAGTGGAGTGGGTGCGTTGCCATTGGGGTGGGGTGACAGTGGCAAGTCAGGGGTGCGCAGCACTGCGGACTACTTGCAGGTGGGTGGGAAGTGAGGTGGGTGAAGCGGGGAAGGTGGGGTTGGGTTGAGTGGAGTGGGTGCGTTGCCATTGGGGTGGGGTGACAGTGGCAAGCAAGTCGGTGGGGCGCAGAACTGCAGACTACTTGCAGGTGGGTGGGAAAGGAGGTTGGGTGGATTGTCCTGCGTGGGAAGGGGTTGGGGTTGGGTTGGGGTGGGTGGGGTGGGTTGTGCAGGGGTTGGGATGGCAAGGCGTTTGTGCGCGGCACTGTGGACTGCCTGTAGGCGGATTGTGTGTGTGGGCGTGTGTGTGGGCGTGTGTGTGGGCGTGTGTGGGCGTGTGTGTGGGCGGGCGTGTGTGTGGGCTTATTGTCTCCCCTGCACTTCGCATCCAGTACCATCCATCCACATTGCACTGCACCACATGACACCGCACCCCACCCACCCCTCCCCACCGCACTCCACCCCACTGCAACCCACCCCATCAGGGCATCAAGGTGCTGGGAGTGAAGCGAGTGGAGAAGGTGCTTCCAGTGGGCACCAGCCTCACAGTCGTGGGTGAGGTGAGATATGATGCGGTTAAGTGCGGTGAAGAGGGTTGAAGAGGGGTTAGAGATTTGAGGCGAATTATAGCAGATTGATGTGAGGCGCACTAAGAGAGATAGGGTCAGGTCAGGGGCGGTGCAGAAGTGTGCTGGCGTGGGCGAGAGAGAAGCACAGCCAGAGTTTCCCATCGTCTTTCCTCTCTCCACCCCGCCAGGCTGTGATGTGAGGGACGATAGGGGAAGCATCACATCACCCTGCAGCAGCTGCACCAGGGAGGCCCCTTCTTCGTCTCGCGCCGCTCCCTCGACGCCCTTATAGCCTCCCTCTGCACGTTCTCCTAGTGGTGCCTGTGCCCGTCCATCATCTCACCGCCCTCATTCCATCCACCTTCGGTTCTCCCCTCTCCATCCCCTTCAGGCTGTGAGGGACGATCGGGGAAGCATCACGCTGCAGCGGCCGCACCAGGGCGGCCCATTCTTCGTCTCGCCGCGCTCCCTCGACGCCCTTATAGCCTCTCTCGGCACGTTCTCCCAGTGGTGCCGGTGGCTGTCGTATGGGTGCACGGCCGTGGGTGCGGTGCTGATAGTGGGGCGCATCGTGGGGGGCGTGATGGAGAGGAGGAGACGGGCCGCCATCAGGAGAAGGTATGATTTGACCTGCGTTGACTGGCATTGACTTTGTGTTTGGCTCGTTCTCCCAGTGGTGCACGGCGGTGGGTGCGGTGCTGATAGTGGGGCGCATCGTGGGGGGCGTGATGGAGAGGAGGAGACGCGCCGCCATCAGGAGGAGGTGATAGGGAGGGTTTGACTTGCATTGACTCGCATTCAATTTGTGTTTGGCACGTTCTCCCAGTGGTGCTGGCGGTTGTTGTAATGGTGCACAGCTGTGGGTGCGGTGCTGATAGTGGGGCGAATCGTGGGGGGGGGGGGGGGAGGGGCGTGATGGAGAGGAGGAGACGCGCCGCCATCAGGAGGAGGTGAGAGGCTCTGTGGCACGTTCAGCCAGTGGGGCCGGTGGTTGTCGTATGAGTGCACGGCAACCACTGGCACGGCTGTGGAACAGAAAAATGGTTTTGAACCGCATCAAGCTTTACGTCTGTAAAATGGTTCTTTGCTTGTGGCTGCGAGCTGGTACACTGGCGAGAGCTAGACGACTTTTGAGACGTCTCAAAAGGGTTTGAACCGCAGCAAGGCGTACGTCTGTAAAATGGTTCTTTGCTTGTGGCTGCGAGTGGGTACACTGGCGAGAGCTAGAACCCCTGCTGCCTTGCATTTTCTGTCTGCTGCATTCGTGCGTGTTCTGTATGCGTGCATGGACGTGTGCGTGTGCGTGTATGTATGGATGGTTTGAACGTCTGAGTTGATGCATGCATGCGTATGCGTATGCGTATGCGTATGCGTATGCATGTGTGCATGTCTGCATTTGTCTCATTGTGTGTGTATGCATCGCAGAGTATTAGAGGCGGAAGCAGCAGCATCAGCAGCAAGGGACCAGAACAACTCTTCAGCCTCACAAAACGATCCTGCCACGTCAGATGCAGACAAGGAAGCAGCTGACGGGGACTTGCCAGCTCAGCTGCCCGACACCTGTGTGATCTGCCTGGAGCAGAAATACAACTCTGTCTTCGTCCCGTACGTCATTCAGTGCCCGTTTCTACGTCTCGAACCGTTTTCTACGTTCTCGGTTTCCTGTTTGTCCAGTCTCCAACCCTTGTGCGCCCTGTTGTCTCCCTCCCACTCTTCCCCTGACACCTGTGTGATCTGCCTGGAGCAGAAATACAACTCTGTCTTCGTCCTGTACGTCTTGAATCGTTTTCCACGTCCACGTTCAATGCCCGTTCCTACGTTCGGTTATCTGCGTCCTCGGTTTCCTGCTTTTCCTTGTTTCTCCGCTGTGAGCTCGGTTGACACCTGTGTGATCTGCCTTGAGTAGAAATACAACTCTGTCTTCGTCCCATACGGCCCTCCTCTGTGATTCACTACCAATCTACGTCCTCTTTTTCCTGTTCTCCCTTGTTGATCAGTTGTCCTTTGCTTGGAGAAGAAATAAAACTCTGTCTTCTTTGCGATTTCTAACCTCCTTCCCCTTCCCCCCTCCCCCCAACACACACACAGCTGCGGCCACATGTGCTGCTTTGTGCACCTGTACGGCTCAGCTCACTCAGTGCCCCCTCATCTTGTCAGCGCTCATACTCTTTCCTTCCCCGCCCAACGATTTCTGATATTTCCGACCTTTTATTCCCCTCTTCTTCACGCGTTCCCCCCCCCACACACACACAGTTGCGTCAACATGTGCTGCTGTGTGCACCTGTGCGGCTGAACTCACCCAGTGCCCCCTCATCTTGTCACGCCCTGTACCAACCCTTTCCTTCACCAAACTACTCCTGCTCGCCACCTCTTTATCCACCCCCTTCTCCCCTCTCCCCTCCGCTCCCCCCCTTCCCCACACAGGTGCGGCCACATGTGCTGCTGTGTGCACTGTGCCGCTCAGCTCACTCTGTGCCCTCTCTGCCGCCGCCGAATCGACCAATTAGTTCGAACCTACCGCCACTGACACGTGCCGCTAGATTCAGTGTTTGGCTCAGCTAGAACAAGAACACCCCACCAGGCCCTCCCCATCGACCAACTTTAGTTCGAACAAACCCCCCGCCACTGGCACATATTGCCTTGCAAGAAGGCACATGGAAATTCGGGTGTGAGTTGGGTGTCTGGTAGTTGGTTCAATTGCTTCAGATTGCTTGCTGGTATTTTGTTTGTCTCCCCCTATCCATGCTGGTACGGTAAATGCATAGGCATTGGTACAGTTTTTTGTATATAATTTCCATGTTATCACACTCATACTCTGATGCTTGTAACAGTCTCAAGATCAGGCTTAGCACAGTACCGTTATTTACATACACAATCAGATGATTCAGCAGTTATTTGCGTACGTATGCGACAATTATTCACTTGTTGACCGTCGTGTATCCCCGACATCGCTGTGAAAACGAGGAAGCACATCAGTAGGCTATTCAACGGTCCGTGTTCTTTTATTGAAGCCGGCGATGCCGTGCCAATTTGGTTTGACAGCACAACCGCGAAAAATCGGTGTTTCAGGGACTCCTGACTGTCCCCCCTTTACAATCAATAACCCTTGTTCCAATCAGCCACGTCCGCTTCGCGCCTCGTGCTCGACACCTCATCGTGTGCCTTCCACTACCGTTCCACACCGCACCTCCCCAACCGAACCATCCTCCCCTCTCCCCTTTCCAGTTTCCCCACAACCCTCCCTTCTCGCGCCATTTCCGTCAGCTCACGCCTTTCCAGTCTCCACCAATCGGCCACTTCGATCTGCTGCACGTCTGATCGAGTCTGTCAGGGGGGTTACGATGACGATCCAGGAAGTCAGGAGTGTTTGCCTTGTTTAGCATGTGCTTCGTAGTGATCTTTCGCGGCTACCCTGCAAAAGGAGTTTCCGAGGCGGCTGGAACACAGTATTGCCTGGAACTTATCTCAACAAATTCCAAATTTTAAAGACGCTCGTGAGCGACTTCGCGGGTACACTACAGTGATAAGATAGGCTGGTTACACCTCGTTTTTACCAGGGCAGGGTGCCCCAAAGCTCAACTTCACCCCTGCGTTCCCCTCCCTCCCTGACCCTCCCTCCCCTCGCCGGGTGGCAGCAGGTGGCATGGCATGACCACTCTCTCTCCTCCCTAGCCAAAAGCGACCAGCCTTCCTTCTTCTTCCCACTACGCCACATCGAGTAGGTCACGTGACGAGCATCGTCCGCTCTCGCACCTGCTCAAGCCGCAGAGCATAGGCATTGCCCGTGCTCCCGTCAACCTCACGCCTTGTTTCTCCTCCACGTCGTCAGAGGCCGGAAAAAGGCGTGTGCGCCCCGCGTGGCGAGGCAAACACCAAACTCCGAACACCCACTAACCGACCAACCGCGGCTATCCATCTGCGACCCCACCTGATCATACGCCATGGCCCACTCAACGCGCTTCGCCGTTCTCGCACTCGCCGCGCTCCTCGCGCTGTTCCCCGCGCACGCGGCGCCCGCCGCGCCGGCCTGCGCGCTCACGGGGCTTCCGCCGAAGAAGCCCGTCGTTCCGCCGGCGCGATGCCCCGGGGCGGCGCAGCTGTCGTGCTGCTCGGACTGCTCCGACACGAGCCTGGCTCTGCAGCTGGTTTCAACCAACCTCGCGCAAGTCGTCCACCAGATCAACCCCGGCCTCGACGGCATAATCGATGAGGGTCTCATGGTAGGTGTTCCGCGAGCAGCATTTACCTTTTGTGATCCAAGATCCGAGATTGTTAAATCTTCGCGAAGCCGAAACCCGGCGGCTTTATCCAAGTCGATCTTATGGTCGTTCTGAGATTGTCTGCATGCAGCATTTGTCGTAAATGGTGCAGTTTTGAGAGTGTAAAGTCTCCGCGAACCGCCGTAGGCATCCTGCATGATGCAGCATTTATCGTGACTGCGAACAGTGCTCCCTTCAAGATAGAAAGTGGTATGCGCCGGGAATAAAAAATATGTAATCTGATGCTCAGCTAAAAACAGGCAATAGTCGGGGGTTCCCGCCTCCCTGGCGCGCCGGTGAGTGGTTTGCTATCTTACGGCTGCCTTCGTCAATGCTTCTCCAAACGTGAAAAATGATGTGTAGCTGCCTCCCTCCCTCTCCACTGATGCCTCTTCCTCCCGTTCGCCCTCTCTTCTTCCCCTGTGCTCCGGGCCTTTTCCCTCTTGCGCCGCCAGGTGTGCGAAGCGTTCAAGGTGTACCCCAAGTGCATGCTGATGATCGAAGCGATTGTCTGCGGCACCACGTGCAACCCAGGCAAGTGCTGCTTCATCGCGTCGCATCGCTGCCTTGCCACATTGTTGTTGCTGTTGTTTGTTTGCTGTTTTTTTTTTTTTTTTTTTTTTTTTTTGTGGAACGATTTGTTTGAGGCGTCACAACATAATCCAGGCGAGTGCTTCCGTCATGAGTGTATCGAGAAAAGTTTTCAAGATGCATGTTGAGAGTTGTGCGCAACGTGTTATTCTAGGATAATGTTTGTAATGATAAAAGACGCGCATGTTTTTTTCTTTGATGTTGCTCTGCAGATTCGGGAAGCTACGTTTCGAAATCCGCGTCGGGGGAGTACATCATGACGGTCTGCCCGGAATATGCGAACGCGACCTACGACATGTGCAAGGACGTCGAAAGTAAGACCCTAAAAAAAAACCGTGCGCCGAATGCCACGCGGTTCGATTTCAGCGCTCCAACTGTACCTGCACTCGCGCAGTGCCTTCGTTGTCGTTTTCTCTCCCCCCCCCCCCCCCCCCCCCCTCCCCCCCACCATCCCCCCGATGCACTTGCTAAGAAATAAGCAAACCAGCTCACGAACCATGCAGGTAAAGTTGTTACCACCATCCCTAGCGTCGAACACCTCATGATGCAATTGTATATCTGGCAATCCGACGCGCGGAGCCTGATGAGCTATCCTTCCCTCCTCCCTCCTGCAGTCAGTGGCTTCGCACTCAGCGGGCTCGTCCCGGACGCAAATGCCATGATGACCATGATCGTTTCCAATGTCATCGCAGTCATGGGTGTGACGAATTTCAACATCACCATTGCTCCCGTGAGTCTTCGTTCTAGCACAGCACATGTCTAATGTTAGTGTGTGTAATGTGTTGGTTATGGGTGTTGAGAGCTTCAGCAATAAGATCTCTCCTGTGAGTGCTTTGACTCCTCATCTCACTGCTCGCCTGCTCACCATTGCATCACCTCTTTTTTTTTTCAACGAGCATAGTTGTCTCCGGTAAGGCCTTTGTCAAACACCAACATCATCTGTTGCTACAGTAAAGACGTTACATGTATGTTGTTGGCTATATATATTGCATCATCAAGAAGCGCAATTGGTGCTGAGAATTGTCAATGTCGACATCAAATAATGGTCATTTCTACATTGTCCAACTTGTATTTTGCGCTTGCCCCAGTGAGCACTTTGCCCTAGCATAGCCCCATCATTTTACTCCGATGTTCCCCTACATAGAATTACTTATGAAATCTCTGTACTGTTCTTAACAATCACTTCCTTGGTCCCTTGGCGTTCCGCCTTCCCTACTCCGCATCACAGGGCACATGCTTCACAGGAGCTGCCTCCACGCCAGCCTACACCCCCTGCTGTGATCCCCTCGCCGTTGACCCCAAGTGCCCCGCGGGGTCAGTGGATACAGTAAAGTACGCGCCCTACATCAACCGCACCATCGATTCTGCAGCCTGCATGGGGAGTGCACCCCAGCCCGCCCCCGCCCCTTCCACCTCCACCCCTCCGGCACCTGCTCCATCCACTCCCGCCACTCCTACTCCTGGTGCGCCTGCTCCCTCTGTGATTGCTCCTGCTGCGCCTGCTCCTGCTCCGCCTGCACCCACTGCGGGAACCCCCCCGCCTTCGCCTCAAGCGCCAGGAGTGGTGCCTAGCACCCCTCCTGCCTCTCCTAGCCCCACGCCTGCGAGCCCCTCGCCCCCTCCCCCTCCGCCCAAGTCTGGGGCTGGTTCTGCCGCTTCGCTGATGTCGATGGTGGCTCTGGCGGTTGGCGCCGCAGCAGTGCTTGCGTGATGTGGGTAGTGCGGTATTGTTGGTTCTCCTAAGAAATGTTATCCTAGGAGGACTCGGTGCTTGTTGGGGTTGGGGAGTTTTTTGTCCCGCTCAGTGGCACTGAAGTGTACGCCACAATGCTGGCTTACATTCCATGAACTCGAAGTCTTCACTCCGAGGCCACCATTAGGCTTTTATCAACAACTGGGTAGTTGCATACTTCATCAACACCCTAGATTCAAGGGCCAGCGGTAATTTTGCCACTAAGAATGTATTCATGTCATGATAGATGTGCACCAGTTAGAGACTGTACCTTCTGAGTAGGATGGGTTCAGTTGTGTGGAGTCGAAAATGCTAATGGGGGGTCTGGTTTCGTCCTGCAGCTGGCGAAATGACTGTGCCACCACGATGTCCGGTTTTGTTCGCGAGAAATGTCGTGCACGTTCAACTCTTCCAGGCGAAATCCCTTTCCACATTGTTGCACGAGGAACCCAACCCAGAAAATCGCCCACTGCAAATGTTTTCGCATCTCACTTCGCTGGGTCGGGATTTTTCTCGCGAAGACGGTCACGACGCGGAACGTGGGATTTGGGGGGTGTTCAGGTGGGTCAGCGCGACGAGAGTCGTCGTGACGTGACTGACTCGCGACGGGCCCCAGCTGCAGAAGGGGTCCTTCCCCTCCCCAGTCTCTCCTCCTGACCCTTTGGAGATGATGGCGGGACCGGCAGTGTTGGCCGGCCGACCCTGGGAAATTCCGGCCGGCCGACGTCGCTACCTCCAAAACGCCATGCTCAGGGAGCGACGTCCGGTCCGGCCGTCAGATCTGAGGAAATTCCATAAAAGACCTACGGTAGGAGCATTCTCCGCTCTCACAGCTGCTGTTTCCGGGGTGCAGGCATTTCCTTCTCATGCTCCCGTCAACCTCGCACGTCAACAGAGGATTGAAGGAGGCGTGTGTGCCGTACGTGCATAGACATTGAATATCTAAGCCGGAAAAACAGAAAAGTTTGAAACGCTGAACTCATCAAACCGGCAGTCCGCGTCATGGCCCACTCAACGCGGTTCGTAGTTCTCGCCGCGCTCCTCGCGGCGCTCCTCCTCGCGCTGCTCCCCGCGCATGCGGCGCCCTCCGCCGTCGATCTCTGCGCGCTCACGGGGCTTCCGCCAAAGAAGCCCGTCGTTCCGCCGCACCGGTGCCCCGCGGCGGCGGAGCTGTCGTGCTGCGCAGACTGCGCGGACACGAATCGCGCGCTGCAGCTCGTGTCGTCCACCCTCGACGATGTCGCCCAACGGATCGACCCCAATATCCCCGGCAGCGGCATAATAGATCTCAGCCCCATGGTACGCTTCCGAACAGCCCCACGGTACGCTGTCCCCGCGTTCCGTTGCTGCTGGGGGTTCCGCTGCTGCGGTCCCCCACCTTCTGCGATCCCCCACCTTCTGCGGTCCCCCACCTGCGGGTCTCGGTTCAATCGGAACCGTACATCGCGACCGTACATCTGCAGCTGGATCTGTCAGAGATCGTCAGCCTTTCCGTCGAATATAACACCCACATCCACCGGTGCATGGGTTCCAATGTTAGTTGACTTGGTCAATGTAGCTTTCCTAGGGTTGCTACCCCCCCTCCCTCTCCCCGCCCTCCTCCCCATCTCCCCCCCTCCCCTCCAATCTCCTCCCCCCTCCCTCGCTCCACACTCCCCCCCCAATTCTTCCCATTCCTCTGCGTTGCGCCAGGTGTGCGACGCGTTTCAGCCGTACCCCCAGTGCATGCTCATGATTGAAAAGATAATTTGCGGCGCCACGTGCAACCCAGGCGAGTGCTGCTTCTTTTCGTCACTTCACATCGCTGCCTCTTTCTAATATTATTGATTTTCCGAGTATTTTGTTTTGAGGAGTTTCAGAACATACCAGACAGGTCCTTCTTCAATTCGTTGCTGGAAAGGCGCGGCCACATTAACATTTCTTTTGGCTTTGTTGCTTCGCAGATTCGGGAACCTACGTAGTGAAGAAGGGGGAGAAATCATTATGACGGTCTGCCAGGAATTTGCAACTACCGCCTACAAAGCATGCAAGGACGTTGAAAGTAAGACCGACCCCGTTCCCACTCATATCTTTCTATCCCGTTCCCTCTCATATCATTAAGACTGTTCCCGTTACCTCGAGGTCTTGCAGGGTCGAGAATTCTCAAAAACACCCTGCAACATCGAGTTCTTGCTCATGTCCCTGTTCCCTCTCATACCATTCTGTCCATCTTCCCACTCAGATCATTTTGCCCATACTTGCCTTGGCCCCTCTTTCCTTCTTCCCCGGGTTCCTTCTCCCCTTGCAGTCCAGGGCGTTGCAATGAACCAGCTCATCCCCGACGTTCAAAACATGATGGTCTATGTGACCAACTACGTTTCGAATTTCATGGGCATTCAGAACTTCAACATCGCCATCGGCACTGTGAGTGCTGCTTACTCCTTACCTTATCTTCTTGCTGCGTGTCTGCTTTTCACTGCAAGTCTGCTTTTCACTGCATCACCCGTTGATTTATCATCGAGCTTGCTTGTGTAGTGTAACGCATCGTGGGTACAGGTGACAGGCAGCCGCAGTTTCCCATAATCCAATCCAACCACTAATTATCTACTGTACTCCTTTTTCTTGCCACAGAGACCATGCCTCACGGGAGCCGCAGCCGCGCCAACCTACCCCCCCTGCTGCGACCCCCTCGCCGTCGACCCCAAGTGCCCCGCGGGGGCTGTTGACAAAGTCGCGTACGCGCCCTACATCAACCGCACCATCGATTCTGCCACCTGCATGGCGGGTTCTCCCCAGTCCGCCCCTGCGCCGTCCCCTCCTCGGGATGCTCCTGCTCCCCCTGCGCCTGGAGCTGCTGCGCCTGCACCCTCTCTGATTTCTCCGGGTGCGCCGGCTCCCTCTGTGATTGCTCCTGGTGCGCCGGCTCCTGCTCCGCCTGCACCCACTGCAGGCGTGCCAGGAGCGCCCAGTCCGCCTGCCTCGCCTAGCCCCACGCCTGCGAGCCCCTCGTTCCCTCCCCCTCCGCCCAAGGCTGGGGCTGGTTCTGCTGCTTCGGTGATGTCGGTGGTGGCTCTGGCGGTTGGCGCTGCAGTGTTTGTGTAATGGGGGGTTGGTAGACAAGAGTTGGCCCTTGTAACGAAGGTGATCCGGGGAGGACTTGCAGCACTTGTGGATGGAGTTTTGTCTGGTTCAGTGGCACGGATGGGTACATGACCAGGTTGATGGTTGTTGAAGGTAGGCTTATCAATTATCAACTCAAAAGTTCTTTTACCACTTCCACGCTGCCGTCATTTAGGCATACGGTAGGTGGTGCAGGGGGTTTCACTTCAGCCCTAAACCCTAAACTCTCAAAAGGGTTGACTAGGTCTCTGAAACTGCTTGGCTACGTCTTGGAATCATTAAGTGTAAAATCTTGGCAGCGAGATAGGGACAACCATATGCACGAGATAATTTCTGTACCTTTTGAGTAAGGTAGGCTTAGTAGTGTGCAGCCGAAAATGCTAGTAAGGGGTCGGGTTTCATCGTGCTGCTGGCGAAATTTCCTATCCCTCGCGATGGCCTAATTCGTGCATGTGCGATCGTGTAGGCGAACCAGATGTCGCCCGTACGAAGTTTTTCCGCGAGTTTCTCTGTTACTCACGGTTGTCTGGATCAATGAGGACCGATAACAGAAAATCGCCCTTTGCCAGATACTTTCGCATTGCAATTCGTCGGGTCGCGAATTTTCTCGCGAGGGGTCACTACCACAAATGTGGGATTTGGCTGGGTGTTCAGGCAGGACAGGGAGGAGCGTCATTAGTCGTAAGTGGTTTAGTCTCATCCTTAGTCCTGACCCACCCCCGACGGTGGCGGGACCGGCGTTGGCGGAACGGCCCTGGGAAGTCCCATGAGTACTCTTTGCTATCACAGCTGCCTCTATTCGTGACACAGGCATTTATCGTACTCCCGTTAACCTCACGCCTTTGTTTCTCATCCACGTCAGTAGGTGTGTGTGCCGTACGTCCTTGGATTTTGAATATAAAAGCCGAACAATTTTAAGTTTAAAACTCCGAACTTCCACCAAACCGGCAGTCCGCAGCTAGTAAGCGTCTGCGACCTGACCAGCTGACCTTATTCGCCATGGCCCACTCAACGCGCTTCGCAGTTCTCGCCTTCGCCGCGCTCCTCCTTGTGCTAGTCCCCGCGCATGCGGCGCCCGCCGCCGCCGCCGCCCCGCGCTGCACGCTCACGGGGCTTGCGCCGAAGAAGCCCGTCGTTCCGCCGCACCGGTGCCCCGCGGCGGCGGAGCTGTCGTGCTGCGCGGACTGCGCGGACACGAATCAAGCGCTGCAGTTCGTCTCGTCAACCCTTGACGATCTTGGTCAAATGATGAACACCTGGGATCTCTTTGGCGGCACCGCGCGGGTACGCTTAAATACATCTCAGCCACATGGTACATTTTCCCCGCGGCGGTGTTCCGCTGCTGCGAGGTTCCGCCGCGGTCCCCCATCCGCAGGTCTTGGTTCAATCGGAACCGTACATCTTAATGCCGGTACAGTCAGAAATGTTACGCATTCTATCGAATCGAACACTACAGAGGCTGGCTGTCAGAAAAGTGCCCAGGGCAATGCAGCCTTAGGGTTTCCAACGTTTTCCAATTTTAGAAAAGTTTGTTCGTAACACCCATCTCCGCCAGTGCAAAGGTTTGGTTTCCAAACCAAAGTTGCTTTTGACTTGGTCAATGCAGCCTTAGGGTGTTACAATCGAAGGGTTCCTATGTCAGAGTTGACTCGGTCAATGCAGCCTAAGGGTGGCAAAGGACTCGTCGCAGCATTGTTCCATACTCTCTGCTTCAGACCTCCCCTCAGTTTCCATCTTACCCGCCTCCCCTGCCCAACCCCCTCCTCCCCATCTCTCCTTCCGCCTCACAATCTCCTCCCACCCTCCCCTCGCTCCACGCACCCCCTCCCTTCCCCCCATTCGTCCTTTTCCTCCGCGTGCCGCCAGGTGTGCGATGCGCTTCAGCCGTACCCCCAGTGCATGCTCATGATCGAACGGATAATATGCGGCGCCACGTGCAACCCAGGCGAGTGCTGCTTCTCTCTTTTGGTACTCATCCATCGCTGCCCTTTTTTTTTCCCCCAACCCAAGTGAGGCACTCTTCTGGGTTTTGGCACCCAAGTGGTTGGTTTGAGGAGTTTCAGGACAACCCAGAAGAGTGCCTCTTCGTTTTGTCTTTATGACATGCATTGGCATGATATCGGCATGCATTTGCATGCCATCAGCATGCATTGGCATGCCATCAGCATGCATTTAGCATGTATTGGCACGGCCACATTGACATGGATTTAGAGAGCGTGCCGTTATGAATGCATGCTTGTAATTTTTCGCGGCGTGTTGATGCCAAGTGCCACATCACAAATTAATTAGTGAGAGCAATATCAGTATAATTGATCCAACTTGTTTTTGGATTTGTTGCTTCACAGATTCAGGAAGTTACATTGTGAAGACGGATTTAGAAATCATCATGACGCTCTGCCCGGAATTCGCAAATGCCGTCTTCGAAGCATGCAATGACGTCGAAAGTAAGTCACCGTTCAAATCTGTCAAGTCTTGCTGAAACCTACTCCTATGCAAGTGCTGCTCACTGGAAGAATGTCCTAAGATCTGCTGACACCGTTTAAAGTTATCAAATCTTGCAACATCCACTGAACCGTGTTTTGAGTGTCACTGCCTTATTCGCATCCTTCTATTCTTCCCGTTCTCCTTCCCGTCCCTGTACCCATTCAGATCGTATCATTCTACCCATACTTCCCTTCGCCCCTTCATCCTTCTCCTCTTGCAGCGATGAGCCAGCTCATCCTCGACGTGTTTTAAGTTGACTTGAAACACGACTCTTTCCTTCTTCCCCTGGTTCCTTCTCCCCTCCCCTTGCAGTCCGGGGCGGTCTGATATACCAGTTCTACCCCGACGTTCAAAGCCTGATGGACTATGTGGCTCTCTACGCCTCGAATTTCGCCTATTTGATGACTCTTGAATATCAGACTTTCAATATCACCATCGCTCCTGTGAGTGCTTTGCTTACTCTCTATTTTGAGCCGCCTCACTGCATAGCCTGATGGGATGGTCTATGCGGCGTACTACGCTTCAAATTCCCGTGATCCGAGCTCCACTGATGACGGCGGAGTGGTGTGATTTCTGTGAGCTTAAGACCGTATCAACATCGCTCCTGTGAGTGCTTACTGTCTGTTTTGAGACACTTCAAATTCCCATGATCAGAGTTCCACTAATGACAGCGGAGCGGGTGTGATCCTGTGAGCAAAGACCATATCTCCTGTGAGTGCTTACTCCTCATTGTCTTGCTGCATGTCTGCTTTATCTTCAAGCTTGCTTGTGTCGTGTGTTATGTAACGTGCCGTGGGTAACGGTGACTGACAGCCATATGAGTTTGCAATGGAAGTGGTTAAGGGTTCATGGCTGTCACCGTTGCAATGCAATGAACATTGCAGTTCATGCCAGAACATTGCAACGGGCCTTACTTTGCAACATCGTCCAATCCCTTGCAGTGACTAAATCCATTTTTTTGTTCACTCTAGCCAGTTCAGTTTCCCATGATACAACAACCCCTCATTCTTCACTCATACAACCCCTTCTCTTGCCACAGGGTGCATGCTTCTCGGGAGCCACGGCCGCACAAACCTACAGACTCTGTCTGTACTTAACCGTGACTTCTCATTCCGCTTTCCCTGCCCCGCGTCACCAGGGTGCATGCTTCTCGGGAGCCGCAGCCGCACCAACCTACACCCCCTGCTGCGATCCCCTCACCGTCGACCCCAAGTGCCCCCCAGGCGCGGTTGACAAAGTCAAGTACGCACACTACATCAACCGCTCATTATTCACTGCACTCCCTTCTCCTTGCCACAGGGTGCATGCTTCTCGGGAGCCGCGGCCGCGCCAACCTACACCCCCTGCTGCGATCCCCTCACCGTCGACCCCAAATGTCCCCGAGGCGCTGTTGACAAAGTCAAGTACGCGCATTACATCAACCGCACCATCAACTCCACCGCCTGTAAGGCCGCTGCGCCCCAGTCGACTCCCCTGCCTACTACCGCCACTGCTCCCGCGCCTGCTGCTCCTGTGCCTGCTCCCCCCGCGCCTGCTTCCCCTGCGCCTGCTTCCCCCGCGCCTGCTTCCCCTGCGCCTGCTCCCACTGCGGGAACTCCCCTGGCTTCCCCTAGCCCAACGCCTGCAACTCTCTCGTCCCCTCCCCCTCCGCCCAAGACTGGGGCTGGTTCCCCCGCTTCGCTGATGTCAGTGGTTGCTCTGGCTGTAGGCGCCGCAGCAGTGTTTGCGTAAATAACGGTGTGGTGGAGCATTTCTGGTCCTAGTAACGAAGGTGATTCAGTAGTTTCTTAAATGGAGGATGGAGTTTTGCCCTCTCCTTAGGCATGTATGGGTATGCAATGCAACCAGTTCGGTGGTGGTTGAGAGTTGGGTTATGATTTATTTATTGTTTGTGCATGCTATACACGGTATGCAGGGTCCTCAATTGTGCATATTTGGCACAAGGTTTATGGTGTAATTAATTGACTGCTAATGATGTAGAAGCACCTTATATGCTGGATCTTGTAAATTGATTCACACACGGGACTAGATTGTAGAATATTCTGCAGCAATAATGGTCTCTAGCTGTATAGCTGAAATGTTGAAACTAAATTATGTTCTGGATTATCATGGAGACGCTGTATTAAGGCAATCACAGACACAAGAATGACACTAAAGGGTATGAAGCGTGCGCCTGGCAACTGGGTGTTCGTGCATCGGGTCTTTCGGAGCAGAGTTTCAACAACCACCAGCACTACCAGCAGTGTTTGATACTTGGATCACGGTTTCCCCTCGAGCTCGTTTCAGGCGGTTGTCGCTGCCAGTGGCCTCGGAGGGAGTTCGTTTCAGGCGTCCGTCAAGCACCGAGGATTAGTTGCAAAATTTGCGTCCTATTCGGCCGGTTTCCGCCCTCCATTTCCCCCAACATTCAGTAATAGTCGTAGTTGAGCGCTACATTTGATTCCTTTCAGCGGTGTTTCAGGGGTCCTCGGAATTTTTAGGGATTCCACGTTCCCTCCGGGCTATTGCCGGGTTGCTTCCCGCCGTCCATCTGCAAACCAATTATGCCAGGCGCGGGGAGCGGCGGGGGAGGGGGAGGGCTGCGCGTGAGCACGCTGAACGGCGTGAAGGTGTATAACGTGTCGGGCGGCAAGGCCGTGCCCGAGTGGATTTCGGACAAGAAGAAGCGCGCTCTCAGGAAGGACGAAGGTACATGATTAGGGTTATTGTTTCGAAGGGATGAGAACAAGGGTTGCGAACGGATCAGGGTTAGGGTTTCGAAGGAGTTAGGGTTAGGCTACGGGCAACGCCATGCCCGAGTGGATATTGGACAAGTCGAAACGCGCTCTCAGGACGGACGAAGTTACAGGAATGGGGTAAAGGTTTCGAAGGGACGAGGGTTTGGGTTTTGAACGGATTGGGGTTCGGGTTTCTCCTGAAACGGTCAAGACCTTGTTCGAGTGGATATTTGACAAGAAGCAGCACGCGTTTAGCAGGAAAGAAGGCACACGATCACGGTTCGGGTTCCAACCAGATCAGGGTTTGGGAATTCGTCTCATGGGTTTAAACTGCCTCTGGGCCATTGAGCTCGTTTAGGAGCTCGAGCTCTAAGTCGCGTCCACGCAGGTCAAGACATTCTTGCTAGAGTCATCTCGCCTCACGAGCCATCTCGTGTGCGCACATTCGTGCATGCGTGGTACACTGTGACTGGTTTGTCGCCTTGTTGTGAGTGTGTTTGTGTGTGTGCCTCTCTCTCTCTCTCTCCCTTTCGCCAGACTACCTGCGGCGCATCGAGCTTATTCAGGACCTCGAGTTCAAAGTCGCCTCAACGCGGATCAAGGCATCTCGTGACGGCAAATACCTCCTCGCTTCAGGTGCGCTCAACAGCTTGAAGATTTACCACTGAGCCTCGCTAACATTCTTGCATCAGGTGCGTTTCAGTCGTCAGTAGGCGTTTAATTATCCCACCGAAACTGGTGGGACTCCACTGCTTTCCCATCCTCCTCCTTTTTCCTCGCCTTCCCCTCTCTCCTCCCTCCCAAACCCCCCGGGCTTGTACCCCCCACAAGTGCGGGTGTACGAGTTGGCAGAGCTCTCTCTCAAGTTTGGACTCGGAGCTTGTGGATTTCCGGGTTTTGACGTATTGAGGCGCCTCCTTGCCTTCCCCCAACTCCCCCAGGCGTGTACCCCCCTCAAGTGCGAGTGCACGAGCTAGCAGAGCTGTCTCTCAAGTTTGAGCGCAATCTGAATTCAGAGATCGTGGACTTTCAAGTGCTCACAGACGACTATAGCAAGATCAACACTCCTCTCTCTCTTGCTCTGTCTCCTCCTTGCCTTCCCAAACCCCCCACATCACACCCTCGAACCCCAGGCGTGTACCCCCCTCAGGTGCGCGTGTACGAGCTGGCAGAGCTGTCTCTCAAGTTTGAGCGCAATCTGGATTCAGAGATTGTGGACTTCCAGGTGCTCACAGACGACTACAGCAAGATTGCCTTTCTCTGTGCCGATCGCTCCGTGTGCTTCCATGCCAAGTTTGGGGCTTACTTCAAGACACGCATCCCCAGGTAAGCTGACCTGACCTGACCTGACGCTTAGTTCACATCATCACACACGTCTTTGACACTTAATTGACATGACACTTACGTGGCTCTTAGTCGACTCATGGTTGCGCTCTTTTCTCCCCATGCCGATTCAATCCCAGGATGGGCCGGGGATCGACGTACGGCCCAGCGTCGTGTGACCTGCTGCTGCTGGCTGCCGCCTTTTGAGGCGCCTCAAAAGATGACCCAGCGTTGTGTGACCTGCTGCTGGCTGCCGCCTCAATGTGCACCATCTCCCCTCCCCATGTGCTCTCTCTTTCCCCCCCTCCCCGCCATACTCCTCACTCTTCGTGCCAAACCAACCCCAGGATGGGCCGAGGGTTGGCGTACGACCCAGCCTCGTGTGACCTGCTGCTCGCTCGCTGCCTCCTCAACATACTATGCACCACTGCCTCCCCTCCCCATGTGCCCTCCCCTTCCCTCCATGCTCTCCCCTTTTCATGCCAAACCAATCAACTCCAGGATGGGCCGAGGGTTGGCGTACGACCCAGCCTCGTGTGACCTGCTGCTTGCTGCCTCCTCGCCGGAGATCTACCGGATCAATCTGGAGCAGGTGGGTGCAGTGCAGGTGGGTGGAGTGCATGTGACTGTAGCAGGTGTGATTGTAATGCGCACAAGTGACCTGCTGCTTGCTGCCTCCTCGCCGGAGACCTACCGGATCAATCTGGAGCAGGTGGGTGCAATGGAAATGGGTGCAGTGCAAGAGGTGGCTCTAGCAGCAGGTGTGCTTGGAAATCGCTTGCAGATATCTGCTCCTCACGTCACCTGCTCCTCCTCACGTGACCTGCTCCTCCTCACGTGATCTGCTCCTCACTGCCTCAGATATCCCCTTTCCCTTCCCCTCCAACCCCTTTCATCCTCCCACACACACATCCACCTCCGCCCTGTCTTTCTTCCCTCGCAGGGTCAGTTTCAGCAGTCGCTGCAGTCGCGGTCGCCAGCAGTGAACGTGATCGGGCGAGCCCCCTCCCACGGGCTGATTTCATCGCTCAACCCACTCTCTCCCCTCCCAATCCCCTACGCCCTTTCTATCTCCTCCCACCCACAGGGTCAGTTTCAGCAGTCGCTGCAGTCGCGGTCGCCAGCAGTGAACGTGATCGGGCGAGCCCCCTCCCACGGGCTGATTTCATCGCTCAACCCACTCTCTCCCCTCCCAATCCCCTACGCCCTTTCTATCTCCTCCCACCCACAGGGTCAGTTTCAGCAGTCGCTGCAGTCGCGGTCGCCAGCAGTGAACGTGATCGGGCGAGCCCCCTCCCACGGGCTGATTTCATCGCTCAACCCACTCTCTCCCCTCCCAATCCCCTACGCCCTTTCTATCTCCTCCCACCCACAGGGTCAGTTTCAGCAGTCGCTGCAGTCGCGGTCGCCAGCAGTGAACGTGATCGGGCGAGCCCCCTCCCACGGGCTGATTTCATCGCTCAACCCACTCTCTCCCCTCCCAATCCCCTACGCCCTTTCTATCTCCTCCCACCCACAGGGTCAGTTTCAGCAGTCGCTGCAGTCGCGGTCGCCAGCAGTGAACGTGATCGGGCGAGCCCCCTCCCACGGGCTGATTTCATCGCTCAACCCACTCTCTCCCCTCCCAATCCCCTACGCCCTTTCTATCTCCTCCCACCCACAGGGTCAGTTTCAGCAGTCGCTGCAGTCGCGGTCGCCAGCAGTGAACGTGATCGGGCGAGCCCCCTCCCACGGGCTGATTTCATCGCTCAACCCACTCTCTCCCCTCCCAATCCCCTACGCCCTTTCTATCTCCTCCCACCCACAGGGTCAGTTTCAGCAGTCGCTGCAGTCGCGGTCGCCAGCAGTGAACGTGATCGGGCGAGCCCCCTCCCACGGGCTGATTTCATCGCTCAACCCACTCTCTCCCCTCCCAATCCCCTACGCCCTTTCTATCTCCTCCCACCCACAGGGTCAGTTTCAGCAGTCGCTGCAGTCGCGGTCGCCAGCAGTGAACGTGATCGGTCGAAGCCCCTCCCACGGGCTGATTTCATCGCTCAACCCACTCTCTCCCCTCCCAATCCCCTACGCCCTTTCTATCTCCTCCCACCCACAGGGTCAGTTTCAGCAGTCGCTGCAGTCGCGGTCGCCAGCAGTGAACGTGATCGGGCGAGCCCCCTCCCACGGGCTCATTGCCTGTGGCGGGGAGGACGGCGCTTTGGAGTGCTTCGACAACCGCCAGGCCTCGGCCGTCTCTCGCATCGATGCAGTGGGAGCCACTGGGAACACTGAGCAGGTACAAAGGCCTAGGGTCGGGATGCTCGTACAGTTGTGGCATGTAGTGGTTTGGAAGCCCCTCCCACGGGCTCATTGCGTGCGGGGGGGAGGACGGCGCCTTGGAGTGCTTCGACAACCGCCAGCAAGTGACAGCAGTGCGGTTTGAGCACACGGAGGGCATGCATCTGGCTGTCGCTTGTGTGTCTCCACCTTTCCTTCACACAGCTTCAAACCCTTCATTCACCTTCCCTCTCCCTCCCCCACTCGCCCTGCCCCCTCCCTCCCTGCCAGCAAGTGACAGCAGTGCGGTTTGAGCACACGGAGGGCATGCATCTGGCTGTCGCTTGTGTGTCTCCACCTTTCCTTCACACAGCTTCAAACCCTTCATTCACCTTCCCTCTCCCTCCCCCACTCGCCCTGCCCCCTCCCTCCCTGCCAGCAAGTGACAGCAGTGCGGTTTGAGGACACGGAGGGCATGCATCTGGCCTTCGCCTTTAGCTGCTTTCACCTGTAAACCTTTCTCTCGCCCTCCTTCTCCCCTCCCTCCCTGCCTCTCTTTGCCAGCAAGTGACAGCAGTGCGGTTTGAGGACACGGAGGGCATGCATCTGGCCTTCGCCTTTAGCTGCTTTCACCTGTAAACCTTTCTCTCGCCCTCCTTCTCCCCTCCCTCCCTGCCTCTCTTTGCCAGCAAGTGACAGCAGTGCGGTTTGAGGACACAGAGGGCATGCATCTGGCTGTTGGCACGAGCACAGGGCAGGTAGGGAGGGGGTGAGGGTTCATTGGGGGACCCGGAGAGCTTGTTTGCTGGTTGTTTTTTCCCCCAGACGTGATGCTGCAGGGTGTTTTTGAGAATTCTCCAGGGTGTTTTTGAGAATTCTCAAAAACACCCTGAGGGTTCATTGGGGGACCAGGAGAGCTTGTTTGCTGGTTGTTTTTTCCCCCAGACGTTTCGAACCACAGTATTTGCCAGCGCAATGCCTGTGCATGTGGCGTAGGAAAAAATCAGCTCATTTTCACGCTTCTATGCACGCATCCTGTCACTCACCTCCCTTTGGAGACGTTTCATAAGCCTTTACACGCATTCTTTCACTGCTTTTCTCTCCCGTCCTCTATCCATCGTCCTCCTGAAGTCCGAAAAGGGTTTATCCACTTTCTGCCTGAACACCCGCCCTCTTCCTCTGCTCTGCCTTTGCACGATCCTTCATTCTGGCCTCTCCTGTGACCATCCCCCACACTTCCCTCTCCTCTTCCCACTCTCGCTCCCTCCCCCCATTCCTCCCTTCTTTCGTCCCCCAGGTGCTGCTGTTTGACCTTCGCTCCTCCAAGCCCTACCGGATAAAGGACCACATGTGAGTTGAAGGTGCTTGTGTGGGGAGGGAGGTGGTTGTGAGGGAGGTGCTTGCATGCAAGGGTAATCATCCCATCCCAGCACGTCATTCATTCCACTGAGTGCCCCTTCTCCCCTTCTCCAATTCTCCCCTTCTCCCCTATCCCCCTATCCCCCTTCCGCCTTCCGCCTTCCTCCCAACAGGTACGACAGCCCCATCCACAGCATCAAGTGGCACAGAGGCATAACGAAATGTTTACCCCTCTTTCCTCCCCGTCCCCTCCCCTGCTCTCACTCTCCCCCTCTTCTCCTTTCTTCCCAACAGGTACGGCAGCCCCATTCACAGCATCAAGTGGCACCGAGGCATAGCGGGGTCATCGCAGCACATCATCTCAACAGACAAGCGCATCATCAAGATCTGGAACCCTGCCACGGTATGTGTGCCATGCCATGCCATGGGCGAACGAGTATCTAGAACTCCACCGTCACAGACAGACAGCAGAAATGATGGGATTTAGCACCGCATGAGATCGGCTACGCACCTGTACAACTGACTCGTGAGTCGACTCAAAGACTTTTGAGTTGACTTTTGAGTCAACTCAAGCGGCACCTCATGAGATTTGCTAAGCACCCTCTACTGCTGAATCTTCCATGCTTCCCTCCGCCGTCTCTTCCTCAGGGCACCAATGTGACAAGTGTGGAGCCAACCGAGCCAGGCGGCATCAACGACGTGTGTGTGATGCGAGGCAGCGGGCTGATCGTGGCAGCAATGGACTCGCCCCGCCTGCAGGCATACTTCATCCCCTCCCTGGGGCCCGCACCCCGCTGGTGCTCGTTCCTTGAGAACATCACGGTAAGTCTGTGAGGCACTATACGTGGTGGTAGTGAGACGACTGGGGCAAGAGCAGGCTGGTCGTGGCAGCCATGGACTCGCCCCGCCTGCAGGCCTACTTCATCCCGTCTCTCGGCCCTGCCGCCTGCTGGTGCTCCTTCTTGGAGAATATTACGGTGAGTTATGACAGGGGAGCAAAAGAGGTAGAGGAATGAATGGGCTGATGGTGGTAGCAGCAATGGACTCGTCCCACCCACCTGCAGGCCTTCTCTTCATCCCCTCGCTTGGCCCGACTCCCCGCGTTGGTGCTCACTCCTCGAGAACATTACGGTGCGTCTGTGAGGCTATTCACGTGGTGGTGGTAGTGGTGGTACTGGGATGCCATGGACTCGTCGCGCTTGGCATGGCCATGGGATGCCATGGGCAAGAGGCTGATGGTGGTGGCAGCCATGCACTCGTCGCGCCTCCAGGCTTACTTCATTCCCTCACTCGTCTCTTCATCCCCTCACTCGGTCCGGCTCCCCATTTGTGCTCCTTCCTGAAGAACATCACTGTGAGTCTCTGAGGATGAGCTTATAAAGGGGATAGTGGAGGAAGGCTGGGCAGCAATGTATGATTACAAGTTTGTGACGAGGGAGGAGCTGCAGAGGAAAATATCCTCTTCTTTCTTCCTTCTCACAGAGCTGCCTCTCTCTTCTTCCCACGTCTCCCTTCTTCCTCCCCACCTTCTCTCTTTGCTCCCCTTCTCCTACCTTCTCCACCCCGACAACGCCCATTGCAGGAGGAGTTGGAGGAAGGTGGGGCAGCGATGTACGATGACTACAAGTTTGTGACGAGGGAGGAGCTGAATGCACTGAGACTGACAGAGCTGCTGGGGACCAACCTGCTGCGCCCCTTCATGCACGGCTTCTTCCTGCACTCTCGCCTGTATCACAAGGTACAGATGTAGCACAAGGTACGGATGTAGCACAAGGTATGGCTGTAGCATGAGGTAGTGTCGTTATCACAAGGTGCTATGCATGCGCTGACATGCTGCTGGGGACCAACCTGCTGCGCCCCTTCATGCACGGCTTCTTCCTGCACTCTCGCCTGTATCATAAGGTACCGTGGTGTGGAGTGGTGTGGTGTGGTGTGGTGTGGTGTGGTGTGGTGTGGTGTGGTGTGGTGTGGTGTGGTGTGGTGTGGTTGCAAGGTGCTGTGGCTGTAGCAGGAGGGATTATGGTTGTAGCATTGTCACTGGGAAATATACCTGCTACGGCCCTGCCTTTCACCCCAAGCCATGTCAATCAGCAATTCATTCGCATGGGATGCATACTGGCTGGGCATGGGATGCATACTGGCTGGGCATGGGATGCATACTGGCTGGGCATGGGATGCATACTGGCTGGGCATGGGATGCATACTGGCTGGGCATGGGATGCATACTGGCTGGGCATGGGATGCATACTGGCTGGGCATGGGATGCATACTGGCTGGGCATGGGATGCATACTGGCTGGGCATGGGATGCATACTGGCTGGGCATGGGATGCATACTGGCTGGGCATGGGATGCATACTGGCTGGGCATGGGATGCATACTGGCTGGGCATGGGATGCATACTGGCTGGGCATGGGATGCATACTGGCTGGGCATGGGATGCATACTGGCTGGGCACAGAGGCGTGATCTTTCTCCCCCCTCCTCACGTCTCCCTTCTCTCATGACAACTTATCCTTCCCACCTCCCCACCTCCGGGCCAAGTCCATAGCCAACCCATTCGCATGAGACGCATACTGGCAGCACTTGAAAAAGGTTTCTCTCTTCCGCCCCCACCCTTTTCTCTGTCCTTTCCCCCCTCCCCCCCCACCTCTTCCTTCACCCCCAGGCTAAGTCCATAGCAGACCCATTCGCATGGGATGCGTATCGGCAGCAGAAGGTGAAGGAGAAGATTGAAGCACAGCGAGCCAGCCGCATATCGGTGAGTTGCCGCAAGTCACTGTGAGTCACACAGTCTGATGCGCGTGCTTGTGTGTGACTGCGTCACTGTTGCATGCCTATACATGTGTTCTGTTCTGAGGCAGTGATTTGCATGCCTATACATATGTATCTCTGGACGTCAGTCTGATGCAGGGCAGGGCAGCAGCATTAGCAGCATTTTTGGCATCTCATTTGTTGCATCAGCTAACTCTCGTCCCTCCTACTTCTGGTGGCCGTTCCTCTTGAGTCGACTCAAATGCCTTTTGAGTCGACTCAAGAGGCAGTGTTTTGCATGCAGTGCAGGGCAGCAGCATTTCTGGCATCTCATTCGTTGCATCAGCTAACTCTCGTCCCTCCTACTTCTGGTGGCCGTTCCTCTCCACACCCACTTCCTCTCCACACCCACTTCCTCTCCACACCCACTTCCTCTCCACACCCACTTCCTCTCCACACCCACTTCCCAAACCCTGCAGGTGCAAAAGAAGCTTCCCAAGGTGAATGCCAAGCTAGCAGCGCAGCTGATGCAGCAGAGTGGGGGAGCCGAGGCGGCAAGGGAGGAGGGAGGGGAGGAGGAGGACGACGAGGAGGAGGAAGGGGCGGGAGGGAAGGCGCGGAAGCAGCGCAAGGCTGCGGCCAGTGCTCTGGCTGACCCTCGCTTCGCCTCTCTATTCACTGATCAGGTGAGGAAAACGAATGGGCTTGGGATGGGGCAGTAGGATTAGCTGAAGTAGTACGGGTGGGTATGGGTGGAAATGCGCAGAAGCAGCGGAAGGCCGCGGCCAGTGCTCTGGCCGATCCTCGCTTACAGGCCTGTCAAACGACTGCTTGTTTTATGTGCCTCTTGCTTGGTGCAATTTCGCTTTTGCAGGCCTTCCAAGTGGATGAGGACTCTCAAGAGTACATGGCCCTGCATGGCGGCATGCGAGGTGGAGCAGAGGAGAGGCGGACCATAATGCCCTATTGGATGGTTAATGTGTGCCCTTTTGTTGTCTGCTATTTCTCCTCTGCAGGCTTTCCAAGTGGATGAGGACTCTCAAGAGTACATGGCTCTGCATGGGGGCATGCGGGGAGGAGCAGAGGAGAGGCGGCAGCAGCAGAAGCGGGATAAGGAGCTTCTAGAGGAGCATTTTGAAATGGTGGAAGGGGAAGAGGAGGAGGATGAGGAGGATGATGGTGAAGAGGGAGGAGAGGAGGAGGAGGAAGAGGAGGAGGACGAGGAGGAGGATGAGGAGGAGGATGAGGAGGAGGAGAGGGGTGGAAGCGGGAAGAGGAGGTTGGTGCAGGGAGGAAAGGAGGAGGGTGTGTCACGGAAGAGAGGGGCCAAGGAGCCAAGGTAAGGCATTTGAGACAGAAATTACTGAGCTCCAAGCACCACACTAGTTCAGAACTTGAGATGGTTGGTTTCCTGGATCAAACATGTTGCAATCACACACAACTCGTTTCTCCACTACACATGACATGTCAAGTGCAATGTTTTTTGCTGTCCCTTTTCCCACTCCTTCCACTCTTACTTCTTCCCCCCCTCTCCACCCCCCCGCACCCCCTCAATGCACACTCTCATCCGCCCTCTTCCCACTCTCAGGCTCTACGAAGCGAGAGACGACGTGCATGCAGCAGCCTTTAGAAACCGCCAAAGCCTTGCCGCCCAGAAGAATCTGCCCCTGGAGGAGAGAATCGCACAGCTCCCGCGTTCGTCTGCTAGCGGTCAAGGCGCCGCCCATGGCGGTCCTGTAAGGAGGGCGGGCGGCGCAGTAGAGTTTACTGTTTCAATGCAGTCAAGGAGACGAGGGGGTGGGAGAGGGGAGGGAGGGGGAGGAGGGAGAGGAGGGAGAGGTGAGGGAGGGAGAGGAGGGAGAGGAGGTCGGGGAGCGGGGAGAGATGGGGAGATTGAGGGGAGGGAGGGGCGGAGAGGGGTGCAGTCTTTGAGGCTACCATCTGAAAGGCCTGCTTGGAGGGGAGGTAGAGGAGGGAGAGGGGGGAGGGGGGGGCGTGGGAGAGGGAGGGGCCGCGGTGGGAGGCGTTGACGTGAGTGGGGAGGGAGAGTCATGCGAGTCACATAGGAAGCGTGGAGGGTAGGGGGTAGAGGGTTAGGAGGGGACAGGGTGGGAAGGTGGGGGGAGAGGAGGGGTGAATTAGAGTTACTTGGCTGGGACGACATAAAATATGGGCGACGAGGAGGGGGGAGGGGGGGAGGGGGGGAGGGGGGAGCACATGATGGGATGGATGGTTATTTCATACAGTATGTTGTCACAAGGTTACCACCATACAAATGATTAGCAATACCAGCCAAACCTTGAAATTAAATCATCCAGGCCTTTGTGGCCAAGGAGGATAACTAAATTACCATCCTAACTGTATTATTTAACTCGATATTGTATAAATAGTAACAGCAGACCGTCACATCACCAACTCGTCTCCACGCCAGACCCGAACTGGCAGCTGGTGCCTCTGGAATGTGTTTCGTGCATCCGCGATTCGTTGGTGACACGTGGTTTGTTGCCGCCGAAGCAAATTTCGCGCAGCGAGGACTGCTTCGTCCCAGTGAAGACTGCGACGCGGTCAGGTACGTCACTGCCAAAAGAAGTCCAGCCCAGACCAGCCAGTTCTTACCTCGCCTCCATGATACCCTGTGATTGATGAGAAGAAAATTAAAGCTCGCGTCTCATATTTCTGTGTCCCAACCAAGTGTTAAACGCTTGGTATCCGGTAACCCTCAAACTGTCGCACAACTCCACTGAAGGTTGGCCCAGGTTGAAACGATTGGTTGGGAACCTACAAACTTGCTTGGCGGTATGCGCAGGGACGTGCCAAACCAATCATGCGATCGTGCACCCAGGTAGGTTTGGAAAACACACCTGCACGGGGACAACACGATCGCCCAAACTCCCCCACCGGCGACCAGGTTGTCGCACGAATCAAGCATTTACAACAGCTGAAAAATATGAGACTGACAGAACTCAGAAACCCGATTTCGCACTAGCACTAGGCTCAGGTTCAAGAGTAAAACTCTTTCCACTAGCAACCGCGGTTACCTCTTACACAAAAGTTAGATTCTCGTTGATCAGCATATACGGCCGACCTATAAACTTGAAATTAGGTCTTCATTTATCAGTATCAGCGGCGACCAGGGTACATCCCGTGCTTATCGTGAACCATGTCCAGGTAATGAGGCGCGCCAGGTAAGGGACGCGATGGGGCAGGACGGGACAGTACGGGAAGCGACGGGACTGGACAGGACTGGACGGGAAGGGACTAGAGGGACGGGACGGGACGGCACAGGAAGGTAAGAATCTCGACGAGGGGCCGGGAGGGGACGTGACAGGAAGGCGGGATGCGACGAGACCGGACGCAAATGGAAGGGAGGGAAGAGGAGCACGCGGAAGGGGCGGGATGCGACGGTACGGGGCGGAAACGGGAGGGACGGGAGGGGACGCGACGAGGGGGCGTGCATGCAGGGGGTCATGCATGAATGCAGGTCCTTGGCGTAGCAGGGTGAAGAGCACATCGTGTAATACAGCACAGCACAAGAACAGCGCACAGTGCAGCAGCGCCTGGACGAGTGGGGCGATTGCGAGCGCAAGTGCAGCCAGTGGCGCGAAGCCGCCAAACATGTCCCAAAACTCGGTCGTCCAGCTTGCCGTCGACTGGTTGCAGGGGGGATGGGGGCCGAGCGGGAGGGAGCGAAGCAGGAGCAAGTAGGGAGCGGAGGAGCGGAGAAAGGAGGGGAAGGGCGGGAGAGAGGCGGCGGAAGAGGGAGAGAAAGGAGCGGGAGGAGAGCGGGGGAGAGGCGGGTTGGAGTGGAGGCGGGGAGAAGGAGCAGGGGGGGGAGGGGAGGGGGTAGGTGGGATGTGGAGGGGAGGAAATGGGAGGGGAGGTGAGTGGAGACAGGAAATGCGCTCCTGCTTGCCGGCGTTCATCCTCCCTATCTCCGTTCTCTCCTCCCCAACCCCTTTTCCTTTCCCCCACCCCCCTTGCCTTTCCACTCATTCTCCCTGCCGCCCTGATTAGGTGCGAACGACGGGTTGCGATAAATCCCGTCATTCCCCCTTCTGCTCCCCATCAATTCCCGCTCTGCTTTTCCATCAATTTCCCCTCTGCTCTCTATTTCCCCCCCTGCTTCTCCTCCGTTCCCCCCCTGCTTCCCCCCATCCCCTTCCCTGCTTCCCCCCATCCCCTTCCCTGCTTCCCCCCATCCCCTTCCCTGCTTCCCCCCATCCCCTTCCCTGCTCCCCCCCATCCCCTTCCCTGCTTCCCCCCATCCCCTTTCCTGCTTCCCCCCATCCCCTTTCCTTCTTCCCCCCATCCCCTTTCCTGCTTCCCCCCATCCCCTTTCCTGCTTCCCCCCATCCCCTCAGCCCTCCTTCCCCCCACCCTCTGCCCTGTTCCACCCTGCCCTCCCCATCCCTGCCTTTCCCTCCCTGCCCTGCGCTTCCCTTCCCCATCCCTTCTCAACCCTTCCCTTCCTTTTCATGCCCTCCCCTTCCCCTTCACACCTCACCCGCCCACTACTGTAGTTCCCATGCATGTGCACCCATCACTGTCTCCCCACATGCTTTCATCATGTGCGCTTGCTTGTGTTCCCTTGCAGTTGTTCCTTTGGCACCTCACACCACCTCCCCCATGTTCCTTCACACAATTATTCCTGCCTACTCCACTCCCTGTATTTTCAGTGGTGAAGCAGAGGAGCAAGCTGAGGCGCAGCTAAAGCTAGTCCACGCTCTATACCGTACCACCACCTGTTTTTCTTGTGTGTTGTATGCAAGCATGATACTGTATTAGTGTAAGAGATATCCATATCAAAGGCACAATATGTACTTTTCTTTCTGCAGTGCAAGATATTCTTCCAAGATGTATGGACACTGAGAGTGTCAGAAGGATAGAGGCATGTCCCTAATACTGGCATGTTCCTATACTGGCTTGTAGCTTGTAGCTTTGCGTATGCATTACAGGTTGTATGACACCTGGTGTCGCAATGGTGCCTCAAATCCATGAGAAGGCAGGGAGGTGTGATGGAAAGGCAGGGAGATGGGTAGTAAGTGAGGGGAGATTTGAAGGGACGGAGGGTGAAAAGGGAATACAAGCGAGTAAACATGAGTTAATAAGATGCATGTATGGGGCAAAAGTGATGGCAGCACATGCACATGAACTGGAGGGCAGAAGGCGAGGAGTGACGTAGAAGGGCGGGGTCGAGAAGGGAAGGGCAGGGAGGAAAGGGCAGGGATGGGGATGAAGGGGAGGGGAGGAAGGGGAGGGAATGATGGGGAGAGAAGGAAGGGAAGGGGAGGAAGTGGAGGGAAGGAAGGGAAAAGGGGGGAGGGGAGATTGGTTACAGGAAGGAAGGGACGGCGGTGAGGATTGCGAGAGTGAGAATGGCAGGAAGAGTGTGAGAGGGCAGACGGGCCTTGTGATGTGGCCCACAAGAGATGAGAAGGAAAACGAGATGGTGGGAGGCATGAAGGAGATAAGGAGAGAAGCAAGGAAGGCAGGGAGAGGTGGTGGGAGGCATGAAGGAGAGATGGAAAAGGGGAAGCGGGATTGGAAAAAGGGGTGAATGAAAAGTGAGAATTCGGTAAGAAGGTGAGTGACGGGGGAAACAGAGTGGGCAGAGGGGAGAAAGGGTGAGTGTGGGGGAAAGAGAGTGAGCAGAGGGGAAAACGCGTGAGTGAGGGGTGAAAGAGAGTGAGCAGAGGGGAAACGGGTGCATAAAAGGGGGGTAATGAGAGCCTGCAGGGGGGGAAATGAGGGCGTGCAGGGGGGGAAATGAGGGCGTGCAGGGGGGGAAATGAGGGCGTGCAGGGGGGGAAATGAGGGCGTGCAGGGGGGGAAATGAGGGCGTGCAGGGGGGATGCCGCGCGAGGAGGCGAGAGGAGCACGCACGGGGAGGGGAGAGGAGCACGCGCGGGGAGGCGAGAGGAGCACGCACGCGGAGGGGAGAGGAGCACGCACGCGGAGGGGAGAGGAGCACGCACGCGGAGGGGAGAGGAGCACGCGCGGGGAGGGGAGAGGAGCACGCGCGGAGAGACGAGAGGAGCACGCACGGGGAGGGGAGAGGAGCACGCGCGGGGAGGCGAGAGGAGCACGCACGCGGAGGGGAGAGGAGCACGCACGCGGAGGGGAGAGGAGCACGCACGCGGAGGGGAGAGGAGCACGCGCTGGGAGGGGAGAGGAGCACGCGCTGAGAGGCGAGAGGAGCACGCGCGGGGAGGCGAGAGGAGGCGAGAAGGGGATATTGGGCGGCAGAAATGGGAGATCGGGCCGCGGGAACGGGAACTCGGGCGGGTTGCACGGGAGATCGGTCGGCGAGCAGGGGAGATGGGGTGGCGGGGAAGCGGAGGTCGGGTGGTGGGAAGATGACGGCTATTACCTAATCATAAGCATAGGCAAAGGGGAGCGCTACTGCTGCTCACCCCTGTTACGTGACATTCTTTGTCCTTTTGACGCCTTTGGATAGGAGCTAGGTTACTAATGGAGTGGTAATGCTTCTACTACGTGTAAGGAGGTAGGGCTGGAGTGCTAACCTTGGCGCTTGATTTTTCCCTATCACTTCACTCCCTTGCACAATCTGTGTTCCCGTCGTCAGTGTTGGTCGCACAAAGTGCAACTTCCCAAACCTGTCACGCAAGAGGTTCGGATGTGACCCAAACCTGCGCCTGAGCTCTTGTGTTGGCCTCAACACTTTGGAACTTCGCGCATGTATTTCCCCCGCTCGTCAAAAAACTCGTCACTCGTAAACCAATCAGGATCTTACTTTCGGACGCGAGGCGCGAAGCGAGGCGGTGTCAAAACCACTGCCGAAAGGAATCGGAAACCCGAAACCAGGGCGGTCCGTCATTCCCTCGGTTTATTCGCTCCATAAAATTCGCGTCGTGTGTCAATTTCGCACCCCTATTTCCATCACCCCTGCTCCGAGGAAACCCAGCTCTGAAGTGCATGTTTTAGGAGCAACTTATTTCAAATCGGTGTTTCCTAGTCATAATCACACCACACCACACCAGACCACACCACGACCAATCGTGCCTAAATCTGCGGCGGAAGTTACGCTGCCACTTCTGCGCCATGCCTTGACGGTTCCGCAACGGATTGGCTATTGTTTCTAAGCACGCCAATTCATAACCAAACAGCCATTAGAGCCTGCGTCCTCATTATCCGCCTGAATCCTTCCTCGTCAGCGTTCGCAGTCTAGGAGCACCTAATAGGTGCTGGCAGAGCTTGAGGGTCTTTTAAAGACGAATCTATAGCCAATAGAACCAATCGGCATCACATCGTTGTCTATAGGCAATAGAGCTGCTATGGCCAGAGAACTCGTATCCAGGCGGCGAGGTGTATATTCACACGTAGCGAAATGTTAGATCCTTTTGGTGGTAACCACCGTTGCTATTTCGCCCTATGTACGCGTTCACGGTCAAAAACCGCCGCCGCTGGATAACAACACCGGTTTTCCCATCTGCCCCAACGGTAACCCGCCCGCACAACCCGCTGTTCCGCCGCTGCGATGCCCCGCGTATATCGGGCTGACTTGCTGCGACAACTGCGAAGATGTGAACGATGCTCTCTCATTGGCCAGCGCGAATCTGTACGATGTCGTCCAGGGGCTAGACCCCAGCGTGATGTCGCAGATCCCAGTGGCGATTCTGGGCGACATCTCGCGCGACACGATGGTGAGAGTTGACTGGGTTATTCAACGCGGTGCAGCCGCAGTGTGCGCAGCTGCTCGACGATCTCGTGCGCGTTATTCCTACCTTTTCCCTTGAACTTTGCGCTTTCCTCCCCGCACCCCTCCGTCCCCCCACCCACCAAGTGTGCGACTCGATGGCGGTGCAGCCGCAGTGCGCGCAGCTGCTCAACGATCTCGTGTGTACCGCCACGCCTCTCTTCCCCTCTCTGCTCCCTCGCATACCTCCTGCTCCCCTCTCAATACTGCTCGCACCCCCCACCACCAGGTGTGCGACTCGATGGCGGTGCAGCAGCAGTGCGGACACATCCTCGACGACCTCGTTCGACCTCACCTACTCTTCTCTCACCACTTACAACCGTACCATACCGCTCTTTCCCCCCTCCACCAGGTGTGCGACTCGATGGCGGTGCAGCAGCAATGCGGACACATCCTCGACGACCTATTGTGCGCCGCCACGCCTCCCTTCCCTGAGTCTCTCCTCTCTTCTCCCTCGCATACCTCCTGCTCCCCTCCCCACTCAGGTGTGCGACTCAATGGCGGTGCAGCAGCAGTGCGGACAGATCCTCGACGACCTCATGTGCGCCACCCCTAAGTCTCCTGTTCCTCTCCCTACATTGCTCCCCGCACTGCCCCTCCTACTGAATCAGGTGTGCGACTCGATGGCGGTGCAGCAGCAGTGCGCGCAGATCCTCGACGACCTATTGTGCGCCCTCCCTTACCACTAACAACCGTACCATACCGCCCTTCCCCCCCTCCACCAGGTGTGCGACAGCATGGCGGTGCAGCAGCAGTGCGGGCAGATCCTTGACGACCTCGTGTGCGCCGCCACGTGCGACCCGTACGCGGGCAGCTACGTGACTGTCAACGAATTCGTGGGGTCGACGGAGGTGGCAGTGTGCTTGCGAGAAGCTGAAGCAGTCTTTGAAGCATGCAAGGATATCCTGTGTGAGTGTGTAAATGGGGTCTGTCCGAGTTGACTTTTGAGTCGATTCAAAAGTCAACTCTTTGAAGCATGCAAGGATATCCTGTGTGAGTGTGTAAATGGGGTCTGTCCGAGTTTGAGTGTGTCTAGCCACATGCGACCCGTACGCGGGCAGCTACGTGACGGTCAACGAGTTCGTGGGATCGACGGAGGTGGCTGTGTGCTTGAGAGAGGCGGAGGCGGTGTACGAAGCATGCAAGAGCATTCTGTGTGAGTGTGTGTGAGAGAGCGTGGGTGTGAGTGTGGGTGTGCGCCTGTGTGTCTGTGTGTGTGTTGACAAGGTAAGCGCTTTGAAAAGGCAGACGCGTTAATGGAAGGACATTCTGTGTGAGTGTGTGCCAGTCTGACATTGTCCAACACACTCCCCTTGCTTAACTCTGCCTCCCGCATGCTTCCTCCCCCCTAACCCCTTCCTCCTCTGTCCCTGTTCCCCACTCCCCCAGTCATCTCCACTTCCAAAGGTGACACGCTTGATCCGTACTTCCCCGACTCTCGTACATTCATGACTCAAATCGTGGAACTTGCCTTCTTCTCCCTCCCGCCCTGCCCTTTCCTCCCCTCCCCTTCAGTCATTTCCATGTCAAAAGGCGCCACGCTTGACTTCACGCTGTACTTCCCTGACTCTCGTACCCTCATGACTGGGAACCCTTCCCGCTCTCCACCTCACTCTCCCTACTTGACTCAACCCTGTACCCTTCTATCCCATATGTCTAACCCCCCCCTCCCCTTCAGTCATTTCCACGTCAAAAGGCGCCACGCTTGACCTCACGCCGTACTTCCCCGACTCTCGTACATTCATGACTCAAATCGTTGGGGGAATCCTGCGGGTCGTCATGGGCAACGACAAGGTCCAAGTCGTGCTCACCAGTGTACGTTCTTCCATACTTCAAAATAAACATATATGTATATATAAGTTAAAATTATAATAATAACAATAGCAATAAGGATAGGAATAACAATATAAATTGGAGATTGATTATAATAATACACTTACAAGTATTGATGAATGATTTGTTGGAGGCAGCATGCTGCAACATCTTCTCCGCACTCCCTGATTCCTATTTCATTGTTCCCCTGCCTTCAACATTCCCCCTTTGCTTCGCTCCATTTCAGACCAACTGCATTGCAGGCAACACCAACACGTACCCACCTGCCACATCCTGCTGTGACACCTACCCCTAGTCCCAACCTGCCTCCGCCTCCCGTTCCCCTCGCTCTCCTTCCTCTTCTCACCTTTCGCTCTGTTCTCACACTTCTCTCCTCTCTGTTCCCCTTCGCCCATCCCAATCTCCCATTTCAGACCAACTGCATAGCAGGCAACACCAACGTGTATCCCCCTGCCACATCCTGCTGTGACACCTTCTCTTCAGTCCCTGACACGTGCACTGTCACCAACGAGTTCAGCAGCCTGCTCAACCGCCCCACACCCCCCGCCTGCCTTGCTGCCACCACCACACTTCCCGTCAACACCCCCATTCCTGCCCCCACCCCTGCTGTTAGCCCTGTCCCTTCCACTTCCCCTGTTCCTGTTGTTCCTGCTTTGCCCAGCACTGCTGCTCCTCGGGCTTCTCCCAGAATCTCACCCATTCCCTCAGTGCCCAAAGCACCGTCTCTACCATCTTCTCCCTCTCCTCCTGCCTCCTCTACTCCCTCTCCTTCATTGGACTCCCTTCCACCTCCCTCGCCCTCCCCACCTCCCCCTCCCTCTCCTCCCAAAGCTGCTTCCCCTCCTGCTGCTGCTGCTTTTGTATCCATTATAAGCTGCCTCGTTTGTGGGGTGATGGCACTGCTCGCGCCTGGACTCCTTATCTGATGAAAAGATGCACACTGCAACTACCCCATGGAATGCGCTTGATGTAATGTAACCTTGGTTTTTTCACATCAAGTGTTTTTCACAGCAACTGTTTTTTCAGTTGATTCAATATTCTTGCTAGAATGCAGTGTAACTGTGTTGACTTCTGTAAATTCTGTTATCCTTTCACTGCTGGCTGAGTTGGAAATATGACAGCAATCAAATTAAACCAAGGCCAACTAAAAAAACCCATCTATTACCTATCTCTGTAGCCTTGTGGAATATATTCAGTTATACAACTCAAAAGAGGCTGCCTTCTGTGCGTTTTTGCACAATAGAAAGGCCCATGCCGTAATTGGGACAAGATTCAACGAGGGACGAGACAGCTGCAGGTGTGGTGACTGGAGGGCTGCTGGGGCACTGTGGAAGCAGGGGTAGTGGGGAGGGACGGGAAGGGGGGAGACTTTTGAGTGGACTCAAAAGTCACCTCTTAACAGCTGCAGGTGTGGTGACTGGAGGGCTGCTGGGACACTGTGGAAGCAAGGGGGCAGTGGGGAGGGGAAGGGGGACGAAGCAGAGGAAGGGGGGGAAGGAAAGGAATTAGCGGAGGGGGAGAGAAGGGGGGGAAGGAAAGGAATGAGCGGAGGGGGAGAGAAGGGGGGGAGTAAGCCTATCTGCCAGTGTGGTGACTGGAGGGCCGCTGGGACACTGTGGAAGCAGGGGGGAGTGGGGAGGGAGGGAAAGGGGGGCGAAGCAGAGGAACGGGGGAAAGGGAGATAGAAGGAATGAGGGGAAGGAAGAAAGCAGGTAGCACTTTTTTCATGGCACCTAAAAACCAGCCTCAGCAGGTCAGAAAAACGGGTTTTCACAGAGAGTTTTGGAGGTAGGAAGAGGCTCACCTGAATATGTCTCGACTTGGCATCAAATATCGACAGGTAGCAAGGCTCGGGGGAGGTTCGGGAGCAGGAGGCTCGGTTGTTCTTGCGCCAGTTGCTGTGGTAGCGAGTAACAATGTTGAGGGAGTAGGGACGAACGCCCGCCAGCCCTGCTGCTATGTAGCCGAATGTAGATGTGTCCGTTATGAGTAGCGTGTCACTGGGGCAAGGGAGGAGAGGCAGGAGAGGGAGGAGAGGGCGGAGAGGGAGGAGTGGGAGGAGAGGGAGCAGGGGCAGGGGAGCACAGGAGTGGCAAGAGGGGACGAAGGGGATGGGTAAGGGCAGTGGTGGTGAGTACCAGTGTAGACTTGACTGATTGCGGTGCGGGTGATATGATACCCCACCCGTCTACCACCCGCCCACCTACCACCTGCCTACCACAAGCTACCACCACAAGCTACCACCACAAGCTACCACCCGCCTACCCCATACACACATACCACATGGAGAGTAGCCACATCTCCCTCATAGCCCTCTCTGCCTGCTTCCTCTCCCTCAGCTGCTGTGCTCCGTCATGGCTCAACCTGGGGATGGTGGAAGGAGAGGCACGGGAGGGGGTTATGTGGGGCAGGGGTGGGGAGGGGAAAGGGGTGACAGTTGAGGTTGAGTCGATCCTAAAGCCCTCTCTGCCTGCTTCTTCTCCATTAGAAGCTGTGCAAACAAGTGCATACACAAGAGCACACAAAGGCACACACGCGCACACACAGACTGGGATGGTTGGGATACACACACAGGGTGGGAAGGTTGGGCTAACTCACATGCTGACAGCGATCTCCTGCCCGCCCTCTAGCCGTCCCTCTATGCTCATCTCCCTCAGCATCTCCCCATATGTCGCTCGCAGCGACGCCAAAATCACTCCCATGCTCCCCTCCTTCCTCCTCCCCTCTGCACCAGTTAATCTCCTCGCCTCCGCCCTTCCACCACCACTGCTCTCGTTTCCCAAATCCTGCGTCTCCTAATAACTTTTCGTCACATCTCCCTCCACTGCTTCCACATCCTCCCCTCTCTCCTGCTCCTCCTTCTCCCTGTGCCTCGGCGGCTGCCACTGCCCCTGCCCCAGCTGCAGCGCCTGAAGCAGGTCCCACTCTCCCAGCACTCGGCTCAGCAGCGAGGGGTTGCTGGGAGGCGGCTGGATGCAGGGAGGGAGGGAGGGAGGGAGGGAGGGAGATATGGAGGAAAGACGGACATGGGGAGACGTAGACAGAGCTGCAGCGCCTGAAGCAGGTCTCACTCTCCCAGCACTCGGCTCAGCAGCGAGGGGTTGCTAGGAGGCGGCTGGATGCAGGGAGGGAGGGAGGGAGGGAGGGAGATATGGAGGAAAGACGGACATGGGGAGACGTGGATAGAGCTCAGCTGGCCCCTTTCCTTCCCTACCCCGCTGGCTCCGCTCAGCTCAGATCAGCCTGCCACCAACCTTCTAAGCTTGTAGTGGAGTAGCAGCAAACCCAAAGAAAACGCTTAAGCAGCAAAGGAAAGAGACGATGAAATGCTTCCCCTTTCCTTCCCTACCCCACTGGCTCCGCTCAGCTCAGATCAGCCTGCCACCAACCTTGCACTGCCGCCCGACTGACTGACTGACTGGCTGACTGACTGGCTGACTGACTGACTGACTGACTGACTGACTGACTGACTGACTGACTGACTGACTGACTGACTGACTGACTGACTGACTGACTGACTGACTGACTGACTGACTGACTGGCTGACTGGCTGACTGACTGACTGACTGGCTGACTGACTGCCTGGCTGACTGACTGACTGACTGACTGGCTGGCTGACTGACTGACTGACTGACTGACTGACTGACTGACTGACTGACTGACTGACTGACTGACTGACTGGCTGGCTGGCTGGCTGGCTGACTGACTGACTGACTGACTGACTGACTGACTGGCTGGCTGGCTGGCTGACTGACTGGCTGACTGACTGACTGACTGACTGACTGACTGACTGACTGACTGACTGACTGACTGACTGACTGACTGACTGACTGACTGACTGACTGACTGACTGACTGACTGACTGACTGACTGACTGACTGACTGACTGACTGACTGACTGGCTGACTGACTGGCTGACTGACAGACCTGCTTCGTCAGCTTCTCCCAGTCATCGTGTGGCATAATGGAGGGCACCACTTGAGTAACATTCACCACGCAATCCACCACTCCGTCAGCTCAGCTCAGCCTCACACCAACCAAGCACTGACTGACTGACTGACCTGCTTCATCAGCTTCTCCCAGTCCTCTTGTGGCAAAATCGGGGGCACCACTTGAGTCACATTCACCAGGCAATCCACCACTCTGTCGAGCACGTCGTCAGCTGGTATGTACTTCTGAAACTCACGGATCTGAGATAAGAGTGAAGTGGAATCAGGAAAATCACAGGAAAGGATTCAGACATCCCACTCCGAAGGCAATCCACCACTCTGTCAAGCACGTCGTCAGCTGGTACGTACTTCTGAAACTCACGGATCTGATGTGTGTGTTAAGGGAAAAAGGGCAAGGAGTGGGGGGAGGGGAGAGAGCTCAGCATCCCCATCAGCTGGCAGGCTGTCACTGCATAGCACGACTCCATCCGAAGCACGTCGTCAGCTGGCAGGTACTTCTGAAGAGGGAAAGAGGGAGAGGAAAGGTGGCGATTACACTATCAAGTTCACCATGCAATCCACCACCCGCTGCAGCACATGATCAGCTGACTGACCGACCTGCTTCGTCAGCTTCTCCCAGTCCTCGTGTGACATAATGGGGGCCACCGTTTTAGTCACGTTCACCATGCAAAATCCACCACCCTCTGCAGCACATGGTCAGCTGACACGTACTTTTGAAACTCACGGATCTGTGGTTTGTGTAAAGGAGGGGAGGAAGAAGAGAGGGAGATGGAGCTTAGAATCACATCAACGAGACACCGCGTTAGTCGCATCCAAATAAGTCGGGTGGGGTGCGCCGGTGCGGTATCAAGAGGAGTGACGTTGTGCAGGCGTTGCGCTCCTCTTTTGAGGCGCCTCAATCAAATGCAGGCGTTGCGCTCCTCCTAAACAACAAGCCTGTGCCCGCATGCTTCGAAGCCTCATCACCAAACCTGACGTCTCCCACGGATGCCCGAACATGTGCCGGTACGGTACGGACCTGAATCCCAACCCTGTGTTGGTGCGGGGCGAGGTAGGCTCGGAAGGCGCGGGTGATTTCCTCCCAGAGGTAGTTGGCGGGGTGCAGCAGGTAGCTCCCCACGTGCATCAGCGGCAGGCGGTCGGGGAATAGGCGCTCCAGGTCAGCCTGATAGGGCAGGGGCCAGGGGGAACAGAGATGAGAGCAGGACACGACTAATGCAGCAGGTAGCGCCCCACGTGCATCAGCGCCAGGCGGTCGGGCACCAGCCGCTCCAAGTCAGCCTGTTGAAAGAGGGGCATATGGAAAAAAATAATGGCCAATACAGCTGAATCACGTGCATGAGGGGCAGGAGGCTCGGGAACAGCCGCTCCAAGTCAGCCTGGGGTAAGGGGGCCACAGGGACAAAGTGCCACAGGGAGAAAGTGCCACACGGACAAAGTGCCACAGGGAGAAAGTGCCACAGGGACAAAGAGGGAAACTCGAGCTGTTCAGCTTTCAGCATGGCCGATGCTTTATACCATCCGGGCCTGTTCCAACACGCCTTTCAGCATGGCGGACTGTATACAGCAGGGACTTCATGGGCTTCATTTTGTGAGGCGCCTCAGAGACGATTTTTGAGGCGCCTCAAAAATCGTCTCATGACTCGCAGACTGTATACAGCAAGGACTGAGTAGGCTTCATTTTGTGAGGTGCCTCGGAGACTTTGAGTGGCAGAAGAAGGGAGACCAGGCGAGTTTACTCACCTGTGAGAGAGGTCACTTACTTGAAAGTGCGGTGTGTGGTAGAGAGCAGGGAGAAGGTAGGCGTCGGAGAGCAGACGGAGGATGCGAACAGAGGAGAGGGAGCCGTGCTGGTGCTGCTTCTGCTGGTGCTGTTGCTGCTGGTGCTGGTGCTGGTGCTGGGTTGTTACTTTACCTGTAAGTGCGGAGCGTGGTAGAGAGCGGGGAGTAGGTAGGCGTCGGTTAGCAGACCGAGGATTCGAACCGAGGAGAGGGAGCCGTGTTGGTGCTGCTGCTGGTGGTTCGGACAGAAGAAAGATAGATCTGCCTCTGATGCACTAAGCACACACACATGCATGCATGCATGTCCACACATACGGATGCACACACAGATAAACACACACACACACACACACACACACACACACACACGCACACACAGAGGCATATAAACACACTCACATGCACACACGTGGACACAAACATGAACACACACAGGCATGAACATGCACTCGCATACGCAGGCAAAGCATACCACCGACACAAATCCACCATGGGAGAAACAGGGGGGCATAAGAGAGGAGAACCAAGGGTGTGATGAGGATGGGCCAGGAGTGTCGGGCAGGAGGAGGATGGGGCGGGGGGAGGTGACTTTTGAGTCGACTCCAGTCGACTCGCATACGCAGGCACAGCATAGCACCGACACACATCCACCATGCGAGAAACAGCGGGGCATAAGGGAGGAGAATCATGGGGCAGGAGTGTTGGGCAGGATGAGGATGGGGCAGGGGGAGCGGGCATGGGGAGAGGGCATGGGGAGGGGGCATGGGGAGGGGGCATGGGGAGGGGGCATGGGGAGGGGGCATGGGGAGCCGGCATGGGGAGCCGGCATGGGGAGGGGGCATGGGGAGGGTGGAGGAACGAGAACGTGGACGTATGAGGAAATGAATTGGAGTGAGTGAAACAATGGGAAGCGGCGAGAAGGCCGGCAGCGGGCAGCAGAAGCATACGAGAATTTGAGCTCCACGTAAACCCTGTTGATCCTCTCAACACTGCTGCTGCTGGTGTTGATTAAAGTGGCAGCAGCATTGGCAGCAGTATTAGTAGTAGCACCACCAACTGCAGCAGCAGAAGGGGGTTCTGGCGTTGCACTGCTTTCTCCCTCCTCAGTGGTGTTAGCGTTTGTGTTATTCATAATGCTGCTGCTGGTAGTGCTGCTGCTGCTGCTGCTGCTGCTGCTGCTGCTCCTCCTGCTGCTGCTCAGAGATTCCATGGCTGCAGCGTATGCTGGCGTGCCGAACCTCGGGGACTGCTTCGTGATCACATCGCGCTGAGCTCTGCAGCGATGGAGAGAGTAGAGAGGAGGGATGGGAGGACAGGAGAAGGGAGAGATAAGAGCGAGGAGAGGGGATGGGATGGAGGAGAAAAGAATAGCGTGCATGGCTAAGAAGCACTCACGCAAAGGTGGTTATTGAGGCGCCTCAAAATCCGCGTGAACTGAGACGATTTTTAGGCGCCTCAAAATCCGCGTGAACTGAGACAATTTTTTAGGCGCCTCAAGAATAGCGACCATGACTAAGAGGCACTCATGCAAAGGTGGGCGTGAACGAGAAGGGGTCACAGAGGAAGTGGAGTGAGACCAAAGGCTCTTCATTCCGCACTCACTCTCAGCAGCACTCAGCACTCACGCTCTCAGCAACCAACACTCACGCGAAGGTGCGCGAGTCCATGGGCATCCAGTCGACGGGGTGGGGGAGAATGCAAAGGGGTCGCAGAGGAATCAGTTTGAGACACAAGGGGCAGCACTCACCCAGCACTCGGCACTCACGCGAAGGTCCGAGAGTCCATGGGCATCCAGGTCAACGGTGTGGGGGTGAAGGCAAAGGGGTTTACAAGAGGAAGCGGTTCGACACAAGAGGGTCAACACTCAGCACCCAACACTCACGCGAAGGTCCGAGAGTTCATGGGCATCCAAGTAGAGGGGATGGGGGTGAACGCAAAGGGGTCGCAGACGAATCAGTTTGAGACACAAGGGGCAGCACTCAGCATTCAGCATTCAGAACTTCCACTCACGCGAAGGTCCGAGAGTCCATGGGCGTCCAGGTGGAGGGGGTGGGGGTGAACGCGAAGGGGTTTCAAAGAAGGTTTTTAATACAAAAGGGCCAACATTCAGCATACAGCACTCTGCACTCACGCAAAGGTGGGTGAGTCCATGGGCGTCCACGTGGAGGGGGTGGGGGTGAAGGCGAAGGGGTCGCAGAGGAAGAGGGCTGCCTGCGCGTGCGGATTGATGATGAGCGTGCGGTTGGTGAGAAGGGCGTAGGTGAAGGAGGAGACGAGAGAGAGCAGCTGGTTGCCCAGACCTGGACAAGGGATGAGGGGAAAGACAGCGGGGAAAGGGGGAAAAGTGGGTGTGCGGGCATGGGAGTGAGAGCAGTGGGTTGATGATGAGCGTGCGGCTGGTGAGAAGGGCGTAGGTGAAGGTAGAGACGAGGGAGAGCAGCTGGTTGCCCAGACCTGCTCAGCGAGGGGTGGGGAGGGTGGATGGGAGGAAGCAAGACAGCAGTGGTTGGAAGACGAGGGAGAGCAGCTGGTTGCCCAGACCTGGATGGAAGAATGAGAAGCAGAGAGGGGGAACAGAAGTGAGGTAGGTGAGGAGCGGAGACGAGGGAGAGCAGTTGGTTACCCAGGCCTGGAGGGGGTGTGTGAAGAAAGGTTTTCAAAACGAGAAGGACGGAACAGAGCGTGCGTGCGGCTGGTGAGGAGGGCTTAAGTGAAAGGGGAGACGGGGGAGATGAGTGTGCGATGGGTGAGGAGCGCGTAGGTGAAGGAAGAGACGAGGGAGGGATCGAGAAGGCATAAGGGTAAGAAGCTCGTGTCAGGGGACAAGAGCGCGATAGTCAACGGGAGAACAGAGAGTGTGGTTGGTAAGAAGGTTATTTCAGATAGGCACTCACCACTGTAGGCGGGGTCGAGATGAAAGAGGTAAGAGCATTCCTGCACGGAGGATGCATCCACTCCGTCGTTAAGTCCCTTTGTGCTGCACGATGGGAGTTCAGAGGAAGCATTGAACAGAGCAAGTTCAGAAGAGGTAGTTCGTGGCTATGTGTGATGAGAGTGTGCTAATAGCACACCCCACCATAAGTGTGCTGCAGAGAGTGTGGTGAGTGTGTGCAAGTGCAAGTGTATTGCAGAGCACATGAAGAAGCACGGTTCACTATATTCAAGCATGGGTATAAAAATCAGCCACGTGGCACGCACGGATTGGAGAGGAAAGCAGGCCAGTCCTTCACACCGTTGATGCACCGCGCCTGCCTCTCCGCATATGCCTTCAGCCGCCCTGCCAGCTCCTCAGTCATTGGCGTGCGAGCAGATGACGCCTGGATGGGTGTCGGAATGGGGATGGGAATGGACGGTGGGATGGTAGTGTTGACCGACTCACTCTTCTGCATACGCCTTCAGCCGCCCTGCCAGCTCCTCGGGCATTGGAGTGCGAGCAGATGACGCCTGGAAGCAAGGGTGGATGAAAGGTCTTAGTCAAGTCTTCTACAGCAAATCACCGGTTAGAAGCAGCGCCTTATGAATGAATCTACCATAGTGATTCTTTAGTGAATTTCGAGTGTATTGAAGGAGATGCAAGTCACTTTGAATGGTTAAGACTCACGGATTGGTAGTAGTGCATCTCGTGCACACTCCAGCACGAGTTGAACAGCCGGTGGTGCCGGGACCTCAAGGCCCCATCATGATCATACAGCAAGCGCCGCGCACTGCTCCCTGCATGCCTCCCTGCATGCCTCCCTGAACGGCCCTCTGTGGCCATTTTCAACATATGCTGCATTGTCCCTCTCTTGAGAGCAGTAACAAGGGTAGGATTCACCTGGAACGGAACGGACAAGCAGCAACGGACGTAACACGCAGCAAAGGCAAAAAGAAGGATATTTTGTCGGTTCGAGGCCTTCAGTATTGTCACTGCTTCCGTCACCAGCACTGGCCACCTCAGCAGCAACAAGTGAAAAATCCATCTGCGAGGTACAAAGGCGGCAGATTCGGCAGCAACAGAAGCAGCAGAAGCGAAAGAGCGGGATATATTATTGACACAGGAAGGCGCAGCGATCACGAGCCACGGCCTACCGGAACGAGGAGGCTAACACACAGCAGTGCGGCGACAAGGACTCCGTGTCGCGACAACATCATGGTCCGAGTTGACTTTTGAGTCGACTCATAAGTCAACGGCCTACCGGAACGAGGAGGCTAACACACAGCAGCGCGGCGACAAGGACTCCGTGTCGCGACAACATCATGGTCTGACGAGTCGAAGTCATCACTCGCCGGTAACTTTCAGTATCACTCGCCGGTAACTTCAGTATCACTCGCCGGTAACTTTCAGTATCACTCGCCGGTAACTTTCAGTATCACTCGCCGGTAACTTCAGTATCACTCGCCGGTAACTTTCAGTATCACTCCGTAACTTTCAGTATCACTCCGTAACTTTCAGTATTAGGCTCTGGAAACAAGTAGTGGCTCTGGAAACTAGTAGTGGCTCTGGAAACTAGTAGTGGCTCTGGAAACTAGTAGTGGCTCTGGAAACTAGTAGTGGCTCTGGAAAATAGTAGTGGCTCTGGAAACTAGTGGTATCGATCAGTTCTCCTGGCATGCGGGCGATGCTGCCGTGCTACATTACTAGTAGGAACGCGAGATTTCTAATAGCTTATGACAGGGATGAATGCGAGATTTCTAAGAGCTTATGACAGGGATGAATGCGATGATTTTGAGAGCTTATGACAGGGATGAGTGCGAGATTTCTAATATCTTATGACAGGGATGAATGCGAGATTTCTAATAGCTTATGACAGGGATTTCGAGACTCCATTTCAATGTGTCACAACAGCGGCATACAGCACGGATTCGAACCAGAACGAACCTGGGAGAGTAGGCTGATCCTCCATCTCATCAGTGATGAGGTTTCGTTTGAAGCTGCTTAGCACGAAGGGATTCCCTGAAGGCCCAAAAGCGGGTGATCTGCAGGCACGCGGCGGAATCGGCGGCGTGAACTCGATATGAAATTTCCGCACCGCCGGCAGGACTCCTCTCACCCACCTGGGAACATATCAAATTCACATTGGGGTGTATTGTCGAGCCGGTAGCGTTGCGACAACGCTACCACGGCGCGTCATGTCAGAACTCGGTAGTGCTAGCGTCCTCATCTCACCCACCTGAGAAAATGTCACGCATTGGGGGTATATATACGGCGGGGGTAACTGAGCACACGCGAAAGGAGCGTTTTTGGGCCGGGAACCGCGCGGGTGGACGGTACAGTAGCACTACGGAGCTCCGGCGACCCATGGTAGCGTAGCGTGGCTTCAACGCTACCTGGTCAACCATTCAACACCTGATGGCTGAAGGGACTTGATGGACTCTCCGCTATGGACATATCTCAAACAGCCTGGACCGTGTGTTACGCGAAGGATGCTTGTCAGGTGGCTTCGATTTCGACAGCATCGTAACCGTTATAAACTCAGCGAACATGACGATACGTGTCAAGTGTTAATCATGCGGATATATATTTTCTTCTTCTAGGAGTTTGCTGTTTGACTGTCTAACCAAGCCCGACCAAGATGTAAAAACAGCACCACGAGCCAATGGTAGAATGTTGGAAAGCCTGTCTAAATCTGGAGCTCTTTGAAATCTGTTCATTTACACAACTAAAAAACGGCTGTCGTCGGTGCCTTTTTGCACAATAGAAAGGCCCATGCCGTAATTGGGACAAGATTCGACGAGAGGGGAAACAGCTGCTGGCGTGGTGACTGGAGGGCTGCTGGGGCACTGCAGGGTATTAGTCAGCAAGGGAGGAAAGGAGGTGGGTGGGTGGAGGAAGAAAGCTTTGAGTCGACTTAAACAGGGCTGCTGGGGCACTGCAGGGTACCAGTCAGCAAGGGAGAAAAATGGGGTGGGTGGGTGGGTGGGTGGCAGGACATAGGAAAAAGGACCGGCACCACCGTTGCATTTGTTAATTCATTAGGCAGCACGGGGAAGGGCAATACGTAAGGATGAGAGGGACACCAGATGTCCTGCTGTGGTGAACAATATGCTTTTTGAAAGGTTGAGAATCCCACCCCTCAGTGGCTCGAAGTGATCTTCTTTCACAAAAGGACACGTGCCAGTACCAATCTATTTCTGAGGCACCTAAAAAACCGTCTCAGAAGCTTAATTTAGCCGTCTTCAGTGACTGATATAGGTACGTCGAATATCGACAGGTAGCAAGGCTCGGGGGAGGTTCGGGAGCAGGAGGTTCGGTTGTTCTTGCGCCAGTCGCTGTGGTAGCGAGCGACAATGTTGAGAGAGTAGGGGCGAACGCCTGCCAGGCCTGCTGCTATATAGCCGAATGTGGATGTGTCCGTTATGAGTAGCGTGTCACTGAGGGGACGAGGGGCAGGAGAGGGAGGCGAGGCAGATGGTGAGACATAATTCTGGCTTGACTAAGTGCGGGTGCTGTCGATTCCTCACCAGGCCTGCTGCTATGTAGCCGAATGTTGATGTGTTCGTTACTAGAAGAGTGTCCATGACGTGAGGAGTAAGGGCGTGGGAGTGCAGGCATGGCAGGAGAGACAGGAGGGAAGGAAGGGAGTTATTGCCACACGCCTACCACACGCCTACCACACGCCTACCACACGCCTACCACACGCCTACCACCTGCCTACCACATAGAGAGCAGCACTTCATGCATACCCACAGTACCCCATGATTAGAACGACATGCACACAGAGGACATACACACATACCACATGGAGAGCAGCCACATCTCCCTCAAGCCCTCTCCGCCTGCTTCTGAGACGTCACAAGAGCAATATTTTTATCACGTGGTTTTGAGACGTTTAAAAAAACCATCTTCTACCACATACATACCACATGGAGAGCAGCCACATCTCCCTCAGAGCCCTCTCCGCCTGCTTCTTCTCCCTCAGCTGCTGTGCTCCCTCGTGACTCAGCCTGGGATGTTCAAACGAAAGGAGGGGATGGGACGGGGAGAGACTGATGGTGCAGGTGATGCACTGATGCAGTGGAAGCCTTAGAGAAGGAGAGACGGTGCAGTGCATGTGCCATTGAGAATTCTCAGGAGCACTGCGAGACCAGAGGGATGCACAAACGTGAGATCCCAGGGGGGGTCTTCACTTATGGAGACGAGCAGCGAGAAACGATTTTTTAGTGAAGACCCCTAAGTGAAATCCCATGCCTCAAAAAAGAACTTTCAACAAACGTACCTGTCACGTGCAATCTCATGTTCATACACAAGGCTTCACCTACTCACTCACATGCTCACAGCGATCTCCTGCCCGCCCTCTGGCCGCCCCTCTGTGCTCATCTCCCTCAACATCTCCCCATACGCCGCCCGCAGTGACGCCACAAACACCCCCACGCTTCCCCCTTTTCTCCTCCCCTCCCCACCAGCTAACCCCTCCGCCTCCGCCCCTCCACCACCCCCGTCCCTGCGTCCCAACATCTGCGTCCCCTCTTCTACTTTCTTCTCGTCTCCCTTCTCGCCTTCCTTCTTGTCCCCATCCTCTGCTTTCACATGCTCCCCATTTTCCTTCTCGTCCTTCTCCCCTTGCGGCTGCCCTTGCCCCTGAAGCAGCTCCTTCTCTCCCAGTACTTGGCTCAGGAGGGAGGCGTTGCTGGGAGGTGCCTGCATGCAGGGAGGGTGACAGACGGAGGGAGGGACAAGGAGAGACGTAGATAATCAGAATATGTACGATGCCCTGATCCACTCCTCATACTCTTCTCCTCCCTTCCACACTTCCTAATATACCCGCTCGCTTAGCTTCGCCTCTCACCAACCCAGTACTGATAGCCTGACTGACTGACTGACTGACTGACTGACTGACTGACCAACCGACCGACTGACCGCCAACAGAGTGAGTACTTGGCTGACTAAATGAATTGCATGTCTGGATGGTGTAGTCGGTTATCACGCCAGTCTCACACACTGGAGGTCTCCGGTTCGATTCCGGGTTCAGACACACGGCAATATCCCTTTTCTTCCATATCTTCACTTCGTCGCATCCATCTATGACGTGAAGCCGTGACAAGCTAACACGTGGATTTTATTCCAAGTCACTTCCACCGCAGCTTCTTTCTGAAGACTCTAGGGTTTCGCCCTCGATCAACGTGCCTCGACATTTGGTTCCCCTGTGGAGCATTTCTTGTCCGTGCAAGAATGCCGTACCGCTTGTCAGTCTGTCGTTTGGTGTGTGCTTCAGTGTGGGGGGAACGGCGCCATCGCACGTGGATTAAAAACAAGCTGTGGCCAGGGAATTTGGGCACAAGACGTCTACGTCAGTTTAAGGAGGGCGGGGTTGAGTGCGTAGTACGGACCAACAAACCGACAGACTGACTGACCTGCTTCGTCAGCTTCTCCCAGTCCTCGTGTGCCATAATGGGGGGCACCACTTTAGTCACGTTGACCATGCAATCCACCACCCGCTGCAGCACATCATCAGCTGGCACGTACTTCTGAAACTCACGGATCTGAGGTATGTGTGTGTAGGAGAATAAGGAGAGTGTAATCAGGCATCTCATACGGAAGGCACTGCATCACCCTCTGCAGCACATCGTCAGCTCGCACGCACTTCTGGAACTCACGGATCTGTGGTGTGTGCGTGTAGGAGAATAAGGAGAGTGTAATCAGGCATCTCATACGGAAGGCACTGCATCACCCTCTGCAGCACATCGTCAGCTCGCACGCACTTCTGGAACTCACGGTTCTGAGGTGTGTGCGTGTAGGAGAATAAGGAGAGTGTAATCAGGCATCTCATACGGAAGGCACTGCATCACCCTCTGCAGCACATCGTCAGCTGGCACGCACTTCTGGAACTCACGGTTCTGAGGTGTGTGCATGTAGGAGAATAAGGAGAGTGCAATCAGGCATCTCATACGGAAGGCACTGCATCACCCTCTGCAGCACATCGTCAGCTGGCACGCACTTCTGGAACTCACGGATCTGGGGAATGTGTGTGAAGGAGAATAACGAGAATCACAGGGTAGAAGTAATCAGGCATCTCATACGGAAGGCACTGCATCACCCTCTGCAGCACATCGTCAGCTCGCACGCACTTCTGGAACTCACGGATCTGGGGAATGTGTGAGAAGGAGAATAACGAGAATCACAGGGTAGAAGTAATCAGGCATCTCATACGGAAGGCACCGTATCACCCTCTGCAGCACATCGTCCGCTCGCACGCACTTCTGGAACTCACGGATCTGGGGAATGTGTGTGAAGGAGAATAACGAGAATCACAGGGTAGAAGTAATCAGGCATCTCATACGGAAGGCACCGTATCACCCTCTGCAGAACATCGTCCGCTGGCACGCACTTCTGGAACTCACGAGCCAGAGGCGTGTGTGTGAAGCATGGAGAAGAGCGAGTTAAGGATGGGTGAATCCGGGAAAGCGATTCTTTGAAATATGTTGTGATGTGATGTGGGGGGTGAGCTTAACAAGGGACCTGAATTTCGAGCCTGGGTTGCTACGGACGTGATTCTACTGACAAGCCTAAGGCTACATGGACCTGAATGCCGAGCCAGTCCTGGTTTGGTACGAACCTGGATGCCGACCCTGTGTTGGTGCGGGGCGAGGTAGGCTCGGAAGGCGCGGGTGATTTCCTCCCAGAGGTAGTTGGCGGGGTGCAGCAGGTAGCGCCCCACGTGCATCAGGGGCAGGCGGTCGGGAAATAAAAGCTCCAGGTCAGCCTGGATACGGGAGGCATTAAAGGGGATGGATAGCAAGAGATAGTTGACCATACAGCAGAACCACGTGCATCAGCGGCAGGCGGTCGGGCACCAGCCGCTCCAAGTCAGCCTGCATAAGTGGGGACAGGCCACAGGGGGGTATTAAGAAGGGAGGGGGAGGCGAGAGCAGGACAGGAGGAATCATGCAGCAGCAGGTAGCGCCCCACGTGCATCAAGGGCAGGCGGTCGGGGAATAAATGCTCTAACTCGGCCTGGGGAACGAAGAGGAAGCATGGAGGGAAACACATGGAGGATCGGACAGGTTTAAGGTTTAGGGTAGTGGGTAGGCTTCAATTTATGAGTCGCTTCAGGAAGGGTGAGCAGACGAGTTGAGTTTACCCTCCAGCAGGCAGCCGAGAGCAGAGAGGGGGAGGAATGCACCAAGGACTTTGAACTAGAGAGGAACAAAGGGAAACGAGGCTTGTTCACTCATCTGTAATAGTGGTGCGTGGAAGAGAGCAGGGAGTAGGTAGCTCCAAACTGTGAGGTGCCTCTAAAAGGAAGACCAGGGTTGTGAACGTACTTGTAAGTGCGGTGTGTGGTAGAGAGCAGGGAGAAGGTAAGCGTCGGTTAGCAGACCGAGGACTCGAACTGAGGAGAGGGAACCGCGTTGGTGCTGCTGGTGGTGCGGACAGAAGAAAGCTAGATCTGCCTCTGATGCACTAGGCACACACACATGCATATCCACACATACAAATGCAGACACACATACACACACACACGCACACACACACACACACACACACACACAAACACAAACACACACACACACACACACACACACACACACACACACACACACACACACACACATCCACCATGCAAGAAATAACGGGGCATGAGGGACGAGAAGCATGGGGGGGGATAATGTGGGGCACGAGAACGTGAGCGTCTCAGGAAATGGTATGGGGTGAGTGAGACAAGGAGGACAGGAGGGCGATGGGAGGAAACGAGACGGGTAGCAGAGGGTAGCAGAGGGCAGCAGAGGGTAGCAAAGGGCAGCAGAGGCCAGCAGAGGGCAGCAGAAGCATACGTGAATTTGAGCTCAACATAGACCATGTTCACCCTCCCCACGCTGCTGCTGCTGCTGCTGCTGCTGCTGCTGCTGCTGCTGCTGCTGCTGCTGCTGCTGCTGCTGCTGCTGCTGCTGCTGCTGCTGCTGCTGCTGCTGCTGATTACGGAGGCAGCATCAGCAGCGGCATCCGCAGAAGCAGCTGTGGCTTCAGAGGGGGATCCTGGAGTTGCACCACTTGTTTCCCCTGCAGTGGTGCTAACGTTTGTGCTGTTCAAAGTGCTGCTGCTGTTGGTACTGCTGCTGCTTCTGCTGTTACTACTCAGAGCATCCATAGCTGCAGCATAGGCTGGCGTGCCGAACCTCGGAGACTGCTTTGTAATTACATTGCGCTGAGCTCTGGAGAGAGACGGTGGGGTGAATGAGAAAAGAGGAGGGAAGAGGAAGGGGAAAGGAAAAGTATGAAGGCAAAGGGAAGAAAATGGGGAGAGAGGAAGTGGCAAATGAGAGAGTAGGGAGGGAGTAGAAATGGCACCAGAAGAAAGGGAGGAGAAAGGAGGAGAGGGATGAAAAGACACAAGGCAGTTTGACACAAGAGGGTCAGCGCTCAGCGCTCAATGCACGCAAAGGTGGGCGAGTCATAGGCATCCAGATAAACGGGGCGAGGGTGAACGCCAAGGAATCGCAGAGGAAACAGTTTGAGACACAAGGGTCAGCACCCGGCATCAAGCACTCAACTCACGCGAAAGTGGGCGAGTCCATGGGCATCCAGGTGGAGGGGGTGGGGGTGAAGGCGAAGGGATCACAGAGAAAGAGCGCTGCCTGTGCGTGTGGGTTGATGATGAGCGTGCGGTTGGTGAGGAGGGCGTAGGCGAATGAGGAGATGAGGGAGAGCAGCTGATTGCCCAGACCTGCACAGCGAAGGGAGAATGGAAAAAGAAGGGGACAGAGAAAGGGAGAACAGAGAATCGAGTTGATGAATGTCACCGCATCCGCCCCATCAGCTCACGGTGTTTTTCAAGAATTCTCCAAATCACCCCGCATCCACCACCTCAGCTCAGTGACAGTTGTTTTTTCAGTGACAGGTTTAATAGAGAGTATTTTTTAGAATCCCCAAAGATACTAGAAATTATATTCGACAGTGGATTGGACTTGATCAATGACAGGTTTACTACAGGGCGACAGTGAGACGCCTCAAAACGGATTTACCCTCTGACTTCTTAGACACTAAAGAGCGTGGTAACCTAGTTTTGAGACGTCTCAATTTTTTAGTTTTGAGACGTCTCAAGACAGTGAGACGCCTCAAAACAGATATACCCTCGGAATTCTTAGACACTAGAGGGTGTGGTAACTGAGCTGATGGATATCGTCATGCCATTGCCACAGCACAAGCACCCATCTCATCTCAGATAGGCACTCACCACTGTAGGCGGGGTCGAGATGAAAGAGATAAGAGCATTCCTGCACGGAGGATGCATCCACTCCGTCTTTCAGCCCTTTTGTGCTGCACGATGGGAGTTCAGAGGGAGAGTTGAGTTGAGGGAGATTTGATTAGAGGGAGATTTGAGTAGAGGGAGATTTGAGCATGGGAGATTTGAGTAGAGGAAGATTTGAGTAGAGGGAGATTTGAGTAAAGGGAGATTTGGGCAGGAAAGATTTGAGCATGGGAGATTTGAGCAGTGGGAGTTCAGAACTAGAGTATGGTGAGAGTGTGCCGAGCACACAAATACCTAATAATTCAGTCCATGCAAGCAAACGTATGTGATCCAGCCACGTGGCGCTCACGGACTGGAGAGGAAAGCAAGCCAGTCCTTTACACCGTTGATGCACCGCGCCTGCCTCTCTGCATACGCCTTCAGCCGCCCTGCCAGCTCCTCTGTCATTGGCGTGTTGGCAGACGATGTCTGGATGGGCGTCGGAATGCGGACGGAAATGGATGGTGGGATAACACAGTGTGTCTGACTGACTCAGTCCCCTAAATATGTCTTCAGCTGCTCCTCGGCCATCAGTGTGCTGCCTGATAGTCTCTGCATGTGAGGGTGTTGCAACGAGGATGGAGCTTCTTCACCAACTCGGTGCCTGCCTGCCTCTCTGCAGAGCACACCGTCAGCCACTCTGCCAGCCCTTCAGTCATCTCATCGACGTGCTGCCAGATTATCCCTTCCATTCCATAAAGGGTGTTGGCAGACAATGCGCTGGTAGACAATGCCTGCAAGAGGGGGCTGCAACTGCAACGAGAATGGCACAGTTTAGTCGTTTCAACGCCTGCCTCAGAATATATTAGCCGCGTCCCGAATTTCTTAGTAGCGAATATTCATCAACATTTTAGCTGACTAAACAGTCACCTTGAATGCATAAGACTCACGGGTTGGTAGTAGCGCCTTTCGTGCACACTCCAGCACGAGTTGAACAGCCGGTGGTGCTGTGACCTCAAGGCACCATCAGGCTCATACAGCAAGCGCCGAGCAGGGCTCTCTGCACGGCTCCCTGTGTCCAGTCTCAAACTACGCTGCATTCTGTGTCTCTTCCTTCCTCGTCTCCGCGCTTCCTTCTGCCCTCCTCCGACTCCTTTCTTTCCTTTCTTACTTTCTCCCTCTCCTCGTTCTCCTCCTCCTCCTCTTTGATTCTTCTCCTCTACTAGCACCTCCACCTGCCTATCTTCTCTCCACCGCAGCCCTTGCTCTACCCATCCCTCCCTCCCTCCCCATCCGTCCTGCCACTCAAACGCCTCGCGCCCGGCTTCTCTCTCTGGTCCGTGCTCTATCAGGCCATTCCCTGTAATAACCTGTTCTACTCCTATATTTGGGGCATGCTCTAGCTCTAGTACTCCCTGATTTCCCCCTGATCCTATTGGGTGTTTTTGAGAATTCTCAAAAACACCCTGCTCTAGTACTCCCTGATTTCCTCCTGATCCTATCCGTTTTATTTCCCTAACAAGCTCTTCCTCGTGTCTGTACGGCGGCGCGAGACCCCCAGTACTCTCCCGGTTGATGTCACCGTCGCCAGCAGCAAGGGAAAGATGCACCTGCAGCGGACAAGCGACAGAGAGGCAAACAGAAAGGATTATTGGAACATGACTGACGGCCTTGAGAGTAATGTTCTTTGTATCGTCTTCCCCTGTTGATGTCACCGTCGCCAGCAGCAAGGGAAAGATGCACCTGCAACGGACAAGCGACGGACAAATTATGACAGGCAGCAGAGGCGAGAACAAGGGGATGTTGGAACAGGGAGGCTCGTCAGCCGGTCTCGGAGCAAGGGTCAACGGTTGCAGTATTTCTCAGTCAACTCATGAATCGGTTTTGACACGCAACAGAGGCGAGCAGAAAGGACGTTGGAACAGGGAGGTTCGGCGGCTGGTCTGGGAGCAAGGGTCAACGGTTGAAGAATGCTGGGAAGTGGGGCAATATACAGCATGACTAGCGACGTTATAGTAAGAAAACAGCCGCGATTATGACGAGCGACCACGCCGAGCGACCATGACGAGCGACCATGACGAGCGACCATGATGAGCGATCACGGCGATGTAAACAGACAACGGCGGCGATTACGAGTCACGGCGTACCGGAAAGAGGTGGCCCATACACAGCAACGCGGCGACGAGGACGAATCGCGACAATCTCATGGTCGCCGTCCAATACTCCAGGATTCCCAATGATTCCCAGTCCCGAGTGAAATCACCATGAACAATCTGCCCATATGCGCAGGCGATGCTGCCATGTAACATCAACAATGCGAGAACCCTAATAGCGGGTGATAGCAAGAATCATGTGTCAGGATTCCATAACTACACGAAGTCGCAAACCAGTTCCATGTCCCGGGTTACGACTGACTGACAAAATGAGGACTGCTGATACTAAGTTTGGGTTGTCTCTCCCCTGATGAAGTTTGGGTTTTCTGACACTAAGGGATTACCGAGTGGCAAAATGTCATTGAAATTGGCGCGAACCCGCTACTAGTCAACTCGAAAAAAATCGCCGACCGAGAGTTCTTTCGAACGATGCTAAACCCTAAACCATGCCTCATACAAACATGTTCAATTGTTTAGAGACACATGAGCCTGGAATGCGTACGCATTCTTAGTAATAGAAGTATACATTGATGAAAGCACAGCATTAACACGTGCTTTCAGGCCACTGTCCTGTATAACACCTATTCTAGTCCCCTGCGAAATAGCGGTACAGCGGGCTCTAGAAACTTTCTTAAAGCATGCCAACAGACGACCCAACTCCATCCACATTGACATTCCGTTTCTCTCCACCCGCCCCCAAGTCCTTATTTCTTCCCCCCACCAGCCTGCCTGCCAGCCTCTGAACAATCCCCGTTTTACTCACCACCTTAACAAGGAAAAACGCCAGCCTAAACGGGGCCCCGACAAGCGGCGAATCAATAAGCGACACCTCATTCCGCTCCACACCCCCTGCTCCCCTAACCACAACTTCACCAGCACCACCCACACCCACACCACCAGCTCCACCCCTAGCAGCCACAACCGAACCAGCTTCATCCACCATCCCTTGCGCCCTCACATCTCCTACAATCCCATTTCCTACAGTCACAGCGACTGCTCCTGCCCCTCCATCCATCCCCCCTCCTCCTGCTCCTTCCAATTCTCTCTCACTGTAAGTCACAGGCCAGATGGCAGGGTACCGGCTGGAGGATTCAGAGAGAGTAGGGGTAGGCTGCTGCGCACAGAGCGCTGCGCAAGGCGGGGGGGCACTGCGCACCACCGGCAGGAGAGAGGAGGTGTCTGCAGCAAGGGAGGAGGAGGACGAGTGTGCAGACTGCAGGAAAGTCAAAGGGCCCTGTGCTGTGAGAAAACTGCTGTGACTGCCCCTGGGATCCTCCCCAGCCGCACCAGATGCAGTATTGGCAGCACTGGGGAAACCACCATCCGTTGCAGCAGCAAACGGTGCAGATGGGTGCAGAGAGGTTGGGCGAGGGGATGGAGACCTGGAGGACTCGTCCTGAATATTCTGGCTCATATGAGCGGCTGCGACCCTCCCCTGGTTACCACCTACACCCCCTGCCAATGCTGCCTGATGCTCCGACCTTAATCCTGCCACGTCAGCTGCAAGGGTGTACTCAGATGCTGACGTGGCACGCACTGGCAGTGCTGTCGATGCAGCTGCTGCTGACCTTCCAGAGAAAGGAAGCTCGAGAGAAGAAGCAGGGGGGGTGGAGAGAGAGGAGGTGGGGAAAGACAGCTGCGAGTGTACAGAGGAGGAGGGGGAATTATCCTCCACTACTACTGCTGCTGCCCTTGTTCTTCCTGCTGCTGACGTGGCATGAGCTGGCAGAGGCTGAGTCAGCACAGGAGACAGGCTGGCGTGGATGCTCTGAGAGCTTGCGGGCACTCCAGAAGGGGTTCCTGGGATGACGGTGGTCCGCATGGTGGTAACCAGATTCGCTATCAGCAGCTTCTGCTCGTTCATCTGCACACGTAGATATTGGTTTCCAGATGATTCAAATGCAGGAATTTGAAACAACGAATGGCTAAAAAGGTGCTCAGGCCTCTGAGCCAGCTGTCAGGTGTTTGTAAATTCCTTCTGAGTAGGGTAGAACGACATAATAGATCTGTCATGAAGGCATTTGCATGGCCGACACATGGGCTTTAACCAACCCACCTGCTGCACCAGGCGCGCGTTTTCCTCCACGAGTTTCTCCACAGTGGCAGCAGCAGCCGCCCTCTCCACCCTGGCGTCCTCTGCTGTCTCCAACACTCGCTCCATGGCACTTGGATCTCCACTGAACCATCGGTTCCACCCCTGCAACATCAAAAGGAATGGCAGCAGGGGGTGCATAGACATCGAAGCAGTTGGTGTTGTTGCCTTCACCACCCACCACCCCGGCATCCGATCGATTGCCGTGTGAAACAAGTACCCTCATGTTACCCCACAGCAGCCCACAGCAGCCCACAGCATCCCACAGCATCCCACAGCACCCCAGAGCACCGCATGGTATCACGCATACCTTCTGCTGGACTCCCATGGTGGCCTCTGCCCGCGTCCGGCTCCTAATGGCCAACCCCCTCTCCAGCTGCTGCACCGCTGTGTGAACCAGACACTTCAAGTTACCCCACAGCACACCACAGCACCTCCCAGCACCCCATAGCACCGCACACCTTCTGCTGAACTCCCATAGTGGCCTCTGCCCGCGTCCGGCTCCTGATGGCCGCCTCCCTCTCCAGCTGCTGCATCGCCGTGTGAACCAAGTACCTCATGCTACCTCACAGCACCCCAGAGCACCCCACAGCACACCACAACACCCCAGAGCAACCCATGGTACCCCACACACCTTCGGCTGGACTCCCATAGTGGCCTCTGCCCGCGTCCGGCTCCTGATGGCCGCCTCCCTCTCCAGCTGCTGCATTGCCGTGTGAACCGCCGCCAGCCGCGCTGACAGCCGCCGCCTCTCGCCCTCCAGGCGGTCCGACTTGTCTCGAAGGCGAGATACCTGAAGGCAGGGAGGGGATGACGTGGGGGATGAGGAGGGGGAAGGGAGAGTAGTGTGAACCGCTGCCAGCCGCGCTGACAGCCGCCGCCTCTCGCCATCTAGGCGGTCAGAGTCTCTCGAAAGCGAGAAACCTGAGGGCAGGAAGAGGGGATGAAAGGAGAGGGAGAGGGGAGGCGGGAGAGGGGGAAGGGGATGTGAACCGCCGCCAGCCGCGTTGACAGCCGCCGCCCATTCCCCACCCACCTCCCTCCCCAACCACCACTTCAAGCCGAATCAAACGCACACACCTTTGCTTCAAGGCGAAAGTTAAGCTCCCTCAGTCGCACAACTAGCTAGCGTGAAAGTCATCTACTTTTGAGAAATCTCAAAAGAAAGTGACACAAGCATAGTCAAATTGTGACAGACGAGTCAAATGCACACACCTCCGCTTCAAGTCGCACGTTGGCCTCCCTCAGCCGAACCAGCTCCACCTGCAGACGAGGGAAAACAAGGACAAAGACAAACAGAAAAATGATTGCGCACTCCTTAAAGAGAGGAGGGGTGGACAGAGAGAGAGAGAGAGAAAAAAAAGAGAAGCGACGCATTATTCAATATTAAATGAGAAGGAGGAGAGGGTGGGGCGAAAGGGTGCGGCGGAAAAAGAGGGTGGAACTGGGGAAGAGAAGGGAAGGAAAGAAGTTGGTGGAGAGGTAGCCACTGACAAGGTTAGCGAAGTCGTCTGTAACGCGTCCCTCCTTCCGTCTGCTGCGAATTGCGGCCGTCAGATCATCCCTGGTTTCCAGTAACGGCCCATCCTTACCACACCGCCCCACCCTGTACTTCGTTCCCTGACCCCTCCCATCGCCTGCGTCTAGATCCTCTCCTCGACCCCCTCCCTTGGGACTCCCGTCTAGGCTCTCCCCTTGTCTAACGCCGTGGCTTCTTCTTTGCGTTGCCGCTGCTGCTTGCACGTGCGCTAGCAAATCCGCCGATCCTGCCCGAGTCTGGAACATTCTTTTCGGGCTGCCCGCAGTTGCCGAGCCCGGCCGTCGCGTCTGCACAAACTTTTTTGGGCTGCCCGCGGTCGAGTGGGAAAGAGATCCGGCAGACGTGGAGGGAGAGAGGTACACGTCACTCCGCTGCGACATCAGTGGCGTGATTCGCGGACGAGAATGCACACCATACATCCCCGATATAAGCACGTCGTGTCCAGAGGGATCTCCGCGAGATTCTAACGCGGCTGCTCCAAGGCTTAGCCTCTTAGCTCTTGCTACAAGTTCCAAGTCTGTATTAAGTGACAATTCATTTCCTCCTCCCCAACTCAATCTCCCGCCAGCCGAACCGCCTCCGTCAAGACCAGCCGTTGCAGCTACTGGAACTTGACATCTTCCGTCAGAGCTCCGGCAAGTCCGGGGTCCTGGACTGCTGCAGATAGATCCGTCACCGTCACCGTCAACGTCAACTCGTAAGGCGGTCTGACCTTCATGGCTTTCGCTACTCGTTTGGCTCGCAGCCTTATTATTCGGATGTTTCACATTTAAAGGGAATTCAAACTCCCGTTGTCTATCCGCCGCGATTTCCGCAAGCGATGAGGTAAGCTGCTCAAGTTGCTTGCTCGTCGCGGGAGCCATGGCCAGCCTAAAACCTAGAGCTATATTTTAGTCTGCTTAAAAGTCGTCGGAGCCATGATCAGATGGATGCCTGGATGATTCTTCGTCCGAAAGAGAGTCATCACACATACTCCAGTCGACTAATATGCTCAGTTGGACTCCTCGAGAAATGGTTGTATGAAATAGGAAAGGTCGTGCTACAAAATAAATTATTTCCTGCACTTCCTATCATGTCTGCTGCTATGAGATAGCAATTCTGGTGAATGTGGAGGTCTCGTGCACGGCCTGGTTGCTTCTGGCTGAGCCATGGCTGGTGACAAAAATATCGAAAAGTATAAACACACCGGGCGGGATAAGGCACCAGAAATCGAAATAATAAAAGCATGGACAAGCAGTGTCAAGGACGAGAAGAAGCTGCTTCCTAGACTAGTTCGGTATTGGCGGTTACCATTCTTCCACCTTTGCTCAAGCTAGCTTGCGGGTATGTAATAGGTCACTCCTATGCCGTTTGGTAAGATGCTGTGCGGTTATGTACATTTCAGAATGGTTGGGTATGGGTTTGACCGAATATTCTTTGTCACTGGGTTAGTTGGACTCGCTTGGTTAGGTTGAGATGTGAGCTGTCGACGGTGGACGCTGTGTTGTGATGTGATGTGAGCCGTCGATCAGACGCAAATCGGCCTCATGACAAGCACCCAACCACCCGCAGAAGAGGTTTGATTGCAGGTTCGAATGCCGCGTTTATCCGGTTTCTTTGAGCGACTGGAGTCGATTTTGTAAAAATCGACTCCTTTCCAATCCAGGATCAAGCCACACTTGGCGGCTCATTTGTGTGGCTTACAGGAGGGGCGTTTCGTCGTTCAATTTCAACCGAGCCCGAGAATTTCAACTTTGGACAAGCCCTGATCATGACAGGCCAAGCGCATCTCTGTGACTTGTTGATCCTCTACCAATGTGCCTGACCCGCAGATTCAGGAGTGTGAACAAGCCTCTGACAGGTTGTCACCTCACCTCCATAATGGCGGGACAGAAGCAGCGATTCGTCACGTCAGTCTTCGTTTAAGTAAGACCCATGAATATCAATGGAATAACCGCTTTTAGAATACAGAGATATTCAACTACACTTGCTGCAAAACATCTCAAGCATATCGGTAGTGAATGTCACTCATTCCAGCATCAAATGGCGGTAGTGACGACCACGGCAAGCTCTCATCAAGTAGTATTTGGCAGTTTGATAATTACCAAGTCGAAGCCGTTCATTTACAAGCCTGAAAAGGTACAACCAACGATGTGAGGCAAGAAACAATCATCCGTACATGAGTACAAACAAATCGAAGCAAGTGCGCATTTCTTATAAAAACTCACCAGCGAGTGAGACATCGTTGAAAAGCGACCGACGTTGGTCGGACGTACATGGGATCCCGTTGCTGGTACAACAGTCCAACCTGATAACAAATACGCAGGGGAGATTTTGAGCGCATGTCCTCGCCTAAAAGGCAGTGATACATTATATACAAAGCGCATGAGCTGTGATGTCAACATGGCAAATATGGCAGGTGCGGCAGTAACAGCAGTAGGTAAATTCATCATGAGCTGCTTTGAAAAGGGGATAAAAGCGTGTATATGCGTTGATATTTTCACTGAATGAATACATGTTAGAGAGATTGAGTTGCAAATGGCACTCCTCACCTTGAGCAGCGCAGCAGCTGCTGGATCCTCCATAAATTCTTCCCCTGAGTCTTTGCCATAATTCACCTGCATCGTGGAAAAACACATGGAGACAAACGGTAATTTCCACCTGCAAATGAATAGCCGTAGGAATTTCCACCAGTTCCTGACCGCATGGCATTGGGGCGACAAAAACATCCCATCTTGCTCTCAGCTTTTAAGAGGCACATCAAACCTAGCAGCAAATCCCAAACAATGCAGCAGCAGCAGCAGCAGCAGCAGCAGCAGCAGCAGCGGCAGCAGCAGCGGCAGCAGCAGCGGCAGCAGCAGCAGCACAGCTTACCCCAAACTCGGCAGTTGCCAATGCATAAACGAAATCCATCATCTGAAACCGCGCCCACTCCCTCAGCTGCCGTCCGTACTCCCCTTTCTCCTCCTCCTCCTCCATCCATCCCTCCTCCTCTTTCCCACTCCTCACAGAAACCTCTTCTGGCCCTTCACCCTCCTTGGTAAACCTTGATTCCTTCTCTCCCTGCGTGTCTCTTTGTAATGCTTCCTGCCTCCCATGCACATCCCCTTCACAGACCCCATAACCAGACTCTGGGCTCCATTTCACTCTATCTTTTCCTCTTTTCCCCTCCCTCCACTCCACCCACCACCTGCTCCATGTTCCCGGGGCATTTCCCCAGGGGCTGCCGAACCTAGCCGCCCACCGAGGCTGTTCTCCCGAAGCTAGCTGCTCTCCGAACCTCTCGAGTTGGGTGAGTGCTGCTTGCATGGCTGGTTCCACCTCCGTTGCCTGTGCAATAGAGAATGAGATCATAGGAGAAAAAAAACGAGAGAAAGCGTTTAAAGAGAGGAAGAAATGGGAGAAATAGGGAGAGGTGAGAATCTAGAAAAGGTGGAAGAAGAATAGAGGTGGGCGAGTGCTGCTTGGATGGCTGGCTGGCTCCACTCCACCTCCGCTGCCAGTGCAATGGAGAATGGAGAACAGCCAGGAGAAACGACGAGCAGAGAGATGAAAAAGAGAAACACACTTAACCTCAATGCCAAGACATAGTCTCATACCCCCCAACATCCCCCCTTCTGCCTCCCTCACCTCATCACACATACATGCAGGCGCGCCAGGTGATTGAGTGAATACAGTTCTTGCGATCAGAGTTTTCTTAGCTAGGGAATTTTTTACTCTCTTTCTTTACTTGCTAAAGCGTTTCACAAGTACTGCTGCCCTTCCACCATGAGTGACAACAACATCCCCCCTTCTGCCTCCCTCACCTCATCACACATACATGCAGGCAGGCGCGCCAGGTGGTGGTCGACGCAGCTACCCACTGGCGCAAACTCAGACCCCACCCCCCTCTGAACTGAACCACCCATCACCACTCTAAACCACTTCTCTAACACATACATGCAAATACGCCAGGTAGTGGTCCACACAGCTGTCCACTTGCTCAAACTCAGACCCCACCTGCTTCAACCCCTCCAAATCAGCCCTCCACCACTCTCAACCACTAGCCACATACATGCAGGTAAGCAAGGTAGTGGTCCACGCAACTATCCACTCGCTCAAACTCAGACCCCGCCCCACTCAACCGCTCCAAACCACACCTTCACCACTCTAAACCACTCCTTTCAACACATACATGCAGGTAAGCAAGGTAGTGGTCCACGCAACTATCCACTCGCTCAAACTCGTCCTCCTCTTCCCGCCAGCCCGCCCACAGCGAATGAAACTCCGCCAGGTGGCGCGGGTTGGAGCCAATCGCAGCTTCCACCACCCTCCACTGCACTCAGTGGGTCAGGAGAAACGAAACAGAAAGAAAAGAAATCCAAACAGGATAAAAAGAAAAAACAAGAGGAGGGTGGGCAGGGAAAAGGGTGAGGAACGGGGGGGGAGGGGAGGGGACCATAGAGGTACAACTTCCTTCCGCCGTTGCGTAAAGGGGTGGCTGGTGGGTTCGAATTGCGATTTCTGAGTTGATTCAAAAAGGGGGGGAACAACAGCCACCTACCTGGAGGGGAGTGAAGGTGGACGGAACGAGGTGCACGGAAGCTTCGTCCGGAAGCCAACCAAAGAGCTGTAATCACGCATGGCAATAGGTTGGTGAATAGGGGAAGAGGGATGGAGGTTGGGGTGGTGGTAATAGGAGTATTGAGAGGTGTGAAAACGCATGGAGAGTTGAAACTGTGAGGGGTTCAAGGGTGGAGAATTTTGAATCAACAGCCTATAATGGGGAAAGGACAGAGGAAGGAAGGCAGCAGGGGACGCAGGACGGGATGCGGCAGGAGGAACAGGTAGAGCCAGGAAAGCTGAAAGCATGCAGCGGAAACAGTGCCAGCAGAACACACACGCAAACGCACAAAGAACACACGCACACGCACACACGCACACGCACACACGCACACGCACACACGCACACGCACACACGCACACGCACACGCGCACACGCCCACGCGCGCGCGCAGACACACACACACACACACACACACACACACAGATCCACACATCCACACATCCACACACACCCGCACACACACACACACGCACACACGCACACGCACACGCACACACGCACACACGCACACGCACACACGCACACGCACACACGCACACGCACACACGCACACGCACACACGCACACGCACACGCGCACACGCCCACGCGCGCGCGCAGACACACACACACACACACACACACACACACACACAGATCCACACATCCACACATCCACACACACCCGCACACACACACACACGCACACACGCACACGCACACGCACACACGCACACACGCACACGCACACACGCACACGCACACACGCACACGCACACACGCACACACGCACACACGCACACGCACACGCGCGCGCGCAGACACACACACACACACACACACACACACAGATCCACACATCCACACATCCACACACACCCGCACACACACACACACACACACACACACACACATCCACACACACACACACACACACACATCCACACATGCACACACACACACACACACACACTCACACACATCCACACATGCACACACACACACACACACACACACACACACACACACACACACACACACACACACACACACACACACACACACACACACCTCGTGTGGGTGGAAAAGAGCCTGGGTGCCAAAGTCAGCAGATAGCTGATCAGAGTAATAACTGCGCCACACACACACAAGGGCAGAGGATACGGGAGAGGTTGGATACATAGTGGGTAATATTCTAAGCGCCCCAACCAAAGAAAACGTCAACAGTAACAAGTCTTTGGTGTTTTTGAAGTCTTGGTTTGGAATTATCGGTTTCTGAGTTTCCACCCCCAGTTCCTTCCAGCGCACCTGTCGGAGGAGCAGAACAGCACCCTGGGAGCCGCGTCTCTCCCTCTGGCCGTGGCCTCAAGGAGACGCAGCAGCAAGGCGTCGTGGAAATCCGCCCCCTCACACAGGCTTGCTGGTGCTGCTAGTGGTGCTGCTAATGGTGATGGTGGTGGTGATGGTGATGGTCGTGATGCTGCTGGTGCTGGTGATGTTGTGGGTACTGTATGGATCGATGGCGCATGGCGCATAGTTTTGAGGCGCCTCAAAAGTAGACTTGTATGGCTCGATGGCGCATGGCGCAGCACTTGGAATCCGTTGATTGCCAGAATTGGCTGTGAGGGGAGAAAGTTGGGTAGAGCACATCAGCTCGACACAACAGCACACCATGCACATCAGCACACCATGCACATCAGCAAGCAAATCAATCAGCAGCCCCCTTCATGCAACAGCCGCCTCTGGATCCCCTCTCCATCCCACACTGCTGCTCACACACACTCACCTGAAAGGGTTTATGCCGCCATCTCAGTTTGCTGCTCTTTCTCGTGCCTCCCGCCACAACAAGCAAGTCAATCAGCAGCCCACTCCAGGCAACAGCCGTCTCTGCATCCCCTCTCCTGCGCCCGAACCTGCTTTCCAGGCCCGGCCCGGACATCCCCTGCCCGAGGCTGTTGCCCAGGTTCGGTCCCGACCTCCATCGCCGAACCTCCTGTAACCGGAGCAGCTGCTTGGCGAGGCACATGCTGACAATCGTTGATGCGGCAGGTTCGGAAAGAGAAGCTCTGTCTTCACTTTGTTGATTTGACTCTCCTCCTGATTCTCTTTGTGTATTTTCAACCAATTCCTGTGCCCACGCCTTTAGTAGCAGGTGATCTTCGTTATAGCCCCATTCCGCACTATCACATGCTCCAGACACAGGCTGTAAATGCGCCTGCTGCTGCTGCTTCTCCTGCACCTGTTGCCCCTGCAACCTCCTCTGCACCAATCGCAATGACTCCTCCCAAAGCTCCTCCACCTGCCTTCCCTCACACCCCCTCTTTTCCTCCCCTTCCTCCCCACTCCTCCCCCCAGATTCCCCAATCCCCCCTGAAAGAAGCGTCTCTAGTGCGGTTACCACATGCACACGCCGCTGCAAGGCCTGCAGCAGGTCGTGTGACTGTAGGCGCCTCTCTTTAATAGCACGCAGCACTAGGGCTTCAAGAGCTGACTCGATGTCCGAGCGAAGAGAAGATAGCTGCGGTTGAGGAGGGGGTGTGACTGTATCGAGAGGTGGAGCTGTATTGAGGGGAGGGGCTGTATCGAGGGGGGTGACTGTAGAGGGATGTGTGGATGCGGGACAGATGGCAGGAGGAAGCATCCAGGAAGGCAGCCGTGGAATGTCCAGATTTTGTGTGTTAGGAGCCGATGAGGCTTCGTGTGAGGTTGGGTGGGAGGTTTGGTGAGGGGCTAGGTGAGACGTTTGGTTTGAGATGGGGGAGTACGGTGACGTGTGGTGCTGTGATGTGCAGTGCGGTGAGGACTCTGGTGGCGAGAGTAGATGCCTTTCCAGGTCGACGTACGCCACTGGAGCACCGCTTTTGACCCATCCGTTAACCAAATCTGCATGGAACAAGCAGAACGGGAGAATGGTAACGAATGTCTGAAGGAAAATTAACGGGAATGGTAGAGGGTGGGTGATGATTAACAGATCTGACTGAAAGGGTAACAGTTGGCTGATGGGATACTAATTAGAAGGTGAGCAGGTAGTGAGCTGAATCGTGTGAATAAAATGAATCGTCTGAAGAATCATCAAAGCAATGCTTCTGTGCAGACCTACCTTCCAGCAAACATCTCTTCTCCAAGCCTCCTCGTCACCAGTGCACCACCACGATCCCGCTGAACCATCTGATTGGCCTGAAGCAGCTGAGCTGCCTGAATCGTCTGAACCGGCTGAATAGTCACCCGCTGAATCTCCTGAATCATGACAACACTGTTCCGGGTCACACCTACCTTCCAACATGCTTCTCTTCCCCACGCGTCTCGGCCTGTGCAGTGTGCACCACCACGATCCTCCGATTCATGGAAATCTAAATGATCTGAATCAGCTGATACCGCTGAATACTGAGAGCAATGACCTCCCACAAACCCACCTTCCAACATGCTTCTCTTCCCCACGCCTCTCGGCCTGTGAATCACCACGATCGCCTGAAACACCTACTGACTGCCTGATACACCTAAACCTTCAGAATCGTCTCAATTATCTGGATCATTGAATCATACGATGGCTGCTCCTGCTTCTATGCCAACCCACCTTCCAGCAGGCTTCTCTTCCCCACGCCTCGCGGTCCGTGCACCACCACGATCCTCCGCGGAAGCCCCTTTCCGGATACCCGCACGCCCACCTCCAGTGCGGGTCCCCCCAGCAGCTTCCCCCACCCGATCTCCCCCTCCGCTACCCCCCCGCCCCCCGCCACTGCTCTCCGCACTACCTCCCGCGCGGCTGGCCGCGATATCCAGTTCCATGCTGCGCCTTCCGCGCACGGTGATCCTTCCGCGCGTGCCGGTGCTTCCGCCTGTGGTGATCCTTCCGCGCGCGGTGATCCTTCCGCAACTGCCGATCCTTCCGCGCACGCGGATTCGTTCACGGGCGTTGCGGAAGCGGTACTAGCGGAAGCGGAAAGGGCTCGGACTACGAGATTCTTAAGAAACGGCGATGATTGGCTTTCGCTCGACAGCTGCGAGTGCATACGCAGTATTGCCTGACTCTTTAGCACCAATGGTCGACGCATGGTCGCTGCTTGCGAGCATTCTAGGCTGGTCTCAGGCCCAACGTTTCTGGTCTCAGATCACCTGGATCGTGGGAATGATATGTACGGGATAATGGATTGCTTGCGACAAACCTCGGTAACATCAAGGAACCCAGTTGTATCCCTTTGAAACCAACCTGGGAATGAAGAGAACCAAAAGCCTACTCAGGGGGACAGTGAGGAAGAGCTTCTGGAAATTCAACTACTGAATTCAGTTGAGAGTTATAGAGTGATATACACTAGTGACTTTTTGTATTTATATCGAGTGTAGCCCAAATCGAGAACAAATTTCAACATATTCGCTGACTTCCACGATTCATCAATGCAGCATTTTTTCGTCCCATTTCCGTGGGTCCAATTGACTACGCACTGTTCACTCTCCTGCGTCCACGTAGCACACCAGCCAGGCAACGCCATTGTTGCCACAAGGGTTCCTCCGCATCGCTTCGCCTGTCGTGGAAAAAAAGTCGCATGTCACTCCCACACGCCAATCGGGTGCTTCCACTTTCCACCAAGGGCATTTTCTGCGGTCCAAACTCAGAAACATTGCTGGTGTCCAGGGCTTGTTTCGCGGGTTATTTTCGAAGATCCACTTTCTAGTCAGAGCTGTACAAGTCGCACGTCTGAAAAACTCCCATCTACACAACCCTCTTAGCCAAGCACCGCCAAGATCCACTCCGCCTTTGGCCTTCAAATCAAACCCTCGACTCGATGTGCTCCGATGAGGGCAAGACAGCAACGCAAGTGCCAGATTTCAAGGCATCTCCTGACTGGGCAGGTGTTTATTGAATTGCTTTGCTGTCGGCTGAAAGACTCCACTTTTCGGACGTGATCGCATTGCGTGGAAAATGTCGCGCGGTCCCTTCCCTTCCCTACCTCCCGTTCGGTTTGGTTAGCTGGGTTGGATGGAAGTGGACTGACTGCTGGGTTTGGGAGAGAGAGAGGGAGGTTGCGGGGAGGGGAACTGTTTGGGTGGGAGAGAAATGGGAATCAGGACTGAAAAAACACATCGCCATGTGTTAGCTTCTCACGCCAACACATCCCGTCCCGTCACGTTCTCGCTTCAACTCCACAACATGAAGCATCATGCTTTTCGGAGTCTCACAGTAGCGCTAGATTGAGGAAGTTCTCTACTGCACTAACGCCATTTTCTCGTGACCGTCGCCTGCCATGACCGTAGCTTCAGCAGCACGCGCGCTCACGCCAACTGCACTCACATGCAAGCAATAGCACGGGTTCAAGCCATAAGCCATGGCGCAATACAAAACCCAGTTTCAAGCTCTCAGGGTCCAGCCACTCTCGCTCCCCGCCGCAACCCCTACCCCTTCCGCCGCCGCTTCTCCTTGTGACGTGCCTCTTCCTCCTAACGCCGTTTCCGCCGTGAAAAGCGCCGCGGAACCCGTGCTGATCGTGGACAAATGGCGGGCTGTGATTCGCTGCTGCAGCCAGGGCGCCGGCGACGCGCTCGGGTGCTCCGGGGAGAAGCTAGCGGACGGCGCAAGCATTTACGAGCTGGCGGAAGGAATGGAAGCAGCTGATTGGACGAATGCCGTGGGGTCCCTGTCGCTCGGCGCGCTTTGGTCCGCCATCGAGTGAGTCGCCCTCTCCGCATCCTTCGCAATCTCGTCGCATCGACTATTTCTTGCGAGCCTTGGATCCGAAACACTATTCGTTTCTATGACGGAACGGTATTAACATCTCCTGTCGCCTTTCTATCACCCTCTTCCCTCGGTGCGACCAGATTTTGGCTGCGACGGCCTGAGTGCTCTGGCCCGCTCAGTCGCCATCGCGTTCGCCTCACTCTCCAGCGACTCCGTGCGACGTCAAGCGAACGTTTCCTGCTTGCGACGCTGTCGCCCGCCGTCGGCGTGTGCTCGTCCGTCGAGGTCTTCGCGGGCGACACGGAAGCCGCGGCGGACGGCCACCTCGCTCCGCCGCACCTCCGCCATCTCCTCGCTTCGGCGCAACTTTCCGCTCCGCCAACCCCAACCGGCCGCGCAGAGGCGACGAAGGGTGCGCCGTGCAAAGATTCGACGCGCAGCCCACGGCCTCCGCAGGCGACGCGGAACAATTACGCGGTGCGAACCAGTGTGAGCCGAGGCGAAATCCTCGATCCACCTCAATCTCCTTCGACTTCAAAAAGCGGGGAACTTTCTTGCGTATCCCCCAACTCGGTCGCCCGCAAGGCATGTGTTACTGTGTCGTGTACCCGCTCGTACGAGTGTGACTATACCGAGAGGCAGACGAGCCCTTCTAAGGGAAACCGTCTCATGCGCTCCCTCTCCTCTCTTCTCTCGTCTCTTAATCCCAAGTCTAAGGTCCGCTCTCCACCAGAACCACCCCAGGACTTCGCTGAACAGCTCGGTCCGGCGTTACCTGGTAACCAGCCCGCTTCGTCGCCTAGTCCCTCGCCTAACGCCGCCAAGTCGTCGAGAAGTCCACGGACCCCGAAATCGGTTCCCCCAAAGAGCCCTACTGCGGCGTGTGGCCGCCACGCGCCAGACCCTGCACCGCTCTCTGCCACGTCACGCGGGCGGTCCGCCGCTGCCTGCTCGCCTGCTCCTACTACATACGGCCCAATCCCGAAGAGCTACACGAGCCCTGCGATAGTGTTCAAGAACAAAGCAGGCCTTCCTAAGAGCCCCTCCGCAATCGGCGCCGCCGGAAGCGGAGGACTCCGTTCGAAAAGCTCCAGCGGAAATGGCGGAACCAATGGGAACCGAGTATGCAGCGATCGGTCGCCTGTGCGCGTCGGCGTGAGCGTCAGCGCCGGTCGTCACAACACGTCAATGGCGCCGGCTGCTGCGGCGGCAGTTGGGCGAGTTGACGCTGGTGGCGGGTGCGGCGGCGGGAGCGGAGGCGGCGGTGGCGGGGGATCGAGACCCAGCAGTAGCTGCAGCCAGGGTGGTAGAACCGCGGGTGTAATTAAGTCGCCTCGAAATAACGGAAGAACCAGGGCGAGTACGCCGCCGCAGCTGGGAGCGTCGAAGAGCTTTGGCGGAGTTGGTAACACTGGCGGAATGGTTTCGCCGGTCGCGCAGACTGCGGCTTGCGGGCGAAGAGGCAATTTGTCCTCACCCCGGCCGAGTGTAGCAAACGGCGGCGTGGTTTGCGTTAGTGTGAACGACGACCGGCTTGTAACGCGTACAAGCAATAAGAGTAAAGGGGTAAGGCGCAGCGCTAGTTCAAATAACAGGGTCGGTTCGCGGAACACTGTAGCTGCTCTGGCTGTGTCGGCAGCTGGCGGAACTGGCGGAACGGAGGGGAAAGGCAAGGCGGGGGGGAGGCTTCTCCGCACATCTGCTTCCGCAGGTCATGCGGAAACAGATTTTCAAGTGAAACGTTCCGCCAATGCAACAGCATCCCCAACGGCAAAGCTTCTGGTTGCGGATCTAACAAAAAAATCACCACCAGGTTTGGGCCGTGCCAACGTATTCACTGGTTCGGGCAACGACCTAAACCGAGATTTGAAACACGTGGTTCGGCAGAGGCGCGGGCTGCATCCGCTATTGGTCGAAATTCCAGATTGCGCGGGGGAGAAAGAAATAAGGGTTGCGCAGACCTGCAGGGCAAGGCTGGGAGGGCTTTCGGTTGTGCGGGAGAAAGGCGAAGGGGAAGAGGGGGAAGCGGCGGAAGCGGGGGCGCATGGGGAGCGTGGCTGCAGGTTGCGCGGTGGGATTTCTCCCACGGGGGATTTCGGTCCGCTTACCCCTGGAAGGCTGATGATGCTCGAGAAATTCGGGTTGATTGCGGGGGGGTTCGGGGAGAGACAGGCGGAGCGGAAAGCGGAAAGAACACCGGAGAGGGAAGCGGGAAATAGGTTGAAGAGGGAGGGCGAGAGGAGCGGGGGGAACGGGGCTAGGAAGTCAGAAGCGCGGAGAAAGGGTGCGCCTGGCGAAGAAAGTTGGGCGAACGAGAGAAAAGGGGAAGGGAGGCGTGGCAGGGTGAGAGACGAGTCAGATTTTGTCAAATATACAAAATCAGGAGAGCAGGGGAGAAGGGAAAATGGAGAGCAAAGGGAGTGTGAATGGAAGGGCAGGGAGTATAGGGAGTACCGTGGAGACAGGCAGAGGGGGAATGGTGAGAGGAGGAGGAGCGGAGAGTGGGAGGGAGGGGAGGACAGGAGAGGAGGGGTGTGGGATAAGGAGAGGAGGGAATTCTCTGATGATGAGAGTTTAGGGGAAAGATATGGGAGGAGGCATGAGTATTCAAATGATAAGGGTTATGAGCATTCTGGTAGGGAGGAGTTTTCCAGCAGGAGTGGAAACTTGAGGAGGAGAGAGGGGAATAACAACAATGCAAAGGATAGGGAGGCAAGGTATGAGAGGCATGGGAGGAGGGAGTATTACCGGGACCGAGAGACCGTGCGAGAAGGTGACAGAGATGGCCGGTGGAGACAGAGTGGAGGGAGGGAGTGTGAGTATGAAGGACAAGGGAGGGGTTTGTTTCGCAATGCGAGTGATACAGGGAGGAGGGGTGAGGGCAGGAAGATTTGGCAGCATGACAAGTGGAGTGGAGAGGATGATATGGTTGACAGAAATGATGAGTACGATCATGATGCATACCGGAGCTGCAGTACAGGTTGTAGGTATTTGGCGCACAGAGATTCACGTGGTAGGAGGTCTGGCTATAACGAGTCTTCTGATGGTGAGAACAGTGGGGAGGAGAGAAGGAAGAGGGGGAGCAGGGGTGAAGCAGCAGGAGGAGAGAAGGACAGAGAATGGAGTGCGAATGGGAGTGAGAGTGACTTTGAGTCGGGGCATGGGGAGGAGTGGAGAGAGAAGTATCGTAACAGCAGGAGAGGCATAGAGAATGATGATGATGGCTCTCACGGATTTGATGAGTCAGAAGGGTTAGACGTGGCAGACGAGGCTTTCAAGGCTCACAAGGCAGACCATGCAGTGGAGGGAGAAGAGACAGACCATGCAGTGGAGGGAGAAGAGACAGACGAGACGGATGAGGCTGAAGGGGCTGAAGAGGCAGACGAGGCAAAGGATCTTATTGCATATTGTGAACATCCGGGGGAGGTTGAGGAGTTGGGGGAGAGGGAGGGGGGAAGTGAAGATGGAGAACGGGAGTGGAAGAGCATAGTTGGTGGTGAAGACAGCTCCAGCACAAGACAAGGATGGGAGGCACAACGGAGGGTTGCATTGACCAATGCGTAAAGAAATGTTTTATTCTCCATTTCGCTGATGGTACAGCCTCATGTGCTAGTAGGTTTTGTATACTTTCAGACAACATGGTTAATGCTACATAAGCTGTACAAATGAGGCACTAGAAAAAGATTTTGAGGTACATGTCAATATACTCTGATAATGGTCCGAAACGAGATGATGTTCTTAGCGAGCGTGATAGTGCGGTGCGGTGGGTTTGGGTTTGGTCGCCTTACCTTGGGAATGTCGTTCTCCCAAACCCACACCACCTGCTACCACCAGCCTTCTTTCTTGGGTGGGTGGCTTTGTGCCGGAGACTCGAGTGCTTCACCTTATGGCTTTCTCCGCGTAGTCCTGATCACTTCATTAGTTTTGTACCTGGGATTTTGGGCTGTCCACACGTCGCATACGTCGTACTCGTCGCACGGCGTCGCACAGCGTCACACGGTGTCGCGATGAGGGAGGTCTGTGATGGTGTGTTCATCGGCAACCTCGCCGATGCCACGTCCGCACGAATGCTGGAACGAGCGCATATCACGCGCCTTCTCTCTCTCTGCCCAATGGCTCGCTCGTCTTTCGCTACTGTCACTCCTCCTCCTTCCGATCCGGAATCTACCGCGAATTCCGCTGAAATCCCCGCTGACACAAGCGCAACCGCTGGTGGGGTAGAATGTGACAGTGTGACACGTGGCTGTGACGAGCGCGGCCGGCAACGGCTGACCGTAGATCTTCTGGACATGGACGACGCAGATCTGCTGGCGGTGCTGCCGAGCTGCCTGGCGTTCGTCGAGGAGAGCGTGAGATGCGGGGAGAAGGTGCTCGTGCACTGCCACGCTGGCGTGTCGCGAAGGTACGTGGCGCACGTGCCACGTGGCGCTTCACCATGGATGGCAAACTAGGCTCAGTATCTGCCGCTCCCTGATAATCCCTCGCCTACCTTCCCGTCCTCCCCGCTCTTTTCGCCCTCCGCACCCTTTCGCCAATGTCCCCACCTCCTTCCCCATTTCCGCCAACATCCTTCCCGCATCCCCTTCATAACCTTCCCCCGTTCCGCTCCCCTTTCCGCCCCTCCCCCTCTTCCTCCTTCCCCCTCCCCACTTCCTCCCTCGTTCAGCGCAGCAGTGGTGACCTCGTATCTCATGAAACGGCACAGATCAACTGCTGAGGGTAAGCTTAAACCCACACCGTTGATTCATGTGTACGTACCTCGATAAGGCGTAGTTGATAGATCATAGTCGTGGATACATGAGAGATTTTGTTTTCAACGTAAGTTCTCACCCATTACCCGTCCCACCCACCCATCCATCACACCCATCCCATCACACCCATCCCATCACACCCATCCCATCACACCTCCTCTCAGATGCTCTCCGTCTGCTGCAGTCGAAGCACCCGTTCGCATGCCCGTTGTATGCACTCATCTCATCCACCCATCCCACCCTCCCATCTCGTCACGCCACTTGTCAGATGCTCTCCGTATGTTACAGTCTAGGCACCCCCTCGCATGCCCCAACAACGGTTTTTCCCTCCATTTAATCCTTCCACCCTCCTGTCCCTCTCATGCCACCATTCCCATTCCACCCATCCCACCCACCCTTCCTCTCAGATGCCCTCCGTCTGTTGCAGTCTAAGCACCCCCTTGCATGCCCCAACAACGGCTTTATGCATCAGGTAAATCGATCTTTTAGACGCCTCTAGCAGGGAATGAGTGGCAGGGAATGAGTGGCAGGGAATGAATTGCAAGTGATGAGAGAGAGAGAGGCAGGAAATTATCGGCATATAATGGGCGGCGGATATTGAGTGACAGAAAATGAGAAACAGATAATGAGCGTGGGTCGTATCACCGGCTCATGCACCAGGGCTGTGCGCCTGGGCGTGTGGTGTGGGTGCAGTGGCAGGTGGTCAGCAGCAGCGTCATGGCATGCACTGCCAGCGCCCACCACTCCATTTCCTCAATTCCCTCTCATTTACTTCCTTCCACTTCCTCCCTTCCTACCCCAGCTTCGAATCTTCCACAGCATGGGGTGGGTTGTCGACCCCCACCACTCCGACTATTCGCGCTTCAAGCTGCGCCTCATGGCTCGCCGCATCACTACCACTCTCTCCCCCGCCCCCCAACACTTTTTCCCGATCAGCTTCGTATTTTCCACGGCATGAAGTGGACGGTTGACCCCCACCACTCTGACTATTCCCGCTTCAAGCTGCGCCTCATGGCTCGCCGTATCACCGGCTCACTGCACCAGGGCGTGCCGTTTGAGGCTGGTAACGGAGCTGCTAGTAACGGGGCTGCTAGTAACGGGGATGTTAGTAGCGGGGATGCTCAGTTACGGGCTGGAGTGGGGCAAGAGGGGGAGGTAGGAACAGCAGGAGCAGCAGCAGCAGGGGGCGCAGCAGCAGCAGGGGGAGAAGGAGGAGCAGGGGCAGAAGGAGGAGCAAGAGTAGCAGGAGGAGCGGGAGCAGCAGGGGCAGCAGGGGCAGCAGGGGCATCAAGGGAAGCAGCGGGGGTTCCAGAGGTGTATCGCTGCCGAAAGTGCCGGCAGGTGGTGGCAGCAGCAGCCAATGTGCTCCCTCATGCCCCCAAACCACCTGCCAGCACCACTGACGCTGCAAGTGCTGCTGCTGCTGCTGCTGCTGCTGGTGGTGCTGCTGACGGTGCTGCTGCTGCTGGGACTGGTGGGGGAGGGGGAGGAGGGGTTAGGTTTCGTGGGAAGGGCAAGGATTGGGGGAGTGGTGCGGAGAGGGGATGCACGTCTGTGTTTGTGGAGCCACTCAAATGGATGGGCGACGGTGAGCATGGGTGGGAAGCGGTGAAGGTGAACGAGATTGATGCACCAAGTTTGGCTCTTCCCCCTTCCTTTCACCCTTTTCAACCTTTGTTTTCCACTCGGTTTTGGCTGCTGTAAGTGGTCGGGAGACTGATACATTGTCAATCCATTGCTTCCCCTCTTACCACGCAGTGCAAAGCGGGCAGATAGAGGGAAAGCTGTCATGCGCCCAGTGCTCTACTCGCCTCGGCTATTTCAACTGGTCGGGCGCTCAGTGTAGCTGTGGCGAGTGGGTCACTCCAGCCTTCCAGCTGCATAAGAAATGTGTGGATGAAGCGTGGCAATAAGGTTAATGCAATTGGGGTGTTACTCTGCCTGACAAAGAATAAGGTCTGTTGTTATACTCCTAGAACCCTATTTATTCCCTTTTCAAAGGTCTAAAAGGAACAAAGATGTGTCCTAGTGCTAATCTGAGTCGCTTTTGAGAGTTCTCAGAAGCGTTGATAAGAAACTAGGATGCTCCCAACTGGTGATTATTGTACTACACGTGCGGTCCAACCAGTACAAAGCTTCGCAACTGTTGTGTTGGTTCTCAGTCACATCAAATGATCGGTAGTATCAGTCAATCTGAGTACCACCGGTATCGTATTATACTCTGCTAAACGTAGTTAGCACTACATTACACCTTGCGAGCCAGGGTGCGTTGCTTGGTGGCCTTCTCAACAACCTTCTCTTCTACGGGTAACCCTTTCCTCCTCCTCACCCCGTCCACCAGCCTACGAGCCACGTTCACCCCCAGGCCCATGCCCAAGTCGCCATACTCCTCCCTCTCCTCTACTGCATGCTGACACAGCTGCCACACCTTGCAAGCCATTCTCTCAACTTTCTCAAGAATCTCTACACTACACCTTTCTTGCCAGGGTGCGTTGCTTGGTGGCCTTCTCAACAACCTTCTCTTCCACAGGCAGCCCTTTCCTCCTCCGCACCCCGTCCACTAGCATCCTCCCTACACAGCCTCTTCTACCCCATAGCACTACACTACACCTTGCGAGCCAGGGTACGTTGCTTGGTGGCCTTCTCAACGACCTTCTCCTCTACAGGGAGCCCTTTCCTCCTCCTCACCCCATCCACCAGCCTACGAGCCACGTTCACCCCCAGCCCCACCCCCGAATCGCCATACTCCTCCCTCTCCTCCTCTGTCCGCGGCACAAAGAACGGATCATCGGGGACCATTGACCAATGACTCATCGCCAGCTGTTCCGGGGGGAGAGTGAGGAGTTAGCAGATAGGAGGGGGGGGGGGGACAAAAGAGGAACGGGAGCGGGAGGGTGAGACAGGGGGGAAATAGGGGGGTTGTAAGCACAAAAAGGGGGTCGAGAAGGAAGGGAACAATATGAGTCTCCAATTAGTCGTGTTTTGAGTCGACTCAAAACAGGACGGGAACAATATGAGTCTCCAATTCCGTCCAGAACCAAAGGCCCTCCCACGAGTCGCCATACCCCTCCCTCTCCTCCTCTGTCCGCGGCACAAAGAACGGATCATCCGAGACCATTGACCAATGACTCATCGCCAGCTGTACCGGGGGAGGGGGAGGGGGAGGGGGAGGGGGAGGGGGAGGGGGAGGGGGAGGGGGAGGGGGAGGGGGAGGGGGAAGGGGAGGGGGGGGGTGGCGGTGGGAGTGGGGAGGAGTGGAGGAGGGAGAGGAGGGAAGCACGGGGGAGGGCGAAGGCGAGGTGGAGGGGGAGAAAGGCAGGATGTGAGGAAAATGAGACGAGAGTGGAAGGTGTGAGACCCAATGGTGCATACTCAAGTCCCCATACATACTCCTTCCTCTCCTCCTCTGTCCGCGGCACCAAGAAGGAATAGTCTGGGACCATCAACCATCGCCAGCTGTGTTTTGAGTCGACTTTGAGTCGACTGTCGACTTTGAGTCGGCTTTGAGTCGACTCAAAACACGACTCTATCCGTGGCGTGGCACAAAGAAGGAATAGTCTGGTCTGGGACCATCGACCATCGCCAGCTGTACGGGCACGGGAAGGGAGGGGTGAGGAAGGAAAGGGAGGGTGTGAGGGAAAAAGTGGAGGGTGTGTGGGCAAAGGTGGAAGTGAGGAGGAAGGGAGGGTGTGAGGGCAAAGGTGGAAGTGAGGAGGGAGAAAAGGTGCGAGAGCAAAGGTGGATGGGAGGGCAAACACGAGCAGCCATAAAATCCCTTGTTCATCTCCTCGCGAAACACATCGTTGAGGCGCCTCAGAAATCGTCTCAGATAATTATTTTTACAGCGCCTCAAGTGTTGGCTTGGATCCCTTGTTCATCTCCTCAGGCACCACATCTGCTTGCTGCCGACTTTTGAGAATTCTCAAAAGTCGCACCGAGAATTCTCAAAAGTCGCACCAAGTGTTGGCTTGGATCCCTTTTTCATCTCCTCAGGCTCCACATCTGCTTGCTGCCGCCGCAGCACAGCACAGCACAGAGGATTCCCAGAAGAGGGAAGCGTGGGGAAGGGGGAAGGGGGAATGAAGGAAGGAAGGTAGGAGGAAGGGGAATGGGGAAGGGGGAAAAGGGAAGGCGGAAGGAGGAAAGGGGAAGGAAGTAGGGGGGAGACCACAAAGGGGGCTTACCTGGGGGCTGGCAGCACCGGACGTCCTCCCTCTCAACTCCTCCGCAAATCCAAACGACTCAGCCATGGGCAGGTGCGCATGCACAGTGAACATGCCCGAGCCTTCATTCATCTCCTCCCTCACCACTGCTGCTCTCCTCCTCCCCAGCACTGCGTACACGGCGCCCAAAAGGAGGAAGGGGGACCGGGGAAGGGGGGAAGCGGGAACTGGGAAGGGAGAAAGGGGGGACTGCGGCTTACCTGGGGGCTGGCAGCACCGGACGTCCTTCCTCTCAACTCCTCTGCAAACCCGAAAGACTCGGCCATGGGCAAGTGCGCATGCACGGTGAACATGCCCGAGCCTTCATTCATCTCCTCCCTCACCACGGCTGCTCTCCTCCTCCCCAGCACTGCATACACAGCCCCTAGTGCCTCAGTGGTGGTCGTGACCTCGCACAGAAACATGGCTTCCACCAGGCGAGGGGAGTTGGCTGCTACTGCTGCTCTGCACGCGTCTTTCACTGCGCTCATCACTTGTCCCGATATAGGCACACTTGAGGCAGGAGCAGTGGGTGTTGGAGCTGAAGCTGCAGGGACAGGTGTCGCGTTTTCATTGGCCTGCTGCTCGCTGCTGCCACTAGTGGTAGTGGAAGTGGTAGTCGTGGTGGTGCTGCTGGTGCTGGTGCTACTAGTGAAGGCTCCTCCTGCCCGACCGGCACCCTTTACAATCACAACCTCTACAGTGAACGCCAGCCCCCACAGGGGCTCCTCGCACAGAGGGCCTGCTGACGTGGCGAGCTGGAAGCCACTCACCACCGACCCCGCCAATCCCTCCGCTTCGTGCCGCAGTGCCACGTCATCATGCTCCTCTTGAGACGTCTCAACAGCCGCTTCATTCCGCAGCACGACTTCATGCTCTGGAGCACTGGAGTCACCAAAGGACGCGCCACCAACACTGGCATCACCCTCCCTCTCCTCGCGCTCCTTCTCCCCCTCCCTCACCTCCTGCTCTACCCGCGGCGCCTCCTCCTCTGCTGCACCCCCTAAAGCGACTGCACCAGTTGACCCTCCCACCTCTTTCCCCGTTTCTTCTGCATAACCCTGCGCTGCACCTGCGCTTGCCAGGCCCAGCTTCCAGGAAGCTTCTGGCAGCCCTGGAACGACCACACCGCCAGGTGGCAAACTACCAGAAACCCCTGACCTAGAATGATCCGAACCACTCCCACTAGGATTCACGGAAACCTCCAACTTAGATTTATCAGCACTGCCCCCACTAAACGTCACAGGCATAGGAGCCAGCAGCAGGTTTGGGCCGACGTGTCTCGGCCCTAGTGACCAGATTCTCTCTAGTTTGCTCCTCCATGCCGCCCGGAAATCCGCCACTGCCGCCCGCCTCGCCTCCGCTCCCATTGGCTGGTTCGCTGCAGAAGAAGACGACGCAGCAGCGGCGGAAGCAGAGGCGGCAGATGAGCCTCCCCCAGATGCGTCCAAGCCCTCGTCTATGTCTGCCTCGTCTATAGCTTCTAGGAGACGTTGCCTCAGGGATGCGAGAGTGGCTGAATGTCTTGACTGCTGCATTGACTGCATTGACTGGGTTGAATTCTCTGTTATTGCTGACGTTTCTCCTTCTACTTCCCCTCCTCCTCCTCCCCTTCCTCCTCCCTCTCCTCCTCCTCCTCCTCCTCCTACTCCTCCTCTCCCTCCCCCCTTGCCTCCGCCCCCCACCCCCCCGCCCTCCTCCACAAGAGCATCCCTCAGAGTCTCCCCTTCTCTCTCTAAAACCGCTGCCAGCTTTCCAGGAAGCTTCTCAACGAGCACCCGCACCCGGCACCGCCCGTTTGCCGCCCAGAGCTCCGTCCAGAAAGCACCTCCCCCGGGTAACCCTGCCCCTGCTGCCGCCCCTCCCCTTCCCGCTCCTGCTGATGAGGGATGAGCAGGGTTACTAACTGAACCAGCACCGCCGCCGCCACCGCTGCTGTTACCAGCACCGCCAGCAGCAGCAGAACCCGTGCTAGTGGTGGTAACCGCAAGGGCGTAACCGAGGCCAAACCCTAGTGGTATGGCTGCTCCAGAAGCAGCAGAGGCAGTAGAAAAGGCTGAATTCGCTGCTAGCGCTGCTAGTGGTGATAACGAAGCTGCTGATAAGGGGGATGCGGTGCTCCCACCGTGGCTCATCCCATCAACCCCAGCACCACCAGCACCGCCGGCACCAAGCACTGAAGTGAGGCTAGGCGGGGGTCCCGGGGTGGTGGTAACGGTAAGCACTGTAGTAGGAAACACAAACGCACTCTCACACCCAGAGCCAGTCGCATATCCCGTGGGGGCAATGGTTTCTCGGAACGAAACGATGGGCTTGGACACAACCAGCTTGATGCGAGCGAAGCGCTCCTGCAGGTCCTTGATGCATCGCTCTAGGTGCACCTCGCCCGCCGCCCCCACCACGTGCTCCCCTGAGCGAGCCAGGACGACCTCTACGAAGGGGTCTGCACGGTTGAGAAGGCGCAGACCGCGGGTGAGTAGATGGAGGTGCCGGGGGTCCTCTGGCTCGATTGCCACTCGGACTATAGGAGCAGCCTGCGGGGAAGGGGGGGGAGCGGAGTGTGATTGTTGAGATGAGATGAGTGAAGAGCGCTCTTTCAGGTCCTCATTTGGAAGACCATGGAAGGATGCATATGGAAGTGGTGTGTCGAAGCCACTGTAGCACTTGATTGCCGCACAGCTGTGCTCTCTCTCTCTCCAACACTCACCCACTTCCCCAACACTCCCTCACACTGCCTCACCTGGAACACCATGGAGGCGAATGAGTCGTGTTTTGAGTCGACTCAAAACACGACCCAACACTCCCTCACACTGTCTCACACTGCCTCACACTGCCTCACCTGGAAGACCATTGAGGCAAATGGCTGGCAGTAAGGAGTCGAAGACACTGTAGCACTCTTGAGAATGCACGCCTCCAATCCCTTGATCGCCACACAGCTACCAGCTGGCACGCTGCTGATTGGCTGCAGCCCCTGCCCCATCATCATGAACAGTGCGCCCACTTGCGCCTCTTGTTTGTGCCGCGCCCATGTCGCCGGGCGGCACGGGTCGTACAGAGGGGAGAGGACAAAGACGCGCTGCCCCACCCGCAGCCGCCCGCAGAAAACGCGGGCAAACGCAAAGAAGAAGTCTCGATCGCGCACCGACCCTCCTGAATCGTCCACTGCACTTAAATCCCCTCCCGTCCCGGCTCCTCCTGCTCCTCCCCCTCCTCCTCCTCCCCCTCCCCCTGCTGCTGCTGCTTCCTCTTCTGCCCGCTGCTCCTCCCTAGGCAGCATTTCAAAAGGCACGGCAAACATCTTAGATACAAACACCACACACGGGGCCTCTTCACTCGAATCACACGTCTCCACCGCCCTATCAACCGCCGCCACCTGTCGCAACACCCACTCCTCCCCTCCTTCCCCTTCCGCCTCTCCCGCTTCCCCAGACCTGTCTGCCGAACCGGCCGGTACAGCAGGCCGGTTCGGCAGGTAGCACCCGAGCCTGTCTTTCTGGGCGGCGACAGGGTCGGGAAGGCAGTCTACCACCATGGAGAGAATGCAGGGCGCGAGAGGCAGCCACCTGGCGATCACTGATTGGGCGACGGTGCGGGAGTCCTTGTGATGGAGATCTTTGGGCGGAACGGACAGGCCTAGCGAAGATACGATCTTCTCGAGAATCGGATTAGATTTACTGGCACTGCTGCCGTCCTCTGCATTGCTACTACCACTGCCGCTGTTGCTGTTACCACTGTTACCAGTAGTACCACTGTTGCTTCCCTGGGCGGCAGCTTCGTAGATCTGCCACACGGGCTCCAGCACAAACTGAACAAACATCGGCCGCAGCCGGGCGGCAGCAGACGAAGATGCGCCGCCCACTGCTGCATGCGCTGCTTTCTTTCTCAAAATCTTCTTCGTCTTGGGGATATAGTACCTGAGTAGGAAAGGCGGAGGCACGACAAATGAGGTCGGGAAACGGAATGGTGAGAGAGGGCGCTGATTCCGGAATGGTGAGCAGCACCATGTGAGAGAGGGCGTGTACTGTACAGGCAATCAGTTGGTGTTTGAGTCGACTCAAAAGTCAACTCAAGAGTCGACTCAAAAGTCAACTCAAGAGTCGACTCAAAAGTCAACTCAAGAGTCGACTCAAAAGTCAACAAATGAGGTCGGGAAACGGAATGGTGAGAGAGGGCGTGTACTGTACAGGCAATCAGTTGGTGCCGCTTGAATGCAAAGTGAAGCAAGCAACCAGCATCATCAACATTCGAATGCGATAGTAGTCACTGGGCAGCGTATCAACTGCTCTCCAAGGCCTTACCAGTTCCCGAAAGATACACCTGCACAAAGGAACGCTAGAACCGCGTGTAGTGAGGTGCATTTTGAGGCGCCTCAAAATGCACCCAAGGCCTTACCAGTTCCCAAAAAATGCACCTGCGCAAAGGCACGCTAGAAGCCCCCATATTTTTCAAATACATAAGTAACTCACCAGTCGCCCCACAGAGCCTTCATTAGGGCATTCTCAGACGCGCCCAGCTTCCTCGCGTACATGGCTGCAAAGTCATTCACTCTTAAAGCCCACCCATCCACCGCACTTGCCAACGCCACATTCCCCTTATCCGGGGAAAACACGTCCTCCTCATCCTCCTCCTCCTCCTCCCCCTCCCCTGCCCCTCCCCCTTCCCCCTCGCCTGCTCCACCTTCCCCGTCGGCGCCGCCAGCTGGATGGCCTGCTGACGTGGCGCCAGCTGGCAGGGAGAGGGAGTCCACGTGGGACATGTATTTCTCGGAGCGGAACGCGTGGATGATGTTGTTGACCTCTGTGATGATGCCCTGATGGGGGAGTTAGGGGTAGAGGGCGAAGGGGGGGAAGGGAAGGGGGATGGTTGATGATGATGGGGTAGACAGGATGTTAGTGCGTGCATGATGATGTTGCTGACCTCCGTGATTATGCCCTGTCGTGGGGGGAGTGCAGGAGGGAGGGCGAGAGGGGGGTGGGGGGGGGAGAAGGGGAGTGTGGGGAGAAAGGGAGAAGAGTAGAGATGCTAACGCGTGCATGATATGTTGCTGCCCTCCGTGATTATGCCACAGTGGGGGGGTCGGGGGGAGGGCAAAGGGGGAGAGGCACAGAGGTGGGGGGGGAGGGGGGCAGGTGTGGGAGCATATGTGAGAGGAACGGGGTTGGGTGGAGAGTGATGGGGGGAGGGTGGTTTTGAAATGGGGAAGAGGTGTAGAGCAGAGAGAGAGTGGATTAAAAATGACAGTGAGGGAGTTGGGAGACGATTCTTAATTCCTATGAAGGGATCATTTCATCTCATTGATATTCTTATACCTCGGTAAAAATGCATTGACGTCGCTCAACTTTTTATTCGAAGGGGTCACGTCATAAGGCTGAAAACTTCGTGGTTCAGGTCAAGGCTCAAGGTTTCGGGTTAAAGGTTTTAAAAAACATGGGGTGCTGGAAGGAGTGTTTTTTTAGAATTCTCAAAAAACACTCAAAAACATGGGGTGCTGGAAGGATCAGGGGGCTTGGCGGTCGCAACTGTGAATCGACGAAGGAGAACAGAGGCAATACACGTCACCGCAAGGGCTTTAATAACTCTTGCCAATTCAGGTGAAGAAACAGATATCACACTGCTTGTGTGCGTCTAACCCACCTTGAGCCGTTCGTACGCCTCGGCAGGAGTGAGCATGAGCTCCGTTATAAGCCTGTCCATCTTGTTTATAACGAGTACAGGCTGCAGGCGCTCCAGGCAGGCCTGTCTTAGCACGGCGTGTGTCTGAATGTGCACGCCCTCGACTGCATCCACCAACACCACTGCTCCATCCGACACACGTGCTGCTGTTGACACCTCACTGTGGGGAAGGTGTGGGAGATGGGAGATGAGAGATGAGAGGGAGAAAGTGAGAGCAGGGGGTGTGTCTGTATGTGCACGCCCTCGACTGCATCCACCAGCACCAGTGCTCCATCCGACACACGCGGTGCTGTTGACACCTCACTGTGCTTGCCAAGGGCAGCAGAACGTGGGGAGGGGATGGGAGATGGGAGGGAGAGAGTGAAAGCAAATCGTGTGTCTCACAGCGTGAGAGCGAAGTGTGTCTGAATGTGCACCCCCTCCACCGCATCCACCAGCACCACTGCTCCATCCGACACACGCGCTGCTGTTGATACCTCGCTACAGCAAATGTCACGAGAAGAGAAGGAAACCACACGGTGGTATAGGGCTTTAAAACTGTCGTCTACATACCTGGCGGGAGAGGCTCTGGTTTATCACTTGAAAACCAGGTAGCCTTCCGCTTCAGTGGCGAGGTGTGTTTCCGAGTTTGAGACAACACAACCCCCGCCTGTAATTTCCCTGCTCATGATTGGCTAATTAATTTCGCCAATCCCCTCCCCAACCCAACCTCACGAAATTATCGCGAAGTCGCCGAGGGTTGTTTCCCAACCGAACCAAATCACGAAACTGGCGGATTTCGCCAGTTCTGTTTGACTCCCTCGCACCTACTGATGCTGGAAGCATGTCATTCGTAAGCAAATCAGCGTGCGTCGTTGGGTGTGCATCCTAAATAACCCCGGAAAATACCTCGATGAATGTAGACCGCAGCTTTAAGAAATGGGATCTGGGTATATGGGCAAAAATCAGAGCATTTGGCTAATTCGAGGGCATCAAGATGAGAACCCAACGGAACAGGAGACCTGTAGGGAGCATTGCGAGGACGCGGGAACAGAAGAGGAAGGCTAACGTACGACGCAAATGGTACGTTGAAGGGGAAAGGGTTTCGGGTTTACTGTGAACTCCACTTCAGATGTTAATCTTTATAAGCAAGCTCGTTACCTGCAGAAGTCAATGTGTCCAGGGGAGTCAATGAGGTTGATCAGATATTTATCATCCAAACCATCCTGCGCCCCTGCCTTTCCCGCTTCCTCTCCGCCCACCGCCTGCTGCGCCTTTCCTCCCCCGCCAGCCCCTGGTTGCTGCGCCTTCCCCCCCGCCGCCCCACCCAGCGGTGCAGCGTCTCGATTAAACAGCAGCGCAATCGACGAGCTCTTCATAGTAACCCCGCGCCGCTGCTCATCTTCCCGCCAGTCTAAGAACCTAAGCTTTCCGACGAGCCGCGGGTGGATTAGACCGTTGCTGGCGATTAAGTGGTCCGAGAGCGTGGTCTTGCCGTGATCCACGTGTGCAAGGACGCAGATATTACGGATGCGCTTCGGATGGTACTGAAGCGCTGCGAGCTCCTCGGGCGACACCTGGAGCCGCGGATACAGCTGCGACATATTTGAGTTAATAGGCGCTGCAGAATAGGGTATGGGTAAATAGGCTCGGGAAACGGCTGACTAATAACGTGTTTCAGAATAATTGCTCTGTTGTTACGCGCCGAAGAAAGTGGCAGCTGAGCTCTCTGGATTACGAATTCCTCTGAGCAATGGCCGAGCTTGGATACTTTCAGTAGAATGGCTGACCCAATAGGCGTTTCGTCGCAACAGCTACGTGGAACGATACGCGAAAACCGTAGCAGAATCGCAAAATTCAACCAAGATTCGTGACCTATGGCCAGGATATGGATAACTCGCGAGCCGCAACGACGCTAACGTGCCGATTGAAGTGTAAACTTTGGCATGTATGGTATGGTATCGTTATCAAGGGCTAACTACACTAAGCAACGCGATATATGCTGCGCAATCCCTAGGATGACCAGATTTGATGGGACTAATTCCAATGGACAGTTTCTTGCTTCCCTTGGAATTTCTGCAACCTAGATTCCATCAGAAATCGGTTCCCAGGGCAAAGCCCGTCTAGAACCCTGCTCCGATTTCTTCAAGGGCACGCACCCAGAACCCTCGTAACCCTATAAACAATGACTCGATACTACGTACAGCCCGTCCAAGAATGGAAAAAATTGGGCAATAATTTCTAAACCCCGAATATTCCACCACACATCGAAATACTCGCTATAGACAACCTCACCGCACCTTTCTCCAACCGACCAAGCATTGGATCTGGAACTTGGAATTCAGAAAGGAGCATCGTGAAAGTGGTACAAGATCATGGCAGTAGCAGGTGCAGCATTTTAGGTCAAAGACTGCCTCCCAAGTGCCTCGTAGGAGCACGTCTTTGCTTGCTCCAGTGATCGAACCGAGTCGACTTGCCTCTGTGCTCGACGCCAGCTCCGCTAGGAATCTCGGTTATTACGGGCAGCTATGTTCGGTTTCTTTGGGCGGCCGCGTAATGACAACAAGACGCCGCCAAAAAAGAACGCGAACAATCGAGCTGCAGCTGCCACCAAGAAACCGCGAACCGCGGGTGCTGACGTGGCATCGGGCGCAGAAGGCGCGTCGGATGGAAGCGATGTCGGGAGCGTCTTAGGCGAATTAGGTATTGCGGTCGATGATGGAGTCTCCGCGGAGACTATGCGCGCGCAGGCGAAAGATCAGCGCGCCAAATCTTCCGCCATGCGCGAGGCGGGGCTGTACGCGGGCGCGCAGAAGGCGCTGAAAGCCGCGCGCGAGCTGGAGAAGCGCGCCAAGGACAAGGACGATTCCGCCGCAATCGCCGCCGCAACCGCCACTGCATCCGCCGCCGCGCTTGCGGGCGCGTCCAGGGAGGCAGAAGAGATAGCGCGAGAAGCCATGGCTCGCGGAAACGCGCTTGGCGCAGCGGCTGGCGCGCGCGGGGCGGTAGGAAAACGCGTAGCGGAAACGAGATCCCGTGAAGCGGCGCCGGAGGTCCGATCCGTGGATACGGGGAAAGCGGGAGGGGCGGGTAGATCTGGAGCTGCTGGCGCAAGAGCAGGCGGGGAGCGCAAGGGCGCGGCGGCGGAAGGCGTGAAGACGGAGCGGAAGGGGCTAGCGCGGCTGCACGCGGGCGGGGACGACGACGGGGAAATGTTGGCGCAGCTCCGCGAGCTGGGATGGGCGGAACCAGTGGGAGGAACAGGCGGGGGACTTTTAGCGGGGCTTGATGACGCGGACGGCGCGAGAGCGGAGCATGACGAAGTGAGCGCGGCGCGAGAAGCAGCGGAAGCGCAGGTATTGGAGTTAAAGCGCAAGGCGCGGCAACTTAAGGGGCAGGGGCAGGTTCAAGAGGCGCTGGCGGAACTAAGAAAGGCTAAGAAGCTGGAGAAAGAAATAGAAGACGGCTCGTTCTTACTGAATCTGGCGGAAGGCGGCGAGGGGGGGCATGAGGATGAGGAGAAGCGGCTTCTAGCCAGTCTCGGGTTGACAAGTGTCGATGACGTGGCACTAGTGGAGGAGACTGATAAAGGATGGGGGGGATGGGGAGAGGTGGCGGAGGTATGGGCGGAGGAGGCGGAGGCACGGATCTAGACCTGGCGCAAATTATGTCTTTAATCGCTAATATAGGAGACGAGGAGGAAGAGGAGGGAACGGGGATAGATGGTGTTTCTGGTGGGGGTGGAGGGGGGAGGAGGGGAGGGCGAGGAGGTGGTGACTATATGGGAGGTGCTTATGACGATGGGGAGTGTATGGATGAGCTGAAGGCTCTTGGGTGGGAGTCAGATGAGGAAGGGGAGGAGGGCGAGGGAGAGGGGGAAGGAGGGGGAGGGGGAGGGAAGGGAATGGAGGAGGAGGAGGTGGATATAGCAGCGATGCAGGCAGAGGCGTTGGATTGGAAGAGGAAAGCGGTGGGCTTTAAGAGAGAGGGGCGGATGGGAGAGGCGATGGAGGCTTTAAGGCGCGCCAAGGGGCTAGAGGCGAGGATAGAGGCGGCTATCATGCTGGGCGTGGGAGGGGATTCCATGGGCCGTGATTCTTCCATGGGGGGTGCTGCTTCTGCTGCAGCAGCAGCAAGAGCAACAGAAATAGCAGGCGTAGCAGGCCCACCACCACCACCGGCAGCAGTCACAGCAGCAGAACCACCACCGGCAGCAGAGCCGGCAGCATTAGCGGATATGGATGAGCGAATCCGCGCAATCCTCATGAGTGGTGATGATGATGATGTTGATGGGGATGGGGATGAGGAGGAGGATGATCCGGACATGCTAGCTGCTCTCGCTGCTGCTGGGTGGGTGAGAGAAGAGTCGAGCAAAGCAGAGGAGAAAGGAGGGAAAGAGGCGGCAGAGGAGGAAGCAAGCCCTGCCGCCCCGGAGCCAGAAACTGCCGAGGAACTTGAGGCGGCGGCGCGGGAGTGCAAGCTGGCTGCTGTGGAGCTGAAGCGGGAAGGGAGGCTCGGAGAGGCCTTGGATCAGCTGAAACGATCCAAAGAGCTGCAGGCTCGGGCTGACCAGGCTCGGGCTGACCAGGCTCGGGCGGAACAGGCTCGGAATGAAACGTCTGAGGAAGCAAAGGCAGCAGTAGCAGCAGCACCAGCAGCACCAGCAGCAGCACCACCAGCGGTGCCGGCAGCAGCACCACCACCCGCAGCAGCAGCAGCAGTGCCGGTAGCATTGGCAGATATGGATGAGGGAATTCGAGCAATCCTCATGGGTGGTGGTGATGATGATGATGATGGTGATGATGATAATTTTGACGTGGGCGATGGTGATGGGGATGGGGATGAGGAGGAGGATGATCCGGACATGCTTGCTGCTCTCGCTGCTGCCGGGTGGGTGGGGGAAGAGCCGAGCCAAGCAGCGAAGGAAGAGGAGGAGGCGGGAGAGGAGGACGCAGCAGCACAGGCATTACACGAAAGGAAGGAGGAGAAAGAAGGCAGGGGAGATGGAAGAAGAGGAGGAGACAGGGCAGATGGAAAAGGAGAAGGTTTGCAGAGTGAACAGGAGGAAGAGAAGGTGGAGACAAGCCCTGCCGCCCCGGAGCCAGAAACTGCCGAGGAACTTGAGGCGGCGGCGCGGGAGTGCAAGCTGGCTGCTGTGGCCCTGAAGCGGGAAGGGAAGCTCGGAGAGGCCTTGGATCAGCTGAAACGATCCAAAGAGCTGCAGGCTCGGGCAGATCAGGCTCGGGCGGAACAGGCTCGGAATGAAAAGTCTGAGGACAAAAAGACGGAGGAAAGGAAGGCCGGGAACTGTGAGGGGACTGGAGAGGTCATTGGTAGTGGCTGCGGCAGCAGTGGTGGTGGTTTTGCTTCTGCTGTTGCTGCTGATGCTGGTGGCGGCAGTGGTGGTGGTGCTGCTGCTGCTGCTGCTGACACAGGGCAGTTGGGTGCAGGAATCAATAGTGGGAAACACCAGTTTTGTTGGTGCTAATGGTGGTGTGATCAGTGGTGCAGACACAAGTCAATTGGGAGCTGCAGTGATTGCTACTAGCATGGCACCTGCTGTTGCTGCTTTGCTCGCTGCCATGCAACAGCAACAGCAGCAGCAGCAGCAGCAGCAGCAGCAGCAGCAGCAGCAGCAGCAGCAGCAGCAGCAGCAACAGCGGGAAGAACAAGAGGTGTTGATAGAAACATCAAGCAGCGGGGAAGTATCACAGAGTGCAGTTGACACAGGTGATGCAGTTAATGAAGTTCGTGCACCTGATGCGTTCAAGGTCTCTGCAGCAGCAGGATCAATGCTTAGCACAGCAGCAGCAGCAGCTACAGAACCAGCAGGAGAAACAGCTGCGGCAACAGCATCAGCAACCACTGGAACTGCACAAAAAGATGGAGAGGGAAGCAAGGAGGGAGGGGAGAGCAGCAGGGAAGAGATGGAGGCTGAGTTGCAGGCGTGCAGGAGACGGGCGGTGGGTTTCAAGAGGGAGGGTAAGCTGGGGGAGGCGTTATCTGAGCTCAAGAAGGCCAAGGCGCTTGAGAAACAGCTGGCAGAGACAGGTGGTACCAGCAGTGGTAACTCCGGTAACAACAGTGGTAACACTGGCCGTAGCACTTCTGCTGGTGCTGCTGCTGCTGCTGCTTCTTCTGCTCCTCCCGCCACTTCTCCTCCTGCTGCTGCTGTTGCTGCTCCCAAACCCTCGAAACCTGCAGCGCCTCAGAGGCGACCCGCTCCTCCCCCTCCTCCTTCCTTCATGTCCTTTGGTCTAGGGGATGATGATGATGCTGATGATGATATGGGCATATTTGACGATGCTCTCATGGCGAACCTCCGTAGCCTCGGGCTCGCCGGACCTGCCCCGGGCGGCCGCCAAACCAGCCAGCCTGCTTCGGGCAAACCTGTGCCGGCCAAACCTGCTCCGGCCAAACCAGTTGTGGCTTCTGGTTCGGGTGGGAGTGGGGGTGGGAGTGGGAGTGGGAGTGGGAGTGGGGGGGAATCCCTGTCGCTGCAGCAGCAAGTGATGGAGCAGAAGAGGAGGGCGGTTGAGTTGAAGAGAGCTGGAGACACGACAGGGGCCTTGGCTGCTCTTAAGCTCGCCAAACAACTGCAGGCGCAGATGGGTTGAGTGCGGTGCTGGTGGGTCCTAGTGAAAGCTAAGGATCTTGTACATGTGTTGGTTTGTTTGACCTGGACTGGACGCTAGCTAAGGGAAGCATTGGATGGGATGGGATGGGATGGGATGGGATGGGATGCGTGCTTGTTTGGAGCGTCAGAAAACCGTTGGCGCAAGGGTAGTTGGGAATACTGCATGGAAGTTTTGTTAAAGGAAGCACCAAGAGGGAGGAAGAGGGGTTGCAGTGGTTAGTTATGGTACTTCTGCCAGGATGCTGTGTGAAGGGCTCACTGTTTGTTGTGAATCATCATGAATAGTTTATACACTTTAATTGTTATCCATTTTTTCACATGCTAGACGAGGGCCATCCTTTGTCTAATGGAGTTACAGTTGTTTTAGAGGAGAGGCTGTAATTTTGCTGCTTGTCTTCCATTCCATCCTCCACATTCAACATCACATGCGTATGAGAAAAGGGTAATGATCACACAATCCCCTTGCCACGCCCCCCTCTTTCCACGACTCCTGAGTCGACTCAAAAGTCACCTAATGATCACACAATCCTCTTGCCATGCCCCCCTCTTTCCACGATTCTTTTTGCCATGGCCACGGAACTGAGCCAACTCAAAACACACCTCGCTTTGTCAGGCCCCCTCGGGAACCAAGTCTTGTCATGATTGCCTTGCCTTGCCAGGGGCCTTTCTTGCCACGGCCCCCTCTTGTCAGGCGCCAGGAACCGAGTAGACCAAAACACACCTTGGCTTGTCATTGCCTTGTCCGGAACTGAGACCTATTGTAATCGCCTTGTTTTGCTAGGGGCCTGAGATAAGAAGCCGAGACTGAAGGTGGTTTTTGAGTTGACTCGAAAATCGGCCTGCTAGATGAAGCCGAGACGTCAGAATCATCAACGTCATCCGGCTCGTCTCTCCAGGGGCCTGGCACTTTCCGGAACTGACAGACAGACAGAGGGGAGAGGGGAGGGAAGAGACCGGAAGGGGGTGTTGCTAAGAGAGCACGCGAGCTGAAGGCGTGATGTCAGAACTTTCGATTTCCTCCGGCTCGTCTCTCCAGGGGCCTGGCACTTTCCGGAACTGACAGACAGACAGACAGAGGGGAGAGGGGAGGAGGGTCCGGAAGGGGGTATTGCTGAGTGAGCGGGTGAGGCGGACGGCCAAACAGGCAAGAACGTCAGATTGTGTGCACAGTGTCTAATAGAGAAGAAAAGATAGACAGTCTTCAATACCCCCTTTCGTCAGATTGGTCTTGTGACATATTTAGTTTAAGTTTGCAGCCCGCTGAGAATTATGTCTAATAGAGAAGAAAAGATAGACAGTCTGCAATACCCCCTTTCGTCAGATTGTGTGCACACTGACTGGAGAAGAACCACGCACGCTCCCTCTCTTACCTCGATTCGAGGTGACTTTTGAGTCGACTCAAAAGTCACCTTATAGAGAAGAAAAGATAACGACTGGAGAAGAACCAGGCACGCTCTCTCTTACCTCGATCCGCTGGCCGAGAAGCTCTTGCGCTGCAGCCATCCAGCTGCAGAGAATAAGGACATAGGGGATGGAGATGAGGAAGAGAGGGGGCATGTACCAGTTTTTGGCCAGTTTTGGTCAGTGTTGGTCAGTGTTGGTCAGTTTTGGTCAGTGTTGGTCAGTGTTGGTCAGTTTTGGTCAGTGTTGGTCAGTGTTGGTCAGTTTTGGTCAGTGTTGGTCAGTGTTGGTCAGTGTTGGTCAGTGTTGGTCAGTGTTGGTCAGTTTCGAGGCACCTGAAAGCATCTCAAAGCCGCACCACGAGCACGAGACTCCAAGCGGCTCCGCAAGGCTGATTACAGTACAATACAGCCCACCCACCACATGATACTCACTCTGGCATCTCAAGGTGACTTTTGAGTCGACTCAAAAGTCACCAAGCGGCTCCGCAAGGCTGATTACAGCACAATACAGCCCACCCACCACATGATACTCACTCTGGCATATCGGCTTCCTGAGAGGACTCCTGCACACGCCCGCCTTGTTTCAACTCCGAATCAAAAGGCTTTCCTACAGTGCCTCCTCGTTTCGACTCCGAACCCAAAGCTTTTTCTCCACTCGATGACTCCTCATTCAGAGGCTCTAAGAAGCTGATGGCAGTTCCACACACCCCCCACCACACGATACTCACTCTGGAATATCAGCTTCCTGAGATGACTCCTTCTGCACACGAGCGCCTTGTTTTGATTCCGTAGCAAGAGCTCTTTTTCCTCTCGATGACTCCTCATTCAGAGGCTCTAAGAAGCTGATGGCAGTTCCTGACGCCCCTGCCCGACCCGTTCGGCCAATGCGGTGCAAGTACTCCTGCGGGCTGCCCGGTGGGTCGAAATTCACCTGCCCGTGGCGAAAAAAAGATGTTGAGGATGCGAGATAGAGTGCGTTGGGGAAAAGTTAAAGGGGATAGGGGAAAGGGGAAAGGGGAAAGGGGAGCTTGTGAGATGTCTCGAAAAGGGCGGCCTTTTATGAAACGAGTGCAAGACTGGGAACAGTTGAAAAAACGAGAGGAGAGCAAACTGTCAGTCTTTTATCGAGCACTTACTCGAGACAGCTACCGACTGATGGGACTAGAGGGGCCAGCACTGGCTGATGAACGGACTAACTAACCACGATGCTTGAGGCACCATAAAAGCAGCGGGTGGGACAATGGCAGAGAATGACTCACCGATTAAGCTGACGGAGAGTCCAACTCACCACAAAGGGGAGGTTGGGAATGTCAACACCCCGTGCTGCCACGTTTGTGGATACTAGAACCTGATCGGTGGGTGAGGGGAAAAGAGAAGAGAGAGAGGAAAGGATGTGGGTTTCAAAGAGTGTCGTCCGCACCATCCCACGTGCAGTTAACACAACGTGGGATGGGGTTGCAGATAACAGAGGGAAAGAGGGAGCAAATGATGTCAACATCACGTGCTGCCACGCTGGTGGATACTAGGACCTGAATTGGGTGCGTGAGGGGAGAAAGAGGGGAGAGAGAGGAAAGGATGTGTCGTCCGGACCATGGGTTCCCACGTGCAGTTAACACAACGTTGGATGGGGTTGCAGATAACAGAGGGAAAGAGGGAGCAAAGTATGTCAACACCGCGTGCTGCCACGCTGGTGGATACTAGAACCTGATGGGTGGAGTGAGGGTAGAGAGTGGATAGAAAAGGAAGATGAGAGAGATGGAGAGAAAAGGAGTGTACTTAGCAGCTACTGAAACTCTACCGAATCGCTAGCACACAACCATCATTATAGTCTAAGCTCTTTATCGCTATCATATCGCTCTCCAGATTATTCCTTCATGTGCTTCCTAATTGCAGGTAACACCACCATGGGGACGCAGATAACAGAGGGAAAGAGGGAACAACACGTATCAACACCACGTGGTTTCACGTTGGTGGATATGAGACCGAATGGGTGATGGGTGCCTGTCTCTCCCCACACGTCCCGCCACTGACCCCTCCCTTCTTGAAAGCCTCAAGAGCTTGAACACACTCACCCGCCCCATTCCACCTGTACTGATGAAAGTTCGCAAGAACCGAAACTAGTTGCGAACCGAAACTAGTTTACACAAGTTCTGATTCTAAGTTGAAGATTTGTTCAAACTGGCTCTCTAAGAAACGCTCTAGCTTGAAAGCCTCCAGACCCAGAGCTTGCCTCCTCTCTGGCCCTGTCAGGTCAGCACATTGGCTCTCCGTGCCTGCCCGCAACCCCCACCACTCCCCACACACACCTTGCATACCCCCTCACACACCTTGCATACCCCCTCACACACCTGCCACTCACCTGCGCATTTCCCTGCTTGAACGCATCCAGCGAGAGCCTCCTGGCTGGCCCTGTCAGCTCGCCGTGCAGCCGCACTGCTGTGATGCCGCCTTCACTGAGACTGCGGGGAAGAGGGGTAGGGGAAGGTGGGTGGTAATGATGGGGAATGACACTGGCATCAGCTCATGCGTCCAGAGCTTGCCTCCTGGCCGGCCCTGTCAGCTCACCGTGCAGCCGCACTGCTGTGATGCCGCCTTCAGTCAGACTGAGAAGGGGGGGAGGAGTGCGTGGGGTGGTGAATCTTATGAGGGAGAGTGACATTAGTTGGCATCGACTCTGTCAAGTTACCAGCCGCACTGCTGTAAGGCCTCAAGAGAGGGGGGGAAGAGATGGGGGCTGAGGAAGAAGAGTGGGGATGAGATGACCTTTGATGAGCCTGGACAAACACCGTTAGCACAGTGAGGAAGGGAGGGGAAAGAAGAATGAACCTAAAGATTCAAACATATTGACTTCAGAAAACAAGGCGAGAGGCAAGTAAGTGGGTGACTGGGAGGTCAGATGTGGGGGCGAGAGAACGGGTGAGAGATGAGGCGATTTCTCGCCATGCCCATGCCCATGCCCATGCCCATGCCCATGCCCATGCCCATGCCCATGCCCATGCCCATGCCCATGCCCATGCCCATGCCCATGCCCATGCCCATGCCCATTGCCATGCCCATACCCATGCCCATGCCCATGCCCATGCCCATGCCCATGCCCATGCCCATGCTCATACCCATGCCCATGCCCATGCCCATGCCCATGCCCATGCCCATGCCCATGCCCATGCCCATGCCCATGCCCATGCCCATGCCCATGCCCATGCCCATGCCCATGCTCATACCCATGCCCATGCCCATGCCCATGCCCATGCCCATGCCCATGCCCATGCCCATGGCTCATCTCAGCCCCCACCCGTGTTCTCACCCATTATGTGACCTGTGGCACTCACGTTTGGTGCAGCCTCTCTGCTCGATGCACCGTGCGAACAAAGACGAGAGTTTGGTGGTTCTGGTTGATGGTGCAAATAGCAAGAGAAGTGGAGAGGTGGGAGAGTGGGAAACGTAACGAAGGTGAGCACTTGAAAGATCTTAGACATGTAAAAAATGGATGGTGCTCATGAGTTCACTTGCTAAAGCTTTTTCCTAGCACTGCTGCCCTTCCTAACCATGAGTGACGAAAAATGGATGGTGCTCATGAGTTACCCAGGAAGAGACTGAACAGGAAGACAGGCGGAAACACTCTTTAACGCTGAAAGAGCACTGAAAGGGGTGCTTCAATGCTTAGGCACCACCACTAAAGAATTTTGGCAACTTCAGCTTTCTGCGGTTTACGTTCCTACTTCAATTTCTAACCCAACTGCTTAGGTGGGTACCACTGAAAGAATCATATCCTGCGGAGGAGGTAGAGCAGAAGAGTGGTCTTCCTGCGAGGGTGCTTCACCATTAGGTGTTAAGGTTTTTGGTTTAGGGTGTTTCACCGGCTTGGATGCTCTGTGTGGTCTCATCTCACCCTTGGTGGTTCTCGTCTGCGGGATGACTTTTGAGTCGACTCAAAAGATGCTCTGTGTGGTCTCATCTCACCCTTGGTGATTCTCGTCTGCGGAGCGGAGGAGGTAGAGCAGGAGAGCGGTCATCCTTCGAGGGTGCTTCACCGGTTGGTGAGAGCACAGCGATATTTGTAGTTTAAGAATGCTCCAGCTGCTCTCTCACCTTTAGGGATGCTCGCCTGCGGAGGAGGTAGAGCAGGAGGGCAGTTTTCCTGCGAGGGGTCACACGATAGGCCAGCTGCTTCACTGGTGGCACGGGGTGGCAATGGGTGGCAATGGGTGGTAATGGGTGGCAATGGGTGGCAATGGGTGGCAATGGGTGGCAATGGGTGGCAATGGGTGGCAACGGGTGGGTGACACAACATGAATTCGAAGAATTCTCTCAACTATATACGCCACGCCACAGGGAGCATACGCGGGTGACACACAAGGCGGCACCCAATCCACTTCACTGTCGCAATGAGGCACGGATTTTAAGGCTCCTAAAGGCCACCCACTTCCCTGACGCAATGGGGCACGAGGGAAGGAAGGAACTCCCTCCCTAAAAAGATAATGCCCGTGCAGGACTCCAGGGAGAAAAGGGTAGTTACCCAACGTTTTGTCAGATAAAGAGGGTTGAACGATGAGGATGTCCCCTCTGGGAGCACTCTGAGTCGATACAAAATACACCAGGAAATTCAAGGCGAGCAGGGTTATTACCCAAGGGTTTGTCGGACGATGAGGGTTGGACGATGAGCATGTCGCCCCTGGGAGCAAAGCGGCGCAGCAAGAGCTCTGATTCGGGGAGAATGGTGGCAGATACAAGGACGACCTGCGAGGAGTGCAGAGGGGTGGACAGGAGTGCAGACGGGTGCAGAGGGGGTGCAGGGGGTTACAGAGGAGTGCGGAGGAGAGCAGCAGGTCTGATTCGGGGAGAACAGAAGCAGACACGAGGATGACCTGAGAAGAAGGGGCAGGTGAAAAAGAGATTTACCTGCATGTGTGGCCGAATATCCTTTTTCTTGCCCGCCTTGACCCTCTGCGGTCTGGGCAGCAGCGAAAAAACTTTCCTCAGGTCTTCCAGCAGCCCCATCTCGGCCATCTTGTCACACTCCTCCACCACCCAGTGCCGAACCTGCCCGAGAAAATCTTTAGGCAGGCAGCTTGGAACAACAACCTGAGCTTTTCTTTTCCCATCGTCAACCCCAAATTTCAGCTCCAACCCTCCTGCCAGATCCGGTGCTGTCGTTTTACCCACTGCCGATTCCGATTCTGCCCGTTCTTCGGCTTCTATAGATGAACTGGGTGCATCTCCAGATGTAACGGGTTTATCCTCAGATGAAACGGGTCCATCTCCAGATGAGACGGACTCAGGAGGGGTAATTTCAGTTGTAACGCCTTCAGGTGCAACAGCGGTTCTGGTTGGTATCAGCGGTCCTAGAGGAGGATGCTTCTCGGAAGCAGCCTGCAACAGATGTATGGGATCAGGCAGGGGAGGAGCGGAGGAGCGGGGGTGAGGTTGGGAGGGAAGGGAGGCGGTTGCTTTCCGTTTGGATTGATCGGTGTAGGATTTTCACAGGAAAGAAAGAATTACAAGAAAGGAAAAGAAATGAAAAAGAAGGTGCGCAAAGGGACAAATTGGTGAAATCAGCAGCCACTCTCACAACCAGGGCAGCACACCCCACCCTCACCACCCTCACCACCCTCGAGTTTTGGGTCGACTAAAGAAAGGTGCGCAAAAGGACAAACTGGTGACACCAGCAAGCACTCTCTCTCACCCAACGGAACACAGCCCGCCCTCACCTCTTGGATGAGTCTCAACAGCCGGCCAGGCGTGGCGACCAGCACATGGGTTGGAAACGAGTGGCCAGCTCGGACCCACATGCCTGGGAAACCACAGCCCGTACCAGCCACTCTCACCCCATGCAACACACACCACCCTCACCTCTTGGAAGAGCCTCAACAGCCGGCCAGGCGTTGCAACCAGCACATGAGGAGCACGAGCAGCAAATCACTCAACCGAGAATGCCCCATCACCAACCGCACTCAACCAATGCAAAAGCCCATCCTCACCACTCTCACCTCTTGGAAGAGCCTCAGCAGGCGGCCAGGTGTTGCAACCAGCACGTGGGGTGGGCGGCGGTGCAGAGAGCGCACCTGAGGGGCTATGGGGGTTGGGGGGGAGACATGAGGAGCACGAGGGGCAGGAGGGGAATGAGGGAGGGGCAAGAAGCTTGGCGATAAGCGCACAGGGCGAGCGACCCGAGACGAGCAAATCAAGAGAGAGAAAGAAAGTAGGATCGCAAAAAGGATCAACACTTGCCTGAGAGACAGCTTGCTGTGATGCAGCAGCCGTCACCACATCAACCGTCAGCTTTGGAACAAAGCGTGTGAACCAACCCCATGCACACACTCATTCAGTGACCGTTAGGGCCAATGCACTACTTGCCTGAGACGCAGCTTGCTGTGACGCAGCAGCCGTCACGACATCAACCGTCAGCTCCGGGACGAAGCGAGTGAATCGCCGAACCTCCTCCACCACCTGATTGGCCAGCTCCAACGTGGGCGTCAGAACAAGACAAACCGGGCCAATAGCAGCAACGTCAGCGGTGGCGGCAGCGGCACCGCTGCCAGCTGGCGCGCTGCGATTGGCTGCTGCTGGGCGTTTCCCTTCTTGCGGGGGGCGTTTGTGGAGTTGGCGTAAACGAGAGGAGGGGATGTGGGGGGGAGAGAAGAGGGAGGAGGAGAGGGAGGGGAGGTGGAGCAGATGGAGGATGGGGAGGAGGTAGGCGAGGGTCTTGCCTGTTCCTGAAGGAGACGAGAGGAAGAGCTGCGAAGGAGGGAGAGAAACAGGGGAGGATAACAGGTAATGGGAAAGGGGGACGTGCAAGGACAAAGGGGAGGTGGAGGACGGGGAGGAGATAGGCAAGGGTCTTGCCTGTACCTGAAGGGGAGGATACGGAGAGCTGGGAGGGAGGTAGGGAGGGAGGGAGGGAGGGAGGGAGGGAGGGAGGGAGGGAGGGAGGGAGGGAGGGAGGGAGGGAGGGAGGGAGGGAGGTAGGGAGGGAGGGAGGGAGGGAGGTAGGGAGGGAGGGAGGGAGGGAGGGAGGGAGGGAGGGAGGGAGGGAAGGGAGGGAGGGAGGGAGGGAGGGAGGGAGGGAGGGAGGGAGGGAGGGAGGGAGGGAGGGAGGGAGGGAGGGAGGGAGGGAGGGAGGGAGGGAGGGAGGGAGGGAGGGAGGGAGGGAGGGAGGGAGGGAGGGAGGAGGGAGGGAGGGAGGGAGGGAGGGAGGGAGGGAGGGAGGGAGGGAGGGAGGGAGGGAGGGAGGGAGGGAGGGAGGGAGGGAGGGAGGGAGGGAGGGAGGTAGGGAGGGAGGGGAGGGAGGGAGGGAGGGAGGGAGGGAGGGGAGGGAGGGAGGGAGGGAGGGAGGGAGGGAGGGAGGGAGGGAGGGAGGGAGGGAGGGAGGGAGGGAGGGAGGGAGAGAGGGAGGGGAGGGAGGGAGGGAGGGAGGGAGGTAGGGAGGGAGGGGAGGGAGGGAGGGAGGGAGGGAGGGAGGGGAGGGAGGGAGGGAGGGAGGGAGGGAGGGAGGGAGGGAGGGAGGGAGGGAGGGAGGGAGAGAGGGAGGGGAGGGGAGGATAAAGGACACGGAAAACAGGGACAGTGAAAGGACAACGTCAAGAATGGTAGCATGACCTTTGCGGTGCATCATGTGTTTTTTGAGAATTCTCAAAAAAAGGCAGCATGACCTTTGCGGTGCCTCATACGATGAGCAGATGATGCAGAGTGGGACACTTTTAAGAATTCTCATGACGTGAGAGCAACCTCAGAAGCTTAGTGAACGAAGTATGCAAAGTGGGACCTTTGCCTCACAGCAGCTCGCTCGTTGCTAAAGGACCTTTGCCTCACAGCAGCACATTGCACAAGGCCCAGCTTGCATCATCTCACAGCAGCTCGTTCTTTTCACGATTGACTCGCTACACTCACACAATATAACTAGCCATACTCAAACGCTGAACTCGCCATATACTCACACTCTCCCCCTTCAGCAGACGCGGGATGCCCTCCTCCTGAACGCGCGTCGGGACAAAGAACGCCGCCCCGCGAAGCGACCACTGCAGGCGCCTCGAACCGCCACCATGTGACTCCCCCCCTCCCCCTGCCGCTGCTCCCTCTCCCCCGCCCCCTGCTCCCCCTCCCCCTTCCGCTGCTGTTTCCCCGGCAGCTGCTGCATCAGCTGCTGCTGCTGCTGCTGCCGCTCCTTCTTCCCCTGCCGCTGCTGCCCCTCCAGCCGCTGCTGCCCCCCATGTCGCTGCTGCTGCCGCTGCTCCTGGCGGTGGTGCTGCCCTTTGCCGCCACTCACGGCGCCAGTTGCGGCGCCACTCACGGATGAAAAAGATCGGTTCGCTCCAACAGGTAGGGAAGAAACACCTCTAGTAAGGAAGGGTACAATGTGAGGGGACCCACTAACGAGGTTTAACGAATGACAAGCAATCGAAGGCAGTGCGACGAGAGGACTCGAAGGATTAGGATTAGGGTTTGCTGTTCCGTGGGAGATTGACGGGGTGGATCCGACGGCGGAGAACGACCCAGAGGCGATCGGACGAAGGAGATGGATTTGATGAGCGGGATGGGAACCAATAAGTGGATCAAGTTCGCGACAGGTATGCGACACTGTTGCTACGATCGCGTTCGGCGACATCCGGGTAACCAGTCGCGAGAAAATCCAGGTCACGGCTCGCGATCCGAGAGGCCTACGAACTCCTGCCATGGCTGCGGCACCTAAGAATTAGAATGTAGGTCAAGGCGGGTTCAATGATGGATGGACACTCTTTGTAGGTTTCCACGCTGCTTAACTGCATGCGTCTTCCATCGCGCGAGCCGAGTCGCTCGCTAGTCCGACATCGTCCAGGCGTCAGCGTGACGATTCGTCAGCTAAAACTGGAGCGAACGAAAAGAAGATCGTCATTTCGCTCAGGCACGCGAAAGCCAGGTCATCAGTTGCGGGGATCTTGATAGGTTATGGGAAGGTCCGGCAGGATCTCCGCCGCAATAGACGGCACAGCAAGCGGCAGGCACAGGCATACTACTACGCCGTCGTGGTTACCCCACGTGTGGATTCGTTTTTAGCTGATTCAAACAGTTACACTTACTGCCAAAGAATTCAATCAATTGTTGAGTTTCGTAACACACCATCTGTAACACAAATGGCACCACTTTCGCAAATCTCAATCCGCTTTCGTTCACCGAATTTCGCTCGCGACTCCGTCAACTTCAGCCGCTGCGGAACCAAGCCCAGCGAAGATCCCACCATCGCCACACTTTCGTCGCCGCCCCCCTCTCCCCAGCACCGTTTTGTCCGCTTCGACTCCCTCTGCCGAAAACTCCCCGTCACAGCGGCGGCACTCTCGTGTGGGCGTTTCACCGTATCGCGCTCACCAATCCGCTTCGCGAAGACCACTGTCCAACTGTACTCCCTAAGTAACCCTGTTTTTCCCTCCCCTCCCAACCCTTCGTCCATTATAAATTCCACTCCAGCAAATCGAGTTTCATCATCACAGCCTTTCACTCGTTCCACAATTCTTAGAGCAGAGCAGCAGATTCGCTCTTCTCAGCGTAACTCGACCTTCGCTTCAAGAGATTTCCACTTCCATCCTCTTTGTAGCTCGTTCGTTCACATCCAAGTTTCAGAAATGACAACTTCTCGCATCCTCGCCGTTTTCGGGCTCGTCTGCGTCGCCCTCTGCGTGGCTGACGCGAGCGCAGCAACGCCGCCGCCGAAGCCCACCAAGGCGCAGCTCAAGGCGGAGCTCAACAACATGGCGACGAACATCACGAAGCGTTACCCGCAATACGCGAAATACGCGAAGGACATCAACCGCTACATCGGCCTCGCGCTCAACTCCAAATACGACTTCTCAGCCCTCGCGGACGCTACCATCCTCCTCCCCAGCGACACCGAAGCCCAAGCCCTCGCTAAGAAGCTCCCCGCTAAGAGCAGCAACATCCCCACCATCTACAACATCACCGCGTATCACATCCTCCCCCGGAAGCTCACGGTTCCTCAGCTGAGCTCACTCAAGAAGTCGCAGCCGCTGGCGACGCAACTGAAGCAAGCGATTTACAAGGTTTCGCCGCAGAATGGTAACTCCGTGTCGTTCGCCAAGGGGCCCAACGCGCCTGCTGCCGCGTGGACGACCATCCAGGTCGCGCGGCTGTACGCTGGGCCTTACTTCATCGCGCATGGCGTGGATAAGGTTCTCATCCCCGCTGGCACGACCATGCCCAAGTAGACTTCCGACCATGAAGTGAAGTGGATGCTGCGGCGGCAAAATGAAGCGTTGAGTAGATGGTCACATGGCCATGACTTGTGAGGGCTAAATCAGAGCTTAGGAAGATAGAGAGCTGTTCATCGGTTAGGAAGGAGCTAGAGTTTTGTCTTCAGTTGACCGTCAGTAGCTTTCTGTTCAACCTCTGAACAGATGCGACTGACTGTCAACTGGACGAAGAATATGTTTCCGTTCATGCATTGAACATTGAGGGAAACTAGATATGGATAGTTTATGGTCATAGTCACGTTCTTGTGTACACAAAGCTCTTGGATCTAATGAGATGGTTCTGATTCTCCTTTCAGCGTATAGCTTCCCTCAGTAATTATGGAAAAAAAAAAAATCAGGTTATTACAGGATGGCCATATGTGGCTAGTAGTCTCCCTCAGGTATTGAATAATGAATATGCAATATATGTGTAAACAAATGAATTGGGGATGTGTAAGAATGGTTCTTCAATGTGTTTTGATACTATACATACCAACTTGTGTTTTGTTTTTAGGTATAGAAAGTTGAATGGTCCAGCGGACACGCTGTTTCCGCATACATTATAACGCTTCAAGGGTACAGCGAAATTTCTATTGCTGCTGTGGCAAGGATAGCTATCGTACACGTGTCGCTGACATCAGATCCGCTCCCCACAGCCTCACGCTTACTATTCTTCAATTTCGCGTTTCCGCGTGTCCAAAGTTGCTACATCTAACGGTCTGTGTTCCATCATTCCAGATTCGAGCATTTACATCCGTAGATTTCATGTCCCCACTTCTTCCGAGGATTCCTTCCAGAGCCAACCATGCCTGGAAGCTCACGACTCACTTCCACTTGCCCTTGGGATAACCGACGACAGCCTCGATATTGTCATCCCAAGCATAGAAACCTCCAAATCAACCCCTGTCCATTTCTTCATCCCCTCGTTATTGTGTCCATTGTCCTCATCCGCAACCCATTCCGCCATTCGGTGATCAGTTTGTGCCAAACCAAGGCATTCGCTGATGAAATATGTGCTCGTGGCATTCAACTGAATCCTGAAAATCTTCCGGACTTGTGTGAGGTAGCTTTCTCTGGCCAGCATTCTCAGCTGTTTTCACGGATGCTGATTAGCCCGTGCTTAGCTAACCTTTCCAAATCCACGAGCTAAGAAACCTTGTATGGGGTAAGCTTGTCACTAAGCACCGCTCCTCAGTGTCGCAGCGATACGCCTTCATAAGCGTCGCGATTGCCTCCAAAGCGCTCGTAGTGCCTGCTTAGGGTCCCTAGCCCCAAGTGACCCTAATTCGACTCAAAATCGGCTAGATTCTCAACTCTTTCAAGCTTAGCTACACATGGCGTTCGCCGCCAAGGCTTGCGTTCCGTCGTCCGTTGCATGGGCTGGCCGAGCCGGTCACACGGAATCATCAGACAGCTCAGTTAGCTCTCCTAGCAGAAAATCCGGTGCTGCAACGAGCAGCGCAGGAAGCACGTCCATCTCGTCCATCGCACCCAACATCTCCAGCTCCCATCGCAACCGCAATCCCCGCGGAGCACAAGCGGTTCTGTCGGCAGGTCGTGCGACCCTTCATGGGATCAACAGCGTGAAATCCCGATGCACATCTGGACCGCGATCGCTTGCAGTTAGACCGAGCTGTCACAGCTCGAGCAGCGGACATGGGTCGTTGAGTAGCGGATCGTCTGCTTTCTCCGGCGAAGGTCTCGACGTCGTCTGGGTGCCGTTGACGGCCGTGCGAAACCGTCGCCTGCGATCGGCAGGTGCGTGTTCGATAGACTTTGTGTATCGTTTTTCGCGCTGCAGATTCTCAGTTCTGATTTCGTTTACATCTGGTTCCTCCGAAACGGCGAGAAATTGCGATACGGAGCCTCAAACCATCGGGACTGACCATTCGGTGACCTGCCACGGGGAACCGAGTGCTAGTGCCAAGTACTGACGCTTACTGTGATCTTGACCTTGCGGCTGTAGTGATAAAAGATGTGGAGAAGATTGGATTACGGTAAGGGCTGAGAATTTACTCTACAGAGAACAAGACTTATCGAAGAAACTGGCATTTTGTGTCTGTTGGTACGCAACACCTGCTGGCCGCCGCATCTGCTGGTACGCTACAGCTGCTAGTACGTTACATGTGCTGGTACGTTACAACCGGCGATACGTTACAGGTGCTGGTACGCTACATCTGCAGGTCCTGGTCGTGATGGACCTGCTGGTAAGCAGCTCCGCAGCTTCTGGAGCAGCTGGGCGACAGTCAGAAACGGATACTGAGTGCTAGCCGTACTGTCTTGACGCGATAGTCGCTGATAACTGGACCATATTCTACCTGAAGAAGGCATTAATGACAGTGACGGGAGGGCCTTGTTGTGTTCGATTCTCGTAGCTTCTCTGCCTACTTCGGTCTGATGAATAAACCCTCCATCTTTTGCCCAGGTGCCAGTCTTTCCGTCAAACGTTTTTGCTTTCTTCCCGTCCTTCCATCTTCGTCATAAATCCCGTTTGGCCGTCCCCGATTCCTTCCGCTACCTTGTTCGCCGTTCCATGTTCCGACCTGCGAGAACCATATCCCCCATTTCCGCCCTCCTCCTCCTCATCCCACACTCCCTTCTCCCGTACCCCCCTCCTCTGCTTCCCCGGCTTTCTATTCCGCCTCTCCTTCCGCGGTCAGCCTCCCGCGTGGCGCAGGCCGCAGCAGCAGCGGAGGCGGAAGCGCAGGCGGGGGAGAGCGCGGAGGGCGAGGGCAAGGGGAAGCAGCAGCGCCGGGTGGTGGTGACGGGCATGGGCATCGTGTCGTGTCTGAGCATGAACGCGCACGAGTTCTACCAGAAGCTGCTGGACGGCACCAGTGGCATCTCCGCTATAGAGGGATTCGATGCCTCTGAATTTCCCACGGTAAGAGTTGGCTTGTTTGGTAGAGATGTCGATTCGGGAGTTACTAAATGAGGGTCTTCCAAGATAAGATAGAAAGATATACTGCAGGAAGAACCAGAACAACCGAGGGCAAGCATTGTAGGGGAATACCAAGAAGAAATGCTAAAAAAACGATTGCTCTGGTAAATCCCCTTTCCCTAGCTTATTGCAGGGGCAAATAGGGACTTCCAGGTAATGAGCTAATTGCCCCTAAGACGGCTTGTCTCCCTCCCATTCACGCCACAACCCCCTCCCACCCATCCATCCAGCGCTGCACTATTTCAACCTGCCAGCACATTGCAGGCGAGATGAAGGAGTTCAATGACAAGGGGTGCGTGCACCCCAAGATGGCCCGCATATCCTCCTCATCCCCCTTCCCTCCCACCCATCCATCCAATCCTGAGCTGTTTCCCCTCTCCCAGCGCATCGCAGGCGAGATCAAGGAGTTTAAGGACAGGGGGAACGTGCACCCCAAGATGGCTGACTCCCCCTCCCCCATCTTCCCCCACCCACATCCGCCCGTATTCTCCTCCTTTCCCACCTCTTTCTTTCCGCTCTCCCAGCGCATTGCAGGCGAGATCAGGGAGTTCAAGGACAAGGGCTACGTGCACCCCAAGATGGCTGGCAAATGCTTCTCTCCCCCCTCATTTCCCCTTTTCGGCCATCCAGCGCATCGCGGGCGAGATCAAGGATTTCAAGGACAAGGGCTACGTGCACCCCAAGATGGCGCGGCGCATGGACAAGTACATGCGCTACCTGCTCACGGCAGGCAAGCGGGCTTTAAGGGACGCGCACATGAGCAAGGAGGTGCAGGAGGGGTTCAACAAGCAGAAGTGCGGCGTGCTCATTGGGTCCGCCATGGGCGGCATGCAGGTGGGTGGCTGAATGTCAGGTGGGCGGAATACTAGTCAGGTGGGCGACAGACCGTCTGGTGGTGGGTGGCAGGCTGACGAAGGGGGGAATGGCAGGTTGTCAGGTGCTCGATAATACTGGAGGATATGTCTTGAATAGACAAGTACATGCGGTACATGCTGGTTTTTGAGAATTCTCAAATACATGCTCACGGCAGGCCCTGAACCCCCCTGAACCCCACGCACGCTTCGTTACTCTCCTCCCCTCCAACTGTTCCCTCTCCTCCAACTGTCCCCTCCTTCCCCTTCCCCCCACCCTTCTCAGGTGTTGCGCCCAAGGTGTCGTACCGCCGCCGCACACGCCTATTCATGGAGCTCAATTCCCTTGTCCCTCCGCTCTTGTCCCTCACTCACTCACCACCATCCCCCCTCGTCCCGTCCCTCAGGTGTTCAATGAGGCGGTGAAGGCGCTCAAGGTGTCGTACCGCCGCATGACCCCATGCTTATATGCCCATTTTCGTTTTGAGACGTCTCAAAACGTACCGCCGCATGACCCCATCCTTATGCCCATTTTCGTTTTGAGACGTCTCAAATCGTACCGCCGCATGACCCCATCCTTATGCCCATTTTCGTTTTGAGACGTCTCAAATCGTACCGCCGCATGACCCCATCCTTGTGCCCATTTTCGTTTCTTCCACGCCGCCCCCCTTCCGCCCAACCCCCCTCTCAGGTGTTCAACGACGCAGTGGAGGCACTCAAGGTGTCGTACCGCCGCATGAACCTTGTCTCTATGCCTATGCCTTCCTGCCTCCCCTCTCGTCCCCTTACCTCCATCCCTCTCCCCTTCCCTCCTTCTCTCCTCAGGTGTTCAACGACGCAGTGGAGGCACTCAAGGTGTCGTACCGCCGCATGAACCCCTTCTGCATACCCTTCGTCACCACTAACATGGGCTCTGCCATGCTCGCCATGGACCTCGTACGTGCTCATAGTGGTATGGACCTGGTATGTGCTACAGTGGTGGAGCTGTCCGGGTATGTGCGATGATGAAAGGGAACTGGGGCCGGGATGACAGGCACACATCAAGGGCGTGAGCCCCTTCTGCATGCCCTTGGTCACCACCAACATGGGCTCCGCCATGCTCGCCATGGACCTCGTACGTGCTTGCCTGCTCTGCTATGGTATGGTGTGGCCCTGGTGTGTGCACTGCGCCATGTCATGGATGGACCTGGCATGTACATGCCATGCCATTCAGCAATGCCATGAACCCCTTCTGCATGCCCTTGGTCACCACCAACATGGGCTCTGCCATGCTCGCCATGGACCTCGTACGTGCTTTGATGGAAGGGAACTGGCAACCTGTGCTGGTGTGGGGGCTTGAGCCCCCTGTTTGGACCTGCTACGCCATGTGCATACCCCTGGTCTCCACCAACAGTGGCTCTGCCATGCTCGCCATGGACCTCGTATGTGCCATGCCATGGACCTCGTATGTGCTGCTTACAAGGGGCTGATAGCATGCGTCAAGGGCTTGGGCTCCACTTGCATACCCTTCGTCACCACCAACGTGGGCTCTGCCATGCTCGCCATGGACCTCGTACGTCCCGTGCATGTCATGTCATACACCTGTCACCGGATATGTGCAGAAGTGGTACGAATCTGGTGCATGCCATGTCATTCAGCAACGCCTTGAACCCCTTCTGCAAAGCCTTCATCACCTCACCACCAACAGCGGCTGTGCCATGCTTCGCCATGGGCCTTGTATGCTTTGATTTGATGCGTCTAACCTGCGGGCAGCGCAAGCCTTTCGCCCATCCCCTCCACACCCCTTAGCTCTTGACCGAAGGCCCTTTTCCACGCCGAACTGCTCATTTTGCAAGGTTCTTGCTTGTTTTGAAACTCTTCATCTTGCATCTCGTCCTACACAGGAGTGTGATGGTCCTTAGCATCCCACTTGCTTGTATAAACAGGGTGTTTTGTAGAATTCTCAAAAGCATCCCACTTACTTGTATGAACACATTGTCCTGTCCACACTGTGATAAGTCTCCGCGTGCACTTCCCATCTCCTCTGCTGCCCTCTCAAACCCCTCGATTCATCCCTTGGCCCATCGCTGCAGCGTGTGTCACAACCAACCCTGCATGAAATAATAATAATGATGCAGTGGTTGGTTGGCTCATCTCTTTATCTCATGTCTGTCTTTTGAGTCGACTCAATAGTCACCGTGTCACAACCAACCCTGCATGAAATAATAATAATGATGCAGTGGTTGGTTGGCTCATCTCTTTATCTCATGTCTGTCTTTTGAGTCGACTCAAAAGTCACCGTGTCACAACCAACCCTGCATGAAATAATAATAATGATGCAGTGGTTGGTTGGCTCATCTCTTTATCTCATGCCTGTCCCAACCCAAACCGATTCCTCCATCTCTATCCGTCCCTCTCTTCCCCATTCCCCTCTCGTCCTTCGTCTCCACTGCCTGCAGGGTGTTTTTGAGAATTCTCAAAAACACCCTCCTTCATCTCCACTGCCTGCACCACATCCAACTGCTGCGTTCGCTCCTTACCCCATGGCTTCTCCAATCCAAACCTCCGTCTCTATCCGTCCCTCTCTTCCCCATTCCCCTCTCGTCCTTCATCTCCACTGCCTGCGCCACATCCAACTGCTGCGTTCGCTCCTTACCCCATGGCTTCTCCAATCCAGACCTCTATCTCTAACCGTCCCTCTCTTCCTCATTCCCGCGCTTCCCGTCAGGGCTGGATGGGTCCCAAGTACAGCATCTCCACTGCCTGCACCACTGAAATGCAAACTACTGCATTCTAATCCTAACCTTCTGTCTGTCCCCCCATCTCTACCTGTCACTCTCTTCCCCATTCCCGCTCTTCCCGTCAGGGTTGGATGGGTCCCAAGTACAGCATCTCCACCGCCTGCGCCACAGCCAAGTATTTCTTTTTTTCCAACTCTTTGTCTGTCCTTCTCAATCTATCCCTTTCTCCCAATACATCATCCCCTTTCCCCTCCTCTGCCAGGGTTGGATGGGTCCCAACTACAGCATCTCCACTGCCTGCGCCACTGCCAACTACTGCGTTCTCTCCTTACTCCTTGTCTGTCCCTCCCTCCCTATCCACCACTCGCCTCCAATCCATCACCCCTCCCTCCCTGCCCTCCTCCTTCAGGGCTGGATGGGTCCCAACTACAGCATCTCCACTGCCTGCGCCACTGCCAACTACTGCATTCTTGCTGCTGCCCAGCACATTCAGAGAGGCGATGCGGTGAGCTTAAAGACAGGTTTCAAGTTGAGCTTTAACGCTGGTTGCTTTTCAACGAGTGTTGGAGTCGAGTCTACGGGCGAGTTTTGAGAGACATTGATGACTGGCGTGCGACTCCTCACGGTGCTGTAAGAGACGATGCAGTTTGACTGACTGTCTGCCTCTGTTGCAGGTGGTTTTTGTTCTAAATCACAAGACGTCATTCTGTCAGTAGCATCCGACACCCCCGTCGTGCAAAAATCTCTCTGGGTCTTCTCAAAACGTACCTTTCTTTCCCGTCATTTCGTATTCGACTCCCATGTGGTCCCGCTTCTGAATCACAGGACGTCATGCTGTCAGGGGGGTCCGACGCCCCCGTCTTGCCTCTCGGTAAAGCCTGCCTTTCCAAGTTTCCATGCTCCTCTTTACCACCCTCTCCCCTTCTCTCCTTCCACCTCACCTAACTTTGTTTTTCGCTTCAAGTCCTTCAAAAATCAAGTTCCCTTGTCTTTCCCTCTGGTAAGGCCGAAACCTTTCCATGCATCCCTTCTTCATCCCCTCCCCCTTCCTTTTTTTCTCCCCTTCTGCCATCTTCCTCCTCCCTCTTCCATACTTCCCTCCTTCTTCCTCCATCATACTATCCCCCTCAGCCAGCATCTTGTTGGTACCGAAACCTAATCTCAAGCTGCTCGTTTCCATCTATTTCTCTCGCTTCCTCATCTCCACCCTCCCCGTCTTCCTGCTGTCCTCTCTTCCCTCCTCTCCTTTCCCCCCGCTCCCTTTCCTCCTCTCACCCCTTTTCCAGGACTGGGTGGATTCGTGGCCTGCAAGGCACTCTCTAAACGCAATGACGAGCCTGAGAGGGCCTCCCGCCCCTGGGACAAGGTCAGTGCTTTTTTATCCCTCCCGCCCCTGGGACAAGGTAAGTGTTCTTTTATCAAGTCAATGCACATGAGTTTTGAGACGCCTCAATAACCAGCTGGAGAGGGCCTCCCGGCCCTGAGACAAGGTCAACCAGTGATTTCTTATCAAATCAATGCACTGGTAAGATTGGTCAGTCAGTGCATGCATCCCTTGGCAAGCACACCCCCCCACCCCCTCTCTCCCCCCCTCTTCCCCTCTCCTCTCTCCCTCACTCTGACACTAGTTCGCTGCAGCATGAGGCACTCTCCTGCCCCTGGGACAAGGGAATTCAGTGCATCCCCCCTCTCACCCTCTCCCCGTCTACCCCTCTCCATCTGTCTCCGTCCCTCTCTTTCAGAACCGCGATGGCTTTGTGATGGGAGAGGGGGCAGGCGTGCTGGTGCTGGAGGAGCTCGAGCACGCCAAGGTGGGTGTGTGTGCGCACGTGCTGCACGCCCCTGCACTGTACTGTATCGTGAGTTGCACGCATGGTGTGGGATGGGCGAGGGAGCGGGCGTGTTGGTGCTGGAGGAGCTCGAGCACGCCAAGGTGGGTGTGTGTGTGTGTGTGTGTGTGTTTGTGTGTGTGTGTGTGTGTGTGTGTGTGTGTGTGTGTGTGTGTGTGTGTGTGTGTGTGTGCTGCAGTGCACTGCTTGCTGGCATTCGTGCTGTGTTTGCTTTGTTCCGTACTTTTATCTCATTTCATCTCATATCGTCCCCCTACTTCCCTGCTATCTGTCGCCTCTTCCCTTCCTCTTCCCTTCCTTATCCTCTGCACCTTTTCCCTTCCCCTCTGCACTGCGCGGGGTTCTTAGGCAGTGGTGAGGTGTTCACCCCACCTCACCCCTCTGCATCTCTCCACTCCCCTGTCTCCCACTGTGTCTTCACTCCTCTCCACCCCTCTGCACCTCTTCCCTCCCAAGGCCCGAGGCGCCACCATATATGCTGAGTTTCTGGGCGGCAGTGTGTCATGCGACGCACACCATATGACCGACCCGCACCCTCAAGGTGAGCATGTCTGTCTGTCTGTCTGTCTGTCTGTCTGTCCGTCCGTCCGTCCGTCTGTCTGTCTGCCTGTCTGCCTTTCCGTCTGTCCTATTTCGAAGCATCTTTACTTCGAAATGAATACTGATTCCACTGTGTGAAGTATCACAAGACCGACCCGCACCCTCAAGGTGAGCCTGTCCATTCATCCCTCCATCCGTCCCTCCATCCGTCCCTCCATCCATCCCTCCATCCGTCCCTCCATCCGTCCCTCCATCCGTCCCTCCATCCATCCCTCCATCCGTCCCTCCATCCGTCCCTCCATCCGTCCCTCCATCCGTCCCTCCATCCGTCCCTCCATCCGTCCCTCCATCCATCCCTCCATCCGTCCCTCCATCCGTCCCTCCATCCGTCCCTCCATCCGTCCCTCCATCCGTCCCTCCATCCGTCCCTCCATCCATCCCTCCATCCGTCCCTCCGTCTGCCCGTAGAGATTTTTCAAGCTGCATTCCAATGCGATGCATATCATTGACTGACCATTAGATCCCATCCGGTTTTTAGAGATATTACCTCAATTACATGAGCTGTTTCAATGCCCGCTCCACCAACATCCCTTTTCCCCCCTACCTTTCTCCCTCCCTACCCCTGCAATCCCCTCCACGCCCGCTCCCCAGAGCGAGGGCGTGCTGATGTGCATTGAGCAGGCGTTGGTGTCATAGTATGTGAACTGCAACAAAGCCCATGACTTCCCCTCCTTCCCTCCCAATCTCACCCCCAACGCCCTCTCTCCCCCGGGCAAGGCAAGGGCGTGCTGATGTGCATTGAGCAGGCATGGGAGTCATCAGTATGTGAATGATGACAATGCCAATGCCACTCCCCTTTTCCCCCTCCCTTCTCCTGCTTCCCAACCCCACCCCCCCAACGCCCTCTCTCCCCCAGGCAAGGGCGTGCTGATGCGCATTGAGCAAGCGTTGGCGTCATCAGGAGTGCCTCGCGAATACGCGAACTACGTCAACGCCCATGCCACCAGCACTCTTACCCCCCGCTCCCTTCCCCTCCCTTCCCTCCTCCCTCGATTCCTCTGCGATCTCATCCCCCACGCCCTCTCTCCCCCACGCCCCCTCCCCCAGGCCAGGGCGTGCTGATGTGCATTGAGCAAGCCTTGGCGTAGTCAGGAGTTCCTCGGGAAGACGTGAACTACGTCAACGCCCACGCCGCCAGCACTCCCCCATACCATCTTCCCCTTCCCTTCTTTCTTTCCTTCCCTTCGTCTCAACACCCCACGCCCTCTCTCCACCAGGCAAGGGCGTGCTGGTGTGCATTGAGCAGGCGTTGGCGTCATCAGGGGTGCCTCGGGAATACGTGAACTACGTCAACGCCCACGCCACCAGCACTCCTATCCTCCATTCCCTTCCCTCCTCCCTCCCTTCCTCTGCAATCCCAACCCCCTCGCCCTCTCCACCAGGCAAGGGTGTGCTGATGTGCATTGAGCAGGCGTTGGCGTCATCAGGAGTGCCTCGCGAATACGTGAACTACGTCAACGCCCACGCCACCAGCACTCTGGCAGGCGACGTGCAAGAGTACAAGGCACTCGTCGCTGCTTTCGGCAACAACCCCGTGGTGAGCTGAAACCTGAACTTCATCTCAGTCCCAATAGCTTTCTTGACTTGAGATGCCTCACCAGCACTCTGGCCGGGGACGTGCAAGAGTACAAGGCACTCGTCGCTGCTTTCGGCAACAACCCCGTGGTGAGCTGAAACTTGAACTTCATCTCAGTCCCAATAGCTTTCTTGAGGTGCCCTCACATGCACTCTGGCCGGGGACGTGCAAGAATTCAACGCACGCGTTGCTGCTTAGGGGAGAAATCCTGTGGTGAGCTAATGTTTATCCGGTTTCAATAGTCCTTTTGAGCTACCTCAGAAGCACTCGGGTGCAAAAGTGCAAGGCAATGGTGGCTGCGTTGTGTGTCAACCCTTTGGTGAGCAGAAGGTTGATCGATCGCCCATCTGCTGGGACCTACTGGGAAAACCATTAGCCTGTCCCTAGCCTGGCCCAGGAATCACATCACAACCCCTGAAGTTTGTCCTTCCCTTCCCCCGTCTTCCTCTCCCCTTCACAGCAGCTGAAGACGAACCTCATCAATTCGGCCATCTGCTGGGGTCTGCAGTGAATAACCCTCGCTTCAGTTCCTTATTCCTGCTTTCCCCAACCCTTTTTCTTCCTTTCCTCCCAATCACCGCAGCTGAAGATGAATGCCACCAAGTCCATGATCGGCCATCTGCTGGGCTGAATGCTGCAGGGAATCACCCTCACCGCGATTCCCTATCCCTGCCCTTCCTATCCCCTTTCTTCCTTTCCTCCCAATCACCGCAGCTGAAGATGAATGCCACCAAGTCCATGATCGGCCATCTGCTGGGCGCTACGGAATAGCTTGTTAGCCTGGTGACTTTTGAGTCGACTCAAAAGTCACCTGGGCGCTACGGGATAGCCTGTTAGCCTGGCCGAGGAATCACCCTCACTCTAACCCCTGATCCCCGTCCTTCCCATCCCTGTCTTCCTTTCGTTTCCTTCACACCGCAGCTGAAGATGAATGCAACCAAGTCCATGATCGGCCATCTGCTGGGCGCGGCAGGAGGAGTGGAGGCCATTGCTACTGTCGGGGTGAGCCTTTGGATTCACTACAGCATTTTTGGTTACCACATGCTACCTCCACCCCAGCCTCTGTATTGAATTCCAGCGTTCCATGCACCCCCCGTCCAATCCATTGCCCCTCACTGCCCTCCATATGCCCCCCTCTTCCCCTCTATTGCCCCCCATCGCCCTCCATCGCCCCCCATTGCCGCCCATTGCCCCCCGTACAAGCAATCCACACAGGTTACCTCCATCCCAGCCTCTAGATTAGCCTCTAGATTAGACCCCAGGTGTTGCATGCATCTCTCGGCCAGTGCACTGCCCCTCATTCCCCTCCATATTGTCCCCCATTGCCCCCCTAATTTCCCCCATTGCCCCCCTGATTTCCCCCATTGCCCCCCTGATTTCCCCCATTGCCCCCCTGATTTCCCCCATTGCCCTCCCTACAGGCCATCCACACAGGCTACCTGCACCCCAACCTCAACCTGGAAAACCTTGAGGACGGCCTGGTAAGGAGTGGCTGAGGGCATGGGAGTGCAACAGGTAGAATGCTAGCAGGGATTGGTATGGGACAGCTGAGAGAAGGGGGCAGTAGTGGATGACAATGCGGCAAGGCCTGGCAAGTGCGAGATGGGGCAGAAGGGGGTGTGCAGTGTGTTTTGCATTTTTTTTGGAAAATGCGCACATGTGTTGACGTGGATGGCAAGGGGTGGCAAGGGGTACTACGGTACCACATCCTTCCATTTTCTAGGGGATGACATGGTCAAGGGGGAGAGCTTGGTTGCAGCCGTCAGGGCCCTGACTAGCCAATCATGAGTGTCTGCGGAAGGGATGAATGGATGGTCAAGCTTCACTGTTTCAAATGAAAGCACTAATGTTTCTGTGCATGGACTTAGTACATAAGGCTGCTCTCATTTCTCCGCTGTTCTTGTACCTTATTCTCCCTCTAACCGCAGTTCCATGTTTTACCAAGCCCCAGTTAGAAACATCCTTCCTCCACCTCCCTCCCCTTACGATATCCAACCAGGACGAGCGCTACTTTGTGCGTGACACTAAGGAGCGCCTGGATGTGAATGTGGGGCTCTCCAACTCGTTTGGTTTTGGCGGGCACAACTCATCCATCCTCTTTGCACCGTACCACCCGGAAGGAATCCACGCTCTAGTGGCGGAGCGCAACGCCCAAGCTTGAGCATCTAGCCTCATTATTAGTTCCATACCGTTGTCCCATCCACTTCGCCGAATGTTTTTTTAGCTCTCCCCCAGTGTTCTCCTGAAAGAGTACACCCACTTTTGCTAGTATTGGAAACTGGCACAATCTTCTCCTTGTAGAGGAGGATAGGTTCTAGTTCAGCGATTATGTACACAGGCAAACTTGCAATTCGTAAGTGCTATTTACGATCTGAGTGACATTGTTAAAGTGTATATTTACGTGGGCTCTGTCGGCGGGGCTGGGCCAAAAGCGAAGCTTCTTTGCAATCGAGGTTGTTGTTGAATTTGTCGTCACACCCGGCCAATCGAAAGCGAGGCGACGTGTACGAGTCAGTCTGACCATCCATTGGATTTGAAAAGTCTTCCGCCTTACTTTCCAAGCCGCGTTGGGCGCGCAAGTTCTGCGCCTACAGCGGGCGGCCGCCGAGATGCAGCGGATCTTGATTCTCAGCCGGTGGGCGCAACAATGGAGCCGCGCGGCGCACGAGCCAGGCGCGCATTCTCGAAACTCCGCCATCCCCATCACCACCAACCTCGATATTACCGCACGAGAATCGAGATTGCCACAACCCAAACCAACCTCGGGGGATGATTGTCTTGATATCACCATCTGCCCTTGATATCATAACACTACAACCTCCAGTCAATGTCTTGTGGCTCTTTCCAGCTGTATTAGAGTCTAGCGTCTCGACGATGGAGGATCTGCTTACCGTGTCGTAATCGCCGTGAGGGTACGTGGTCGAAGTGCTCGTCGTTGTTCGATTTTCTCTTATTTCCTGCTGGCGAGAACGCAAAACCTTTTAGTGCTAGACTGCCTTCTCGTATCTGTTCGTTGGACCATAATGCTCTCGGAGGCTCCTATACGTAGTCGATGCGTGCTAAGATCCGGGTTGAATTTACGCGTGAACATGTGCTCCTTAACTCAAGAATGTGTATCTGGGCGCGAGCTAGCGTAAGGCACGCGGAAGAGTAGCGATTTTTGCGTTCAGAGGAACCGTAGAGGAAATTCGCGATGCAGATCGCCTTTTGAGGCAGAAGAGTCGCGATGCAGATGGTTTTTTAAAACGTCTCAACGGGTACCTAGGAACGTCGCCGAATCGCGATGCAGATCGTCAACGGAACGTTACCGCGGGTGAAACGGCGGAGCAAGCCTGCGAGTCCTATGGAGCGGTTATGGACCTTGATGGTCATCTGCGGGACCATGCTCTTCTTCGTCTTCCTCCTCATCCTCTCAGGTGCTCTCTTCCTCCTCAACCCCTCAGGTGCGGTTATCTTCCTCCCCCTTATGCTCCTCCTCTCCGCATCCTTCCTTCCTCCTTCTCAACCTCCTCCTCCTCCCTCCTCCTCCTCCTCCTCCTCCTCCTCCTCCTCCTCCTCCTCCTCCTCCTCCTCCTCCTCCTCCTCCTCCTCCTCCTCCTCCTCTTCCTCCTCCTCCTCCTCCTCCTCCTCCTCCTCCTCCTTCCCCCCCTCCTCATCCTCTCCTTCCTCCGCCTATACTTGGTGCCAGCATGTTACCGCAAGGGTCTCATACGACTTAGATGCCGTTCACGTGCCTGCTGAGTCGACGAAGTTGCAACTTTTGGGCGTAAATTCCGCCTAAACCAACGTCTTCGTCTTTTCCTCCTCTCCTAACTCCGCACCCAAAACCCCTCCCCCACTCCCCTTCTCTCCCCTCCCCTCCCGTCCCCTCCCCACTCCTCCACCCCCGCCACCTTCCCCCTCCCCCACCTTTCACCAGGCACGTCGCCTAAGAGCGAGCAGACGGCACCAGTGCTGGAGGTGGGGACGGCACCGGACAGACAGTGTGCGGCAGCACATAACGGAGAGACTCAGAGCACCTACTTGGGTGTGAATTCGACTCAAAATCTGCGATACCCCTCTCCCTGGCCAACCCATTTCCTGCGCACCTTCCGTCCCCCCCCCCTTACACATACTTTCCCCTCCCCCCCCCCTGCCCCCCTTTCACCAGGCACGTCGCCCAAGAGCGAGCAGACAGCACCAGTGCTGGAGGTGGGGACAGCACCTGACAGTGTGCGGCAGCACATAGCCGACGCGGACACCCAGAGTGGCAGCAGTGGAAGCCATAGTGGAAAGGAGGACTCACCTGATTCCGGCGGGAAGCTCCAGATATTCTCAGGTTTGTTTGACTGTTGTTTTTTTTTTTTTTTTTTTTTTTTTTTTTTTTTTTTTTTTTTCTCAAAGCTATAACACATTACTTCGAGACGAGCACTTCTGCCTTGTTGCTCAATAGGTTTGTGAGTTGGGAGCAGAGCAGTGAGTGGCTTTGGTTGTTCCTGCCAAAAGGGGCTTTTTGTTGTGTTGTTGCTGTTTTTCTCATTCATTTTCTCATATGCTGCATCCATCCCTTCTCCATCCCTTCTCCATCCCTTCTCCATCCCTTCTCCATCCCTTCTCCATCCCCTCTCCATCCCTTCTCCATCCCCTTCTCCATCTCCTCCACTCTCATGCAGGCGCCATGGCGAGCGAGCATGCTGACCAGCGACGAGCCCTTCACGCTATCCGCCCCCACGGACAAGCCCCGTTATCTAGGCGCCTGAACAATAATAGCAGTTCTAAAACCCTGTCCCTTTCTCTCCCATGCAGGTGCCATGGCAAGTATGCTGAGCACTGACGAGCCCTTCACGCTGTTTGCTCCCTCGGACGACTTCCTATTGGACATTAGCAGCGTCTTTCACAAGTACCCTAGAACAAAGGAAATGGTGAGGGTCGTTCATTTGAGATTCTTCAATTGTGACGTGTGTTGTTGATGATTCTCATAAACACCCCCCCTCCACCCCCCTGCCCCCACCTCCCCCCACCTGTCTCGCTTCCCCATGCCCTTCACTGTCTGCCCTTTGCCCTCCCTCCCCCTGTTGAGTAGGCTAGTGATCTATTCCTCCCTGTCGACTTTTGAGGCGCCTCAAAAGTCTTCCCCATACCCTTCACTTTCTGCCCTTTGCCCTCCCTCCCCATGTTGAGTAGGTTAGTGGGCTATTCCTCCCTGTCTCGCTGCATCTCATCCCAGTAGCCCACGTGCCTTTGGAGCTCCCCTCTCTCTCCCCACTTACCCTTCTCTCAACGGCCCGTCCCTCCCCCCCGTACTTCCCTCTCTCCCCCTTTCTCTCCTCCAGATCGACCCCATGTTGAGTCGGCTAGTGGGCTACTCCGCCGTGCCTCGCCGCATTCCGGCAGCCGACATCCCGCTGGGGGCGTTCGAGCGGTTGGAGTCGATCACAGGGTTTATCATCAACGTGGGGAGGGACCCGCGCACTGGACGGATTTTCGCAAACGGTGTTCCGAGCAAGCGGGTGAGCTGAATGGGCTGGGGGGTAGCGCGTCTGATGTGTGTGCAGTAGCTGACGTGTTTCTGGGGACGTGTCTTTGAGCGGTTGGAGTCGATCACGGGGTTTATCATCAACGTGGGGAGGGACCCGCGCACTGGCAGGATCTTTGCCAATGGGGTGCCGAGCAAGCAGGTGCAAAGTGTGGGTGCATCTGGCGAGGTTGAGAGGTATGCAGGGAGGTGGGAGGGAGGCCGTGAGCGGTTGGAGTCGATAACAGGGTTCATAATCAACGTGGGGAGGGACCCGCGCACTGGTTGTCAATTGCGTGCCGAGCAAGCAGGTGCGAAGTGTGGGTGCATCTTGCGAGGTTGAGAGGTATGCAGGGAGGTGGGTGGGGTCGTTTGAGCTGCTGGAACCCGCGCACTGGAAGGATCTTCGCCAATGGGGTGCCGAGCAAGCAGGTGAGGTGTGTGTCTGTGTGCTCTGGATTAGACATACACAAGAAATCCAGATGGTCGTAAAGTCAACTAATGTCTCTCCCCGTGCCCCTTTCCTCTGCCTCAACCCCTTGCCGCCAGGTGGACATAATGGAGGGCCAGCTGGTGGTGCATCTGATAGACGGCATGCTGGGGCCGCTCGGTGCAATGGCAGGCTGAATCTTCCCGCCCATCCATCCATCTTCTATTTCTCTCAATGCCCAGGTGGACATCCTAGACGGCCAGCTGGTGGTGCATCTGATAGACGGCATGCTGGGGCCGCTTGACTTCGTGGAGTCGGTGCGAAGCATGGACCCTGATGACGTCAGCATGGAGGCGGCTCTTGAGCAGGAGTTCAACTCGGGGGCGTTCGTGCGCGGTAGTGAGAGCAGCGGGGGTGAGGGTGCGGGAGGGGGAGGGGCCGGGGGAGGGGGAGGGGGAGGGGGAGGGGGAGGGGGAGGGGGAGGGGGAGGGGGAGAGGGCGGAGGAGGAGGGAGCGGGAAGGGTGGGGACGAAGCAGGTAAGCAGGCAGAGAGTGGGCAGGTTAATGAGGGAGAGCAAAAGCAGGAGCAGCAGCAGGGGGGAAATGACCAAGCAGAGAAAGTTTTCTTACCAGAGGAGCAGCCGGATTTGGGTGCTGCTGTTGCTGCCACTGCTGCTGCGGCTGGTGTTGGTCTTGGTGCTGGGGGTGGACGGGGAGGGGAAGGAGGAGGAGGCGGAGGCGGAGGAGGAGGAGCTGAAGGGGAAGCGGGTCACTCTATAGAAGGACAGGGAAAGAAGCAGGGTGTTGCTGGGAATGCAGCTGCAGGGGAGGGCGGTGGGGAAGCAGCGGTGGCAGCAGCAGGCGCGGATGGCACAGAGAGGGAGCAAGGGGAAGGCAAGAGTGACGGCACGGGCAGCAGTGGAAGTGGCAGTAGCAGTGGCGGTGGCAGTAGCAGCAGTAGTGGCAGCACTGGCAGTACTGGCAGCAGTGGTGGCACTGGGGGTGCAAGCACTGGTATGGATAGCGATGCTCGTAACAGGGACGAATTCGTGCACGAAGGAAACGAGCTTCTAGAGGCAAACGAGGTAGTCAGTATCGAGGACGAACCCGGGGAGGAGGGGCCTGGGGGAGGGGGGGGTGAGGGAGGCGGGGATGGGGCGGGCGGAGGCACAGCAGGGGCAGGGCAGGGGGGGAGCGGCACACAGTCTAAAGCACAAACGGCTGGGTTTGGATGGAAGCGATTATATGCTGGCCTGCCAGGGGTGGTGCTATGGCAAAAGCAGAATGCAACAGGGGCGGAGGGAGCAGGGGGAGCAGGCGGAGGAGGGGGTGGTGGGGGGGGGAATGGGGGGAGTGGGGAGGGTGGGGGTGCAGCTGGGAGTGGGTTTCAGTGGTTTGGGTTTGGGAAGGGAGGCGCAGCTTCTAAGAAGGAGCCGGAGGAAGATCCGGTGGACAATCTGCCTGTGCTGAGGCCTGAAGTGATTGCTCTGGAGCAGGTGTGTATGGTGGGTGGGGCTTCTGGGTTCTAGGCACTGTTCAGTGTGTGGGTGGCAGGCAAGTGTGGTGGGGCTTCTGGTCTGGGTACTGGTAACTGGTAGGGTTGGGTTGAGGTGTTTCTGAACACACTTGGCCGACCCTGTGGATAATCTGTGTGTGCTTAGGCCTGAATCGATTGCTATGGAGCAGGTGTGGTGGTGAGGCTGCTGGGTACTACTTGTAGTGAGATTTCCTGTGAGAAGTCAAACGTCAACCATTGAGTTGACTCAAGAGTCACCCGGTGGATAATCTGCCTGTGCTGAGGCCTGAAGTGATTGCTCTGGAGCAGGTGTGGTGTGTTGGGGAGCTTGTGGGTTCTAGGAGCAGGTGTGGTGGGGCGTCTGGGTTCCTCTAACTGGCAGGTTAGCTGATAGGGAGGGATTTGAGAGGAGGAGAAGGAACGACTGGAAATAATTGGGTTCTGATTCGCAATACGATCTTTTGCATGTACCGTCGGCTGATTGTCCCCTCCCCCCCCTCCCGTGTTTTGAGTCGACTCAAAACACGACTGATTGTCCCCTCCCCCCCCTCCCCATCAGGTGCGTGAGGAAAAGGCAAAGCTGGGGATGGAAGTGGGCCCGAGGGTGACTTGTGAGTCGACTAGGGCTACATCTTGCTAAGAACTTAATGGTCTCTAAGTTGACTCGAAAGTTTCCTCCGTGCTCGTGCTGTGATAATCTCCCTCCCATCAGGTGCGGGAGGAGAAGGCGAAGCCGCGAGTGGAATTCGACTTCAGGGGTGCTTTGTGGGTCAGGCTTATCATTGGTCTCTGAGTTGACTCAGAGTTTACCCCGTGCTTGCTTGTGCTGTCATGATTCCCCTCCCATCAGGTGCGGGAGGAGGAGAGGCGAAGCCGGGAGTGGAAGTGGACTTCAGGGGTGCTTTGTGATTTGACTCAAGCAATTGTCTTGCAGCTGGCTAAAAAAAAACCTTCGTGCTCTTGCTGTGACGTGATGGTCCACCCATCAGGTGCGGGAGGAGGAGAAGGCAAAGCCAGGAGTCGAAGTGGACTTCAGGGGAGTGATTTGTGAGTTGAATTAATAATTATCTTGGAACTTGCCTCGTGCTTTTGCTGTGATGATCCCTCACGTGTCAGGTGCGGGAGGAGGAGAAGGCAAAGCCAGGAGTCGAAGTGGACTTCAGGGGAGAACACAAGGGAGCATGTGAGTGGTGGGAGATAGGCACGATGAAGTGTGGAGTGGTGCTGCTGAGTGTGCTGGGGTGTGGAGGGGCGCACAGAAGGGTGCATGTGAGTGGTGGTGGACACAAGCAGGTGTGGAGTGGTGCTGGGTGGTGCTGGGCTGTGAGAGGGAGCACACAAGGGAGCATGTGAGTGCAGCTGAGCGGTGAAGAGGGGTCCTCGTTTCAAGCTTGGAACTGTCAGTGTCTGTGGGCTTTGAAGGGGCTTCCCCTTTCTTGCTTTCAGTAGTGCCTTTTGAGTCGACTCAAAAGTCACCTTCTTGCTCACAGTAGTCCCCCGCCCTCTCCATCGGCATGTCGTAGACTTTTGAGTCGACATGTCGTACCTTTTGAGGACTCAAAAGTCCTCTCCATGGGCATGTCGTACCTTTTGAGGACTCAAAAGTCCTCTCCATGGGCATGTCGTTCCTTTTGAGGACTCAAAAGTCCTCTCCATGGGCATGTTGTACCTTTTGAGGACTCAAAAGTCCTCTCCATGGGCATGTCGTACCTTTTGAGGACTCAAAAGTCCTCTCCATGGGCATGTCGTACCTTTTGAGGACTCAATTGTCCTCTCCATGGGCATGTCGTACCTTTTGAGGACTCAAAAGTCCTCTCCATGGGCATGTCGTACCTTTTGAGGACTCAAAAGTCCTCTCCATGGGCATGTCGTACCTTTTGAGGACTCAAAAGTCCTCTCCATGGGCATGCCGTACCTTTTGAGGACTCAAAATTCCTCTCCATGGGCATGTCGTACCTTTGGAGGACTCAAAAGTCCTCTCCATGGGCATGTCGTACCTTTTGAGGACTCAAAAGTCCTCTCCATGGGCATGTCGTACCTTTTGAGGACTCAAAAGTCCTCTCCATGGGCATGCTGTACCTTTTGAGGACTCAAAAGTCCTCTCCATGGGCATGCCGTACCTTTTGAGGACTCAAAAGTCCTCTCCATGGGCATGCCGTACCTTTTGAGGACTCAAAAGTCCTCTCCATGGGCATGCCGTACCTTTTGAGGACTCAAAAGTCCTCTCCATGGGCATGTCGTACCTTTTGAGGACTCAAAAGTCCTCTCCATGGGCATGTCGTACCTTTTGAGGACTCAAAAGTCCTCTCCATGGGCATGCCTTACCTTTTGAGGACTCAAAAGTCCTCTCCATGGGCATGTCGTACCTTTTGAGGACTCAAAAGTCCTCTCCATGGGCATGCCGTACCTTTTGAGGACTCAAAAGTCCTCTCCATGGGCATGCCGTACCTTTTGAGGACTCAAAAGTCCTCTCCATGGGCATGCCGTACCTTTTGAGGACTCAAAAGTCCTCTCCATGGGCATGTCGTACCTTTTGAGGACTCAAAAGTCCTCTCCATGGGCATGTCGTACCTTTTGAGGACTCAAAAGTCCTCTCCATGGGCATGTCGTACCTTTTGAGGACTCAAAAGTCCTCTCCATGGGCATGCCGTACCTTTTGAGGACTCAAAAGTCCTCTCCATGGGCATGTCGTACCTTTTGAGGACTCAAAAGTCCTCTCCATGGGCATGTCATACCTTTAGAGGACTCAAAAGTCCTCTCCATGGGCATGTCGTACCTTTTGAGGACTCAAAAGTCCTCTCCATGGGCATGTCGTACTCAACTTATGTCGATTCGATTCCAATCCAGGCCTAATTTTCTCTCACTGCTGCTCCCCCCCGCACTCCCTGCTGCTCGTAATCTCCCTGCATCCTTCCCTCTCCTTTCCGTCCCAGTTGACTTTTGAGTCGACTCAAAAGTCACTCCCTGCTGCTCGTAATCTCCCTGCATCCTTCCCTCTCCTTTCCGTCCCAGCTGTTATCGATGTGCCTCCTTCCATGGATCCCACCAAGCTCCCGTGTTTGGGCCCGGGCATTCTGCGTCATCTTGTGTCTCACGCTAGTCCCTCCCACCCCATACGTGCCCTGTCCCCTTTTTCTCTACCTTTCTCATTGCTTCCCACTCCCTCCCAGCTGTTATCGAGGTGCCTCCTTCGGTGGATCCCACCAAGCTCCCGTGTTTGACCCGGGGCATGCTGCGTCATCTTGCGTCTCACTCCCTCTTCCTGTTTCTCACCCTTCCACGGCCCCACTCTCTCACAACCGTTATCGAGGTGCCTCCACCAGTGGATCCCACCAAGCTCCCCTGTTTGGGCCGGGGCAGGCGATAGCTTTTGCCCTCTCACGACAAGGCAACTCAACCCCCTCCTTTCGCACACTCCCTGCTCCTTCTGCTTTGGCTTTCCCGTCGCTTCTCCTCTCCCTCCCAGCCGTTATCGAGGTGCCTCCACCAGTGGATCCCACCAAGCTCCCCTGTTTGGGCCGGGGAATTCTGCAGACAGACAGCAAGTGCCTGTGCGCTGTGCTCTACGGGGGAGATAACTGTGAGGTGGGTAGTATCTGTGCGGTAGGTAGTATCTGTGAGGTGGTTCTGTGCGTGAGATAAGTGGTAGTCTTGGGGTGGGAGGTAGATAGGCGGTATCTGTGAGGTATGGTAACCGGTTCTTGAGTCGACGGCCGACCCATTACGTGGGCTCGCTACCTGCTCAGCTCAGTGCACAAGCCCGCATGCCCTGCTCTGCAGCCTGCCGTGCCTTCGCGTATCAACCCCCTCATCCTTCCTTCCGAAAACTCCTCTTCTTGCGTGTTACCAGGCAACATGGTAACAGGAGACCCGCGACACGGACAAGCTCACAGATTACCTCTACGTGGGAAGCTACCTATTCAATCCCTACTAGCCTAAGCTCAGCATAGAAGAGATTAGAACGAGTTAGCTCTGTTGGATCTAGGTCGAAACTATTTTCCTACGACACGGACAAGCTCAGTGATGACCTCTACGTGGGAAGCTACCTGCTCACAGCACAGGCCCTCATGCCCTGTTCTGCAGCCTGCCTTGTGCTTCCTTACCAACCCTGATCCCTCCTTCCCCAACCCTCCTGCTCCTGTGTGTTGCCTGGTAACATGGTAACAGGAAATACGCGACACGGACAAGCTCACTGTTGACCCCTACGTGGGAAGCTACCTGCTGACAGCACAGGCCCTCATGCCGCCGCCACCGCCAGCAGCAGGGGAGGAAGGGAGCAGTGGAGGGGGAGGAGGGGGTTCAGCGGCGCGATCAGCCATGCTGCTGGAAGGGTTGTCGATCGAAGAAAGGAAGCAGCTGCGGGCAGTGCTACCTTTGACTGATCTATACCAGACGACTGTGAGTGGATTTTTGGGTTGAGTCGAATCACATGAGCAGGGCAGGGAGGGGGGGGGGTCTGCAACACGGTCTGCCTGTCATGCTGCTGGAAGGGCTATCGGTTGAAGAGAGGAGGCAGCTGAGAGCTGTGCTGCCTTTGACTGGCGTACACCAGACCACTGTGAGTTCAATCTTGGGGGGGAATCCGCAGGATGATCTGCCTTACTAGCTCGCTGCTTCTGAGAGGCTCCCTTGCTTGTCCCCTATACTGAATCCCGACAAAAAACCCGCCTCTCTGTCTTCCATCTGTTCTACTTTTATAATATGCTCACCTGTTCCAGGTATGGGAGACGTGTGCCGTGGTGGGCAACTCGGGTGCGCTGTTGCTGCGGGAGGATGGGGAGGAGATTGACAAACATGACATGGTTATGCGCTTTAACACAGCTCCCACTAAGGGGTACGAGAAACAGGTGGGTGCAACTGATTCGAGGGATTTGAGAAGAGAAAATATGAGGACTGTGTTGACAAGCGTGACGTGTCTGTGTTTGTGCTCCGTCCCGTAGCACCCACCCACCATTCCTTCATCTTATTCAGAGCCGACTCAGAATTCACCTTGTACTAACCAATATCCATCCACTGCCCCTTCACCATTCCTCCTCCAACCCAACATTCCTTCATCTTATCCACCTGCTCCTCCCTTCCTTTCAGGTGGGAAGAAAGACAACGCGTTGCCTGAGCGTGTTGGACAAGGCAGGGTTCAGAGAGGGCAACGAGACGGTGGTATACCACCCGTACCTGGATTCCCTTATATCCTTCCCCCCCTCCCTCCCCTTCATCTATTCGTCCCTCAGGTGGGTAGGAAAACCATGCTCCGCCTGAGCATGCCAGACAAGGCGGGGTTTGGGGAGGGCAACGGGACGGTGGTATACCACCTGTACCTGAATCTCTGTGTGTGTATCCATCCCTCCCACCCTCCCCTTCACCTACCCTGCTTCAGGTGGCGAAGAAGACCACTCTCCGCCTGAGCATGCCAGACAAGGCGGGGTTCAGGGAGGGCAACGGGACGGTGGTATACCACCCGTACCTGAAAAACTCTGTATCCACTGGGCACCATTCCCCCTGCCCTCCCGTCTCCCCTTCATCTACCCCTCCTCAGGTGGGAAAAAAAACCACTCTTCGCCTGAGCATACCAGACAAGGCGGGGTTCAGAGAGGGCAACGAGACGGTGGTATACCACCTGTACCTGAGGGGCGTGAAGGACGAGTTACAGCATCTTCTTAAGTTCAAGCGGGTCTTCCGGGAGGGGGCACTCTACGTGCTGGACCTGGGGTTCGAATCGCAGGTGGGTGCGCGTGTGTGTGTGTGTGTGAGTGAGTGCGTGCGTGCGTGCGTGTGTGTGTGTGAGTGAGTGCGTGCGTGCGTGCGTGTGTGTGTGTGTGAGTGCGTGCGTGCGTGTGCGATGATCACTGTGCTGTGGAATACGTGGGGATCTAGGTTTAATATCTAAGAGTCCCTTTCGAAGCTGCATCAAACCCCTGGTGCCGTCGCCTCTCCGTCTCTCCCCTGCAGGTGTTCTACACCTTTAGTGCCTTCACGTCAGTGGAATGCGTGGGCACCCTTCGTTGACGTGGGAAAACTCTTCATTAGTCCCCTGAAACCACTTTCCTGGTGCTACCATCTCTCCCTCTCTCTCCTACAGGTGTTCTACACCTTTGTTGCCTTCACATGAGTGGGAATACGTGGGCACCCTCCTTTTACATGTAAGAAATCTACATGACTCTCAAACTTCTTTCCTGCTACCACTGTCTCTCCCTTTCTCTCCCCTCTGCAGATATTCAACACATTTGGCGCCTTCACGTCAGTGGGATACGTGGGGATCCAATTCGCCCTGCAGGTGAGAGGCGGGGACACGCGTGGCTTGACTTATGCAACTATCTGTGGTACGTCGTGGTTCCTTGTGGTTCTTTTTGGTACTTAGTGGTTCCTTGTGGTTCTTTGTGGTACTTCGTTGCTCTTTGTGGTTCTTGGTTCTTGTGGTTCTTCGTGGTATTTTGCGGTACTTTCTTTGCGATACTTACTCTGCGGTACTTTCTTTGTGGTACTTTGTCTTAACAGTAATTTCCGATGATTTTTTTCCTTTCCTATCTTTCCATCCGACAGAAGAGCCATTATATCGATCTCTGCAGCCTGTTTTTAAGCAAGAGGCACGTCGTGAGGCACCACTACTACAACTGGGACGAACAGATCCTTTTTCTTTTGCCTCTCACAGTTCTTTTCTTTCCCTTGTGTCTTTTCCCCTTTCTTCTCTCTTCCGCCCACAGAAGTGCCACCACATAGACCTGTACGGTCTATTCCTAAGCGAGAGGCACGGCGCGAGGCACCACTACTACAACAGGGACGAGTACATGCCAGCGCACGTGACGAGCAAGCAGCTGCTTCTTGTTTCGTCTCCCACAGTTCTTTCCCTTGTTTTTATTCCATTTCTTTCCATCTCACAGAAGTGCCACCACATTGACTTGTATGGCCTCTTCCTAAGCGAGAGGCACGGCGTGAGGCACCACTACTACAACCGCGACGAGTACATGCCGGCGCACGTGACTAGCGAGCAGCTGGACCGGGAGTTCGTTCAGAGCATTGAGATCGCCGATGCTGAGCTCATGTGGATCGCAGACCCATGCCTGTATGGTGAGTGATCATAAGGGTGGGTGGAGTGGAGAGAGGGATGTGTAAGGAGCAGCTGGACCGGGAGTTTGTTCAGAGCATTGAGATCGCCGATGCTGAACTCATGTGGATCGCAGACCCATGCCTCTACGGTGAGTGATCAGTCATGGAAAAAGTGGGGAGAGGAGGGAGGAGAGGGGGAGGGGGGGTTTGTTTGTTCAGAGCATCGAGATTGCCGACACGGAGCTTATGTGGATCGCTGATCCTTGCCTCTATGGTGAGTGATAATAGGGGCCGAGGGGAGAGGGAATTGAAACGACTGAACTTTCAAAAGGAGGATAAGAGATAGCAGCTTCAGCATTGGTCACCACTCTGCAACTGCGACAATCGGATGCCGGAGCACGTGGCAAGCGAGCAGCTGGACTGGGAGTTTGCTCAGAGCATTGAGATTGCTGATGCTGAACTCATGTGGATCGCTGATCCTTGCCTGTATGGTGAGTGGTTATTCAGGGGTTGTGGGGAAGGGGGGTTGGAGGGGGAGGAAAAGGGAGGAGAGAGCGGGCGGATAAGCACCACAGGGGGAAGCACTATCCGTGCTGTGTGCTATATTTCTCATCTGTGGTGTCACCACTACGCCTCTCCTCCTCCATGTGCTGTGCATGCTGTGCTGTGCATGCTGTGCTGTGCATGCTGTGCTGTGCATGCTGTGCTGTGCATGCTGTGCTGTGCATGCTGTGCTATGCGTGCTGTGCTGTGCATGCTGTGCTATGCGTGCTGTGCTGTGCATGCTGTGCTATGCGTGCTGTGCTGTGCATGCTGTGCTATGCGTGCTGTGCTGTGCATGCTGTGCTATGCGTGCTGTGCTGTGCATGCTGTGCTGTGCATGCTGTGCTGTGCATGCTGTGCTATGCTTGCTGTGCTGTGCATGCTGTGCTATGCGTGCTGTGCTGTGCATGCTGTGCTATGCGTGCTGTGCTGTGCATGCTGTGCTATGCGTGCTGTGCTGTGCATGCTGTGCTATGCGTGCTGTGCTGTGCATGCTGTGCTATGCGTGCTGTGCTGTGCATGCTGTGCTATGCGTGCTGTGCTGTGCATGCTTTGCTATGCGTGCTGTGCTGTGCATGCTGTGCTATGCGTGCTGTGCTGTGCATGCTGTGCTATGCGTGCTGTGCTGTGCATGCTGTGCTATGCGTGCTGTGCTGTGCATGCTGTGCTATGCGTGCTGTGCTGTGCATGCTGTGCTATGCGTGCTGTGCTGTGCATGCTGTGCTATGCGTGCTGTGCTGTGCATGCTGTGCTATGCGTGCTGTGCTGTGCATGCTGTGCTATGCGTGCTGTGCTGTGCATGCTGTGCTATGCGTGCTGTGCTGTGCATGCTGTGCTATGCGTGCTGTGCTGTGCATGCTGTGCTATGCGTGCTGTGCTGTGCATGCTGTGCTGTGCATGCTGTGCTGTGCATGCTGTGCTATGCTTGCTGTGCTGTGCATGCTGTGCTATGCGTGCTGTGCTGTGCATGCTGTGCTATGCGTGCTGTGCTGTGCATGCTGTGCTATGCGTGCTGTGCTGTGCATGCTGTGCTATGCGTGCTGTGCTGTGCATGCTGTGCTATGCGTGCTGTGCTGTGCATGCTGTGCTATGCGTGCTGTGCTGTGCATGCTTTGCTATGCGTGCTGTGCTGTGCATGCTGTGCTATGCGTGCTGTGCTGTGCATGCTGTGCTATGCTTGCTGTGCTGTGCATGCTGTGCTGTGCATGCTGTGCTGTGCATGCTGTGCTGTGCATGGAGTGATGTGCATATGCTGCCATCCACCATGGCTCTCTCTCCTCCCTCACTCTCAACTCCTCCCTCCTTCCCCTCTCAGACTGTCGGAGGTCGGTGCAGCGCTGCAGCATGTGCATGCGCATTTCAGTGGACGAGTTGAGCCAGAAAACAGGTGAGTGTGGTGCAGGTGGGTGCGGAGCAGGTGGGTGTGGTGCAGGTGGGTGCGGGGCAGGTGGGTGTGGTGCAGGTGGGTGTGGTGCTCTTGAGTGTGGTGCAGGTGGGTATGGTATGGCGTATGTGCATGTACTCTATGCATGTCATTCTCAGCCACCCGCCTAGCCTACATCTCAACTCTTCTGCCTGCCCCCCTGCCCTTCCCCACCTGCCCGCCCTCCCCCTATTACTTTTTCAGAATGGACGAGTCAGCAGTTGGCCTTAAACGCCCGCAGGGAGCAGCGGTGGCGGGAGTTCCTAAAGTGGCAGCTGGTGGTGCGGGAGGAGCTCAAGAAGAGCACTTGCCCTCTTCTGCCATTCACCTCCCACTACCCTCGGTCATCCTTCCCCCATCCTCCCCCCCACATCCCATCCAGAGTGGACGAGTCAGCAGCTGGCTTTAAACTCTCGCAGGGAGCAGCGGTGGCGGGAGTTTCTAAAGTGGCAGCTGGTGGTGCGAGAGGAGCTCAAGAAGAGCGTGCGGCTGCAGTTCCAGATGCAGGCAGAGCAGCGCCGCATGCGCTCCTCCTCCGGAGGGCTAGCAGGGGGATCGTGCGTGGATGGGACAGGGGGAGATGGTCGGAGTGGCAGAGGGAGAGGGGGATTGGACGCAGGAGGAGCACTAGGGGGGCGGGGAGTGGGAGGAGGAGGGGTTGGAGAGAGAGGAGTGGGGGGAGGGAGTGGAGGAGGGGGGGCGAGAGGGGGGTATTCGCCGGGAGAGAGTGAGGATGAGTATGATAGCATTGACTGGGAGCGGGTGGTGGTGGAGGATATGCTCGATAAGCTATCAATGCACGAGGTGCTGCTGTACTTTAGGAGAAACCACCTCACTATTCCGGACACGCGCGCTCAGATGCTCCAGGCGGTGAAGGCCCATTATTTCTTTTTGCGAGGGGAGCTGCAGAAGCAGAAGAACCGGCTGTATCGCCCCTCCGACTGATTTATCAGGATATTTACTCGTTCTCTTGAAAAAAAATGCTCCATTTGTGTCGTGTATTTCAAGTTGTTGGCATCTTTTAGTAAGAAGTATTATTCTCCTCCCGAACCTGCCACGGTCCATAACCTTTGAGAAGATCCTTCGGAATCACTGGAGACAGATGAAGTGAAGGGACCAAGCCGTGAGAGGTAAAACCAGGGAAGGATTCAATACTAGAGTAGAAGTGTCCTATCCAGTTAATTGTCCGTCACATCTACTCAGAGGCTTGATAGACCCATAGTGATTAGTTAGGGGATTAAATTGACTGAACAGTGATGTGACTTCTACATAACCACAATATGCAGTAGCTGCTAAATCATTCGCATGGTGCTGTTTATATATGACGTACCAGACGGTAATATGCAGGCTCTGTACACCTCTCGCTGCCAATCTGAACACCACAGCCCACCAGTTTCAGGTGACTAGCCAGATTCCGTTGGAGCCAAAACCTGATCCGACATGCGTCTCGTGGTTAGCAATTAGGTTTGGATACACCTGAGAGTCTATCCACTCCACTCTTTCAGCCTCCCAGCACCATCGCTCCACCCACCTGCCAAGCCCCCGACTATGTCGCTACCTAGGTTATCACCTAGGTTTCTAACTACTGCGGACTCTAGCAGCCCCAGCTTACCTGCATATCCCACCGCACGACTGTCAAACCGTCGCCGATTAGGCAGGTTCCCGTCACTCGACATCGTTTCGGCGCCAGGTAAGTCGGTTTTCTCCCTCGGTCTGCTTCCGCTGCTCACCTTGCTCACCTTTTTCACCTCGATCTCCCTTAATAACTCCACGCCGACATGCAGGGAACAGGTCGCGAATTTTCCTTATCAAAACCAGTCATTTCCTAACATCATACGCGTTTTCCCGCCCAGCCTCGCCCCTCGCCTCCCATGCTTTATCTCTCACCGGTTTTCCCGCTCAACTACCCGATCGATTCCGCTCGCCTGTCTGTGTTTCGACCTTCCTTTTTCGCGAAGCAAACGAGGAGCTTTCTTTACGCCACGCTATTGCCTAGGGACTTTCCAGCGCTGCTGGCCGCACCCTACGGATCCCGCGCCGCCGCCAACGGATAACCCCCCGCCTCCGCCAGGAACCCGGCAGCCTGCACACGCGCTGGTTTTTAACGTTCCGCCCCCTCTCTCTCACACGGGTTTCATCGTCCTGCCGGCTTCCTCTTCTAAGCGATGTCAACAATTTCACCGTCGATTCCGTTTAACCGTGCCCCCCCCCCGTCTATTTTTCCCCCTCCTCCTTCTCCGACGTGTCTGCCATCGCGCACGGCGGGACCCACGCTCGCGCTTCGCCTCCCAGCCATCTTTTCGCAAGTCGGGTGTAAAAACACCGCGATACTGCTATTTTCACATCTCACCGTCGGTCTTCTTCTATTTTTGGCAGCGGTGGCAACCGGAAGCCTTTCTTCGCTACCTCATCCACGCTAACTCTCAGGTAAGTGCTGCCGCACACCCTCCTGCCTCTCTCAGTCGTTTGAAAACTCACCGTTACATTATGCCTCGTGTTCCTATTCCTTTCCTCTGCTGTCGCAACGTCGCTCTCTCTGTCGCTTTGATGCTCCACACCTTGCCTCGCCACCCCTGCTTTCAGTCCACCCCTGACTCGGGCTGCCGATTAGGCTTCCAGTCCACCCCTGACTCGGGCTGCCGATTAGGCTTCCAGTCCACCCCGGACTCGGGCTGCCGATTAGGCTTCCAGTCCACCCCGGACTCGGGCTGCCGATTAGGCTTCCAGTCCACCCCTGACTCGGGCTGCCGATTAGGCTTCCAGTCCACCCCGGACTCGGGCTGCCGATTAGGCTTCCAGTCCACCCCGGACTCGGGCTGCCGATTAGGCTTCCAGTCCACCCCTGACTCGGGCTGCCGATTAGGCTTCCAGTCCACCCCGGACTCGGGCTGCCGATTAGGCTTCCAGTCCACCCCGGACTCGGGCTGCCGATTAGGCTTCCAGTCCACCCCTGACTCGGGCTGCCGATTAGGCTTCCAGTCCACCCCGGACTCGGGCTGCCGATTAGGCTTCCAGTCCACCCCGGACTCGGGCTGCCGATTAGGCTTCCAGTCCACCCCGGACTCGGGCTGCCGATTAGGCTTCCAGTCCACCCCGGACTCGGGCTGCCGATTAGGCTTCCAGTCCACCCCGGACTCGGGCTGCCGATTAGGCTTCCAGTCCACCCCGGACTCGGGCTGCCGATTAGGCTTCCAGTCCACCCCGGACTCGGGCTGCCGATTAGGCTTCCAGTCCACCCCGGACTCGGGCTGCCGATTAGGCTTTCCAGTCCACCCCGGACTCGGGCTGCCGATTAGGCTTCCAGTCCACCCCGGACTCGGGCTGCCGATTAGGCTTCCAGTCCACCCCGGACTCGGGCTGCCGATTAGGCTTCCAGTCCACCCCTGACTCGGGCTGCCGATTAGGCTTCCAGTCCACCCCGGACTCGGGCTGCCGATTAGGCTTCCAGTCCACCCCTGACTCGGGCTGCCGATTAGGCTTCCAGTCCACCCCGGACTCGGGCTGCCGATTAGGCTTCCAGTCCACCCCGGACTCGGGCTGCCGATTAGGCTTCCAGTCCACCCCGGACTCGGGCTGCCGATTAGGCTTCCAGTCCACCCCGGACTCGGGCTGCCGATTAGGCTTCCAGTCCACCCCGGACTCGGGCTGCCGATTAGGCTTCCAGTCCACCCCGGACTCGGGCTGCCGATTAGGCTTCCAGTCCACCCCGGACTCGGGCTGCCGATTAGGCTTCCAGTCCACCCCGGACTCGGGCTGCCGATTAGGCTTCCAGTCCACCCCGGACTCGGGCTGCCGATTAGGCTTCCAGTCCACCCCGGACTCGGGCTGCCGATTAGGCTTCCAGTCCACCCCTGACTCGGGCTGCCGATTAGGCTTCCAGTCCACCCCGGACTCGGGCTGCCGATTAGGCTTCCAGTCCACCCCTGACTCGGGCTGCCGATTAGGCTTCCAGTCCACCCCGGACTCGGGCTGCCGATTAGGCTTCCAGTCCACCCCGGACTCGGGCTGCCGATTAGGCTTCCAGTCCACCCCGGACTCGGGCTGCCGATTAGGCTTCCAGTCCACCCCGGACTCGGGCTGCCGATTAGGCTTCCAGTCCACCCCGGACTCGGGCTGCCGATTAGGCTTCCAGTCCACCCCGGACTCGGGCTGCCGATTAGGCTTCCAGTCCACCCCGGACTCGGGCTGCCGATTAGGCTTCCAGTCCACCCCGGACTCGGGCTGCCGATTAGGCTTCCAGTCCACCCCGGACTCGGGCTGCCGATTAGGCTTCCAGTCCACCCCGGACTCGGGCTGCCGATTAGGCTTCCAGTCCACCCCTGACTCGGGCTGCCGATTAGGCTTCCAGTCCACCCCGGACTCGGGCTGCCGATTAGGCTTCCAGTCCACCCCGGACTCGGGCTGCCGATTAGGCTTCCAGTCCACCCCGGACTCGGGCTGCCGATTAGGCTTCCAGTCCACCCCGGACTCGGGCTGCCGATTAGGCTTCCAGTCCACCCCGGACTCGGGCTGCCGATTAGGCTTCCAGTCCACCCCGGACTCGGGCTGCCGATTAGGCTTCCAGTCCACCCCGGACTCGGGCTGCCGATTAGGCTTCCAGTCCACCCCGGACTCGGGCTGCCGATTAGGCTTCCAGTCCACCCCGGACTCGGGCTGCCGATTAGGCTTCCAGTCCACCCCGGACTCGGGCTGCCGATTAGGCTTCCAGTCCACCCCGGACTCGGGCTGCCGATTAGGCTTCCAGTCCACCCCGGACTCGGGCTGCCGATTAGGCTTCCAGTCCACCCCGGACTCGGGCTGCCGATTAGGCTTCCAGTCCACCCCGGACTCGGGCTGCCGATTAGGCTTCCAGTCCACCCCGGACTCGGGCTGCCGATTAGGCTTCCAGTCCACCCGGACTCGGGCTGCCGATTAGGCTTACCAGTCCACCAAAAGCACCACCGGAATACGGCCTAGCCGATTAGGACTTCCAGTCCACACCCGGACTCGGGCTGCCCGATTAGCTTCCAGTCCACCCCGGACTCGGCTGCCGATTAGGCTAATTCCAGTCCACCAGCCGGACTCGGGCTGCCGATTAGGCTTTCCATTCCACCCCGGACTCTGGCTGCCGATTAGGCTTTCCCATTCCACCCTGACTCGGGCTGCCGAGTTAGGCTTCAGTCCACCCCGGACTCGGAGCTGCCGATTCATGCTTTCCAGTCCACCCCGGACTCGGCTGGTGCCCGATTAGGCTTTCCAAAGTCAGTCCACCCCGGACTCGGGCTGGGTGCCGATTAAGGCTTCCAGTCCACCCCGGACTCGGGCTGCCGATTAGGCTTCCAGTCCACCCCGGACTCGGGCTGCCGATTAGGCTTCCAGTCCACCCCGGACTCGGGCTGCCGATTAGGCTTCCAGTCCACCCCGGACTCGGGCTGCCGATTAGGCTTCCAGTCCACCCCGGACTCGGGCTGCCGATTAGGCTTCCAGTCCACCCCGGACTCGGGCTGCCGATTAGGCTTCCAGTCCACCCCGGACTCGGGCTGCCGATTAGGCTTCCAGTCCACCCCGGACTCGGGCTGCCGATTAGGCTTCCAGTCCACCCCGGACTCGGGCTGCCGATTAGGCTTCCAGTCCACCCCGGACTCGGGCTGCCGATTAGGCTTCCAGTCCACCCCGGACTCGGGCTGCCGATTAGGCTTCCAGTCCACCCCGGACTCGGGCTGCCGATTAGGCTTCCAGTCCACCCCGGACTCGGGCTGCCGATTAGGCTTCCAGTCCACCCCGGACTCGGGCTGCCGATTAGGCTTCCAGTCCACCCCGGACTCGGGCTGCCGATTAGGCTTCCAGTCCACCCCGGACTCGGGCTGCCGATTAGGCTTCCAGTCCACCCCGGACTCGGGCTGCCGATTAGGCTTCCAGTCCACCCCGGACTCGGGCTGCCGATTAGGCTTCCAGTCCACCCCGGA